CCACAACAATCAAAACTTAGTCATTAATACGAACCTATCTACATACGCAATAATCTATATAAATGATTGAAAATAACTGCTGCCACTGCCCAAAGTTTCTCAATTCTTATCAAACATAGTCATTCGAACCTCTACATCCACAACAAGTTACGAAGAGCGCATTTATTCTAACAATATAAACTTGGTTCAAGCAAAAATCCATGATTTCCCCTAACTAGAAGTTGCCATTATATCAAAAAAATCTTAAGTTATTGATTAAATTTATACATTATATGCTACTTAACCCATTTCCCCTCAACAACTTAATTTATAACTTCGTTTGCATTATACCACAACAATTATTCAACTAAATAGTTAAAATGGCAAGCTGCCATTTCAGGTTTATCAATTCTTTCACCAAAATCTGCATTAAACTAAATAATTTATTCACTTGTATAAGGAATTTCAGTTTATAAATCAATTTAAAGAGTAAAATCAAAGCTTCTAGTTATTTACACTTAAACAGTAGCAAATTTAGGAATTTAAACTCTACCCAACTTGATTCATGCATCAAATTTATACTCTTGTTCAAACAATTCACTAAATGTATCAAAGAAGGTTGAAATCCGACTTACCCAGCTGAAAAACGCACCGAAAGACTGAGATTTTTCGATTAAAGTGACCGGAAGTGAACTTCAAAGCCAAAACCCACTGCAGCCGGCGATAGCTTGACTGGAGGAGACAACAATGGAGTATCAAAGGCTGCTGGCAATGAGAGAAGGTTCAGTCTCATCGGCTTGCGTTTGATCTCGCCGGAAAAATAAAAGAAAGCGGTAACGCGATAGTACCGATCAAAATGGGATAGGGGGAGGTTTCTAGAATTGTTTAGGTTTTTTTTTTTTTTTTTTTTTTTTTTTTTTTCGGATGGACCGCAAAACCCGCAGTTCGACTTGCCAGCACTGTGTCCAACTTAGACGGAAAGGTCCTGAGGAAACGAAGAGAAGTCGGGGAGGGGCTGTTGCTGCAAGTGTTGAGGTTAAGAGCAGGCATACCCTTAAGAGTGGTCCGGCGATTTGGTCCTCAGGTGGCATTCCCTCGGAAAAAAAAGGAGGAAAAAAAAAAACCCCAAAAAAAAAAAAAAAAAAAATAAAGAGAGGGGGTAAGGGCTGGTCCGCGCGCCTGGCGCTGGCGAAGGAAAGAGAAGGAAACGAAAAGAAAAAGAAAGAAAAAGAAAAGAAAGAAAAAAAAATCTTGGGTCTTCTAGACCATTCCGGTTTCGCTTCGAACCGGTTTTGGCATTTCTAGGTTTGTATATGAATTCGCCTCATATTGATTTTGCGTCAGAGTATTGACAGTTTTTTTTTTTTTTCACGCTTGGTTTCTATCAAGCTATTTGTTTGGTTTTTCGACAAGATCAATATTGTGTTTTTAAGGCCCGGTTTTCGATTTATTTTATTATTTAGTTTGGTTTCCATAATATTCATTCCTTCATTCACTCAATCATAATAAAATAATGAACAATTATGATATTGATTTTTAGTGATAATTAATTTATATTATATTCAATAACAGATTAATGCTTTTCATATTAGCTCTTCTTGAAAATTTTAAGCCAGTTCTCAATCGAAATTCACTGTACAATATATTTGGGCTTGGGCCACTCACAACACTTTTGGACCAATTTTTTTAACGTTAGTTTTGGTGTATGTTTTATAAGCCCATATAATCAAAATCTGAAATTTTTGGTATTTCTATAAAAATTTAAAAGTTTGAAATAAAAATTCTGGAGTACTTATTTATCAATAGATATAACTCTAATAATCCTATTAATTATTCTATTTGTTGAAGTAAAATAATAATGGTAACAATTATTCACATGCTTTTTATGAGTCAATAATTGGTGTAGCTTTTATTTTAGATTTTAATAATTATCTTCAAAATTTAATATATTTAAATAAAAAAGAATTCAAACACCATAATAATAAAAGTATGTTATATTCAAAAAAAGAGAGTTCAGTGTATCAAATATGATTAAATTTAGTCTTTAAACATTACTTATTTATCTATAATAAAACAAATGAATGTATAAACAATATTTCAGAAAAATGGTAATAGATAAAGATATTTGCTCCTTTACTACTCTTGAGCGATCAAACTCCCCATCCCACCTCCCCTCATTCCCCCCGCCACACCCTCCTCTCACCACCCCCCTCCCTCCGTCCCCTTCCCCCTCCACCCCCCCCCCCCCCACCCCCCCCTCCCCCTCCCCCCCCTCGCCCCCCAGCCACCCTCCTCCCCCCCTTACCCCCCCCCACCCCACCCCCCCCCCACTCTCCCGCCCACCCCCCACCCGCACCCCCCCCCCCCCCCCCCCCCCCCCCCCCCCCCCCCCCCCCCCCCCCCGCCCCCCCCCCCCGCCCGCCCGCCCACCAAGATTGTTTGGTGTTTAAAGCCCATATAATCAAAAATCGAAATTTTTGATTTAATAAAAATTTAAAAGTTTTGAAAATAAAAATTCGGAGTATTTCAATAATATAATTATATCTTATATTCTATTTTGATAAAAAAAATGGTACAACAGTTTATGAGTCAAATAAATTGGTAGTAGCTTTATTTTAGATTTTATAATTATTTCAAAATTTATATTAAATAAACCATAATAATAAATATATTCTATTAAAAAAAGAGAGTTCATGTATCAAATAATTAATTTTTAAACATTACTTATTATCAATAAACAAAGAATTTAAAAATATTAAAAATAATAATAGAAATTGTCCTTACTATTAGCTCAAACTCCCTCGTTCACACAAATGTATTAAATTAATCAAAGTCAGTTCTAATTATAATTTAGAGTGTTATTGTAACAAAATGTCAAAATTCAAGGTAAAATTAGTATAGATATTAAATTGGAGTAAAATTGCAATAAAAGATTAAAATTCATAATGAAATTGACATAAAAGTTAAATAAAAGTTAAATCAGAGTGAAATTACAATAAAACTTAAAATTGAGATTGAGGGTAAAACAGTATATTAAACTTGTTGATTACTTATTTTTTTAGCTTAATTGCAATTTTTTGTTTCAGTAAAGTTTAGTTTTTTGATGTGGCTCGATTTTGGAGAAAAAAGTTTATTGAGAATTTGACCGAATGAAGCTTGCGATTCGACTCCATTGTTCAAAAATTATCGTATGCATCCCATGTTAAGCCCACAGATGAAGCTCTCTCCATCTATTTCTTTCTACCGTGACCAGGTTTAAACATAATTTTTATTAGTTAAGACAACATTTAATAAAATTATATTTCATTTAACTTTTAACGTTTCATAATAATTAATAAATAATTTTTTTACATATTAATAAACTTTATTTGTAATGTAAAAAGGTCCTCTTTATTTTTCTTGTCATTTTACATTTAAAAGTTAATTAAATTTTTTTTTACCAAACACTTTCACTTTAAACACTTTATATAAACAGCTAACTAATCACTAATTATCAGCGATAGCTATTAACTATCGGCTTATATGAACAGTTAAACCAAACGGATTCAAATCATATAGAATGTAAAATAAAAATATGAAAAACAATTATAATTTTAACACATTATCTATTTTTTAAAAATAAAATTTCAATTATTACAAGTAAACATAATCTCAAATTTTCTCTGATTCTGTTTTTTATTTTCAAATTTTGCATCTGCATGAGAATACAAAAAAAAAAAAAAAAAAAAAAAAAAAAATGATTCCTTGTTTTTTATTTTTCGAAGAATTTTGGCATCTGCCATGAGTAATTCCCAAAAAAAAAAATTAAAACACAAAAAAAAAAACCTAAAAAACCCCTTAAATTTAAGAGAGAGGAGCTCAGCAATACAAATATGAGTGTTATTTCCTTTATTTTTTTTTCTCTTTCTTTATTCTTGAATGAAAAATTTCGTTCTTAGTATTCCTTATCTAAAAGAACAAGTTAAGAGCAAATATATCTTTAGTGTGCTTTACCATGTAAAAACAGTTAATTATTTCAAAATCATAAATAGTATTGGGGATGGGAATTCATCTCTATTATACACCAATATCTTCGTATATAAAATTAAGATAAAAAAGAAACGTGTTATAAGAATTATATGTAATCGAAGCTCTTTTTCGAAATACAAAACATTCTAAAGAGATATACAAAGATTCGAGTTTCGATTTAATTTGCTAAAAAATTATGGGCTTAATAATTCCACTAATAACTCCACCAAAATTAAATTTAAATATTTTTGGGAGAGCTGCGAAATAATTCATCTTTGCTCGCTCGCTACCTACTTCATAAGGCTTGAACTCTAAGCCAAACGGAAAGCTCGGTGTCTCAATAGCCCAACGCGTATACATCGTCGTTGGTGAGGTGACCACAACCACACATTCCTCTTTTTAAAAAAAAAAAAAAAAAAAAAAAAAAAAAACCTAAAAACCCTTAATTTAAGAGAGAGAGCTACAAATATGAGTGTTCTTTCCTTTTTTTTTTTCTCTTTCTTTATTTTGAATGAAAAATGTTCTTATATTCACTAAAGACAATTAGAGCAATAATCTTTAGTTCTTTACCATTAAAACATAATTTTCAAAACATATATATTGGGATGGGATTCATCTCTTATTAACAAATATTTGTATATAAAATTAGATAAAAAAGAAACTTTATGCTTATACACTCTTCGAATCAAAACATTCTAATACTCAAATTCGGTTCGATTAATTGCAAAATTTGTTAAATCCTAATTAGACTCCACCAAATTAAATTTAAATATTTTGGGAGAGCTCGAATAATTCATCTTTGCTCGCTCGCTACTACTTAAGGCTTGAACTCTAAGCCAACGGAAACTCAGGTCAGCCCACGCGTATCATCGTCGTTGGTGTGACCCACAACCACAATTCCCCTCGTTAATCGAGATCAACGGTCCTAATTTCATGTGTCCCCACGAAAAAGGAACATCGGACCGTACAAATATATAATTAGTAGCCACCTCTCAAATTAAAAAAAAAAAAAAAACAAAAAATACAGAAAACAAACTCCTTCCATTGCCAATTTTTCATTTACCACTCCTCTCTAATTCCTTCTCCCTCCCTCCCCTTCTCTCTCTCTCTCTCTCTCTAGGCTGCCAGCATGAGCAAGGGACCAGGGCTTTTCTCCGATATCGGCAAGAAAGCCAAAGGTAATCTCTTCGTTCTCTATGAGATACTATTAATATGTTTTATGCATCTCTGCAAGATTTGATGTAAAAGTGTGCATGTGTAGATCTGTTGACAAAAGATTATAGCTCCGATCAGAAATTCAGCGTCTATACTTACAGCGATTCCGGAGTGGTACGTAAACTGTAATTTACTTGCGATTCACTGTTTCTATTATATTGTTCAGTGTGTTGATTTCAAGCTGTACAAGTGAGATTTCAGGTTTTTAGTTAAGGTTTGATGTAGGTCCTGATTTTAACTCAATTTGCGAAATCGTGATGCAAACGACTCTGTGGTGATTTTGTATGCTTTATAGTGTGTCAGAATGTGGTGTTGTGGCATTAATTTTAAATTTAAGACTGTTTGCTTGTTGATGGTTGACCTGATTTTGCAATGTTGAATAATGCATTTTTGTTGCCTGTCTGATTATATAGTCATTCCACATTTGATCGGGTCATACTATGTTGTCTGTTGTACATGATCGGTATTTCGGATTCAGTTGTTATGATCTAGATAGGTGCACTGTGTTTGTGTAACATGAAAGACAGTTCAATTTGATCATTTGCTTCTTTGACTGGCATGGATGGAGTTGTCAGTATCACTAATTTCGTTTTACTTCTTTTTTTTTTTTTTTAACACAGTTGTAAGTGTGAATATATTGATTAAATGACTAGTAATATATCGTTCTGTTTAGCTTGGCATATAGAATTCATTAGTTATAACTCGATTGATTAAAATTTTTGGAAGTTAATAATCTACATGGAAAAAAGTTTAGAGAGGATATTTTAAAGAGAAAGTGGTGGAGCTCATGAGATGGTGTCCATTGATTAGTTGCTCTACAAAGCTTGCTACTGATTGGGCTTTAAAATGAAATGCTGGCTTACTGGGGAGGTGATGTATGGAGTCAGTGGACATTTTGGAGGTTTTATGATTAATGTTGGCTCTTCTGCTTCAAACTTTTGGGCTGTCTTGGGGATTGCAGAAATCCTACAAGAACAAATAATATTGCCTTAAAACTACATATTCTATAATGAGGGATGATGTTTGTTTATGTGTATGTAGATAAATATGGAACATAATGAATTTCATAGCACTCTATCATGCAGCATAGGGCTTCATCCCTTGAGGTTATTCAAATAACTTTTGGTTACCCTGATGGTGGATGAAGAGCCCTCGCACTTGGTTTCGACTTTTCATCACCCCACTACACCAAAAAAAGATAAATAAATAAAAAATAAAAAAGACTGGAGTCGCAGAAAGAAAGATATTTTGCTAATATTAACATTTAGCACAAATATATTTTGCCGACATTATAAAGTTGTGGCTTCATCTTTATGAAAATATGGTCCTAAAAAAGCATACATGAGGAAACCTAATCCATATAGTGGATCTCAACCATTCTGGGGCTAAGTCTTAGTTGAGTTTAGTAGTAAAATTCAGTGATTTTGTCTTTCGCTGATGGTTCCTTATGGTACAAGTATAAGTAATTTAGTTATTAATTTATAAAGGATTCTAGTGTTTAGGCTATAATTTATAAAATTATAATAACTAGTGAGGTAACATTGTTAACTTGGATTTATGTCGATGAAAATTGTCCTGTTCATTTTATTTATTTCTACATGTGAAAGTGGGGTTTGCAGAAGTACAGGTTTTGGTAAATGAATTTCTAAGGGAGTATTTTATATGTTCCTCTAGTAGCAGTGTTATATTTATAATTTTCACCACTGGCATGGTGTAACAGGGTGGATTGAATTATATAGCTGGGCCTTTGAACTTGTATTAGACACCTTAATCGTACATTTATCTTATTGTGATTTTCCAGAATGCTCATTGAATCATCTCTTCTTTTTAATTATTATTATTATTATTTTTTTTTTATATTGCTCAATAAGTTTCCTCTGTAGTTAAATTATGTATGACTTAACTTTTTTACTTAAAACTTTGGAATGTGTGGTTTATAGAGATAAAGCTGCAAACCTCATTTTGTTTTCTCATTTTAAGGCCCTGACATCAACGGCTCTAAAAAGAGGAGGTCTGTCAACTGGGGATGTTGCAGCATTGTACAAGTACAAGAACGCTTTATTTGATGTCAAAGTTGATACAGCATCCAATGTGGGTTGCCTCCTTCTTCTCTTTAACTGTAAAATGATCAACTTCAAATTCCCTTATTCAGCTAAGCATCTTATGTTCTCACTTTGGATTTGTAGATCTCAACAACCTTTACATTCACTGAGATCCTTCCGTCGACTAAGGCTATCACCTCATTTAAATTCCCCGACTACAATTCTGGCAAGGTATGTGGCTTACCTTAAGCTTGAATGATGAAGCCCACGGGTAGTTGGTCTGACAATTTATACTCCATTTAGGAGTTCACATTTGGACTGTGGTAAAGAAAATGTTTAATAGTTGATAAATAATTAAAGAAGTAGTGCTCCTTACTAATAATGGAATGATGTTGTTCATTCTCTTATTGTGTTATCCTTGATTTAGGGGGAGGCAAGCCTCAGAACGGTTCCTAACTTTCTGGATTTGCAATTTTATAATGGCAGTTACAAATTTTTGTAATTATTGTCTATTTCTTCTACAGTTGGAAGTTCAATATTTCCACCACCATGCAACCTTCGCCACGGCTGTTGCATTGAGCAAATCTCCTGCTGTTGATTTTTCAGCCACCATTGGTACCCCAGCAATTGCTTTTGGTGCAGAAGCAGGCTATGATACTACTTCTGGTAAATTTACAAAGTACACTGCTGGCTTTAGTGTGACAAAACCAGATTCCTATGCCTCAATACTTTTGTAAGTTACCAATTGGCATGCTCTTTCTCCAAGTTGATTTTGCCACATGCAAGACTTGGAATTCATGTCCACTGGAGACTTAGCTGCTCTATCTGTCTTTCAGGGGTGACAAGGGAGACAGTATTAAAGCATCATATGTGCATTACCTGGATCAGGCAAAGAAAAGTGCTACTGTAGCAGAAATTTCTAGAAAGTTCTCCACAAATGAGAACACTTTCACAGTTGGAGGAGCATATGCTGTTGATTACGATACAGTGGTGAAAGCAAAGCTCAACAACCATGGGAAACTCGGGGCACTGCTGCAGCATGAGGTCGTACCGAAGTCACTTGTGACTATCTCTGGTGAGTTTGACACTAAGGCCTTGGACAAACATGCAAAGTTTGGGTTATCTATTGCTCTGAAGCCTTGATGGATGTTTGCCACTTATTGAAGCATTGTTTGAATTCAACACTCATTTTGATTTTTTCCCTTGGGTGGCACTTGAAAGGAAGTGACAATAAATAGTTCCACAGAACCATGCTTGTTGGATTGTGGATGACTGGATGGAATTGTTTCATGACTAGGGTTTACAATGGTCCCCTTTTTTCCCTTGGTTTTCATTTGTAGGCTTTGGAGATGTTCATATTTGCGTATTTTCTCCATGTGGAGAACTATAAATTTTGATTGGTGGGAAATTCTGATTGCCATTATAATCCATTTATCGTAAGTCAAGGTTGTCCTTTTGCACGATATTAATCCATGCTTTTTTCACCATGGTGTAGCTTTGCTCTGGTCAGTCATGTTTTTTTAATTGGGGGAATCTGAAAATTCTCTCTCGCCTAGGTTTAAACAGCCATGATGATCCAACTAATGTTGTAGTGTGTACAGTAGAGCAAATTGAGGGTGCGACAATGCTGACAAATTGAGCGGGAGGGTTTTTGTGTGGGGAGAGGCTGGAGGTTCAGCGTGACCAGAGCTTTTGCTTTTTTCCCCGACTTTATTGTTTTTGAAGGAAACCAAAATAAATAAAGATAAAAATAAGTTTTGATTTTACTCAAAATAGGCCGCTTTGAACTGAAAGGAAGAAATTGGTATAAATCCAATTGAATGAAAGTTTACGTTCCACAGGTTTAGTATAATCCAATTTCATTGTCAATTTCCATTTACTTTCAAATAGACCTCATATGAGAATGTTACTGGGAATTGATAACAATAATATTTGTTCATCTATATACAAAAATTTACCTTAATATAAAATGCAGCCGATCTACTATTGCCTTCGACTTTATACACTTGAAACTAACAAAGAAGTGGAACGAGCAGATTTATGTAACTTCTCATCCAGTGTAGAGCATTTCATCAAGTTAGAGCTAGAAAAGGCTGTGTACTAATATCCACTTTAGACACAGAGAAATTCGATCTCTACCTAGGCCTTATGGTTTTATCTAACCGGGAAAACCAGGAACTACAAAGTAACATTACAAAATTAAAACATTGCGTTTAGCAAAGCACATTCCAGTACGGAAGATGTTCATAAAAGAGAGTGCCAATTACCCCAGATGTTCATATCAAGTGCAGTGATTCCTTTTGCAACAGTAATGCAAATAGCCATGGTATTATTATAGACACGAAAGACATTAAATAAAATACCCAGGAAGAAGAAACTGCAAATATTAAGCAGTATTTTAATATGGAACCACATCAAGCAATTTAAGTACCATAAATTATTAAAAGGATGATTACGGGGAAAAACAAATAGATAACACAAAGTTAACTGACCTAGAAACTATTTATTCTATGACTCAAATACAAAATGGTCAACTGAACTAATACATTAACTGATGCAAACTGAAATGAGAGAAAGTTAATATCCAAGAAAACCATGACAAAATAAAAAAGAATCCAAATTGGTGAATGGTATACAAAGGTAACCGAACATCCTAAATTCAAGAGGTTTAAATTCAAATTAGGCATTGAAACAAATTAAAATTGCAAATTGCTTTGGAAATACCTAAATATCAACAAAGTGAAGCAATCAGGGCAGTAAATTCAGCCCACTGATAATAAATGTTCAAGCTAAGCAAAACAAGTTTTAGAAGCATACAGGTTTATGAAAATTAAAGCACAAAAAGAAAACTTGCTATCTAACAAAATTAGCATTTCACATATAAACATAAAAATCACATTCCAAAACAAGTAATAAACAAAGTGGTATTAACAGAACATAATAATACCATAACCTCTCAGAGGAGACTATATAAATCACTATCACAACAAGGCAAAAACGCAGAACATATCAATCAAAGGTTAAAAATTAACTATTCATCAGCACATATAACAAACAAAATCCAAAATTATTAGCAGGAAATGCAAAATATAAGATTAACGATTGACAAAATCCGAGTTCACATGAAGTAAAAGCCTTAATATCCTTAGATCCAAAACATACCACTAACAATAATATCAAAAAAGCTCTTAACACATAAAGCATCCTATCATTGAATATTTAGAAATGACAAAACAAACTTCACCGCTCAAGATTTCAAATCAATCAACGCTCTGCATGATATCCTCAGCTGTGAACTTGGTGCCCTTATCCTTATCAGCGGCGGCCCTACCCTTAGCCTTGCGGTCAAGCAGAGACTTCCTGTCCTTGTCGAGACGGAGCTTGGTGATGACAACCTTGGAAGGGTTGATTCCAACGTTGACGGTAGAGCCGTTAACCTTCTCCCTGGTAATGCGCTCAATGTGAATGACCCATTTGCGTCGGTAAACCTGAACCACCTTACCTTCCCGGCCCTTGTAGGTTCCACGAACCACCTGAACCTCGTCGTCCTTGCGTACGGGCATAGATCGCACGTTGTATTTCTGGCGGAGGTCAGTAGAAAGAGGTGCACTCATCAGGATCCGACGAACGGATGATGGGGCTGTAAAGTGAGCCTTCCGGTTCTTGCGCCGGGAAGACGAAACCCTAGGATTGTACTTCATCGTGCTTGTGTGCGGTGGTGGAGTCTGCTAGGGTTTTTGGAGAGACACCTACGGCTAAAATGTGCAAGTGGAAACGAGGAAGAAAGTTGTGGCAAATATATAGATGATGGAATTAGATATTAGGGTTTTGTATGACTAGATGGGCAGTGGGCTTAATGGGTAGAATTATACTGGGCTTTTAGTACGGGCTGAGCTGATTCCTGGACTGTAATTTGATTCCGCCTTCTTAACCAATGGGCTTTATTTATAGGGAATGAATATGCACCCAGCTTTTCCGGATTCACTTTTGATGTAGCCCAATATGGGCCCATCAGAGGATTAAAATTGCTCCAGAAAGTGTACGTAAGACTGGGGATTCTGACCCATTTTAGAAAATGGTCCTGTATTTTTCATCCTAAAAAAATATGATACAAATTTTATGGTTCCATTATAATGGAAACAGTTGTTTTGTTAAAACCGATTCATATTGACTTGAAATATTTCCCGTCCCATTCAGTCCTAAAAATGGTACATGTTTATGAGTAATTGAAATTATTTTTTTATGCTTTTATTAACCATCAAATAGCAATTTTAATAATTAAAATTATTTAGTTCTTATTTTTATTTTTCTTTTACTCAAATTTCAATTTGCGAATTTTATTTGGTTACAATTGATAATTGTAATAATTTATCATTTTTAATCAAAAAATAATTTAATAAAAATATTCAAAATTCTGATTAATTCACATTTGACCTATTCCACCATAATCTATGGATTTAAATTCCCATCCTCCCATAATTATATACTTATCAGAACGGAATTGAAACTCCATTATTCACGTCATCACTGTACTAAAAATTATATAATCTCAATATCATGCAAACCGAGCTTGGCAGCTTCTATGGTGGTTTGATTAATATTGACTTATTTATTATCCTTCTCGACCATTGACTTTGCATTTCATGATATGATAGCGTATGACCAATTTTAAACTTTCCAATGACGTCCCACCCTTCCTAATTATCCCATATATTAAAAAAAAACAAACAAAAAAAAGATCTACACAAATGATTCTGCTTAAATTTAGGTTTCAAACATGGCAACTACCAATAGAAACCCAATAGCTGATGCAAATATTGACCTTCTAGATCAACACCCACTAAAGAATCCAAAGCCAAACACACATGGCGGAGCCACGGTGGTTGAAAATCTACCAGATTACACGCCAATACACCTGGCTTAACCATGGTGATGCAAAATCTAGCAGATTACAGAAGAAACAATTACAAGGTAGGAAAGTAGGAAATAAGTCCAAATCAGATTTCTCAAATCATTTAGTCAGAGAAATTTTGGTAATGATACTATTTGGTAAATGATACTATATATAATATATATTATTATATTATATATAATATATTTTAATATTTTGAAATTTTTTTAAGCAAAGGCTAAATATTTAAGAGCAGCATTTATGAAGTGATCACTACTGCACCCATTAATACTACCCTACAGTCGAAATTTATATACCAACCATTGGTTGCCCCTATATTTATATATTTTGAATTAAGCAAAGGCTAAATATTTAAGAGCAGCATTTATGAGTGATCACATGCACCCATTAATACTACCCTTACAGTCGAATTTATAACCACCATTGGTTGCCCCCCGCCCCCCTTCTCCAAAAACCCTAATTTGCCACTGACATTCCAAAACCCTTCAAATCTGTGCAACAGAAAGATCATCAAAAGCCAAAATGAGGGGTTGGAAAGATTTGGGGCTTGTTGATACAATTTACGAGGAAGAATATGAACTCTCTTCTTCTTCTTCTCCTTCTCTTTCTCCTTCTATGTCTTCTCCTCCACTTCACACTCCCCTCAATTCCAGAGTGGAATCCTGGTATCTAATTTCGTGCCATATGTTTATTTTTGTTATGATTTTTTTAAAACATCTCATCTAATGTTGTCCATTTTTTATTTTTTTATAAGGTCATTGGCAACTGGGAGAAAAACGGACGTCTTGATATATGTCCAGGGAACGTGCTTTCATCTCCACAAGGTCGGTTCATTCTCCTAAACCCCTTAAAATTACAAAACGACCATCATCCTATCACATAATTTTAATTTCAAAATTCAAAACATTTAAAAAAAAAATTTTTTTTTTACAATGTAATTAATTTCCGATGATAATCTGTTGGCTGAGTGCTTTTCTCATTATACGAGAATTTAGATGTTCGAGTCCTCATAATCGCTTGATTTGCCATTTAAAAATTTTTCCATATAACATAGAAAGAATGACGTTTCTTGCTTGCTGTCTGCCATTTTCTTGTAATAATAGTGTAACTATGAATTTTATATAGTATTTTTATTTATATGTAAAAACAAATATTTAAAAACATAATTAGGTAGTTACTTGACAAGTAGTACATTATTTAAATTGGGAAAAGTGTTGATAAGCATTTGTTGTCAGATTTTGCAAGAATGGGTAGAAGATAATGGACTGTGCATATATACTTAATATGCATTGCTTATCACTTTCCTTTTGGAGCTGAGAGCAACTCAATTATGGCTGACACTAGTTTTCTTATCCTGTATGGAAGGTAATTACAATAAAGGGAAAGGTTGAATAAAAATGGAGATTCAGAAGTTTTTATCTCAGAAGAAATTTCATTTTTTATTTTTTTTTCCTGAACTTTACAGATTTATAAGCCTTACTTATAATATAAAACTGATATGTATATTTTTTATCATTTTAAATTTTATAGCTAATTAAATAATTATTTTTATTAAATATTTTTACTTTAAATCGTTATATAAATAATTAATATCTAATAGCTAGCGGATAGTAAAACGACTAACAATTATTAAAATATCAAACCGCTGACAGAACAAATATTAGAATATCAATTAACAATTATTATTTGAACTGAATCTAACAAATCTCCAAGAGCTACAAGTATGGTGGTGTTTTCCTGATGTATGAATACATAAATGAATGGTATCAATCAGCAATTAATGGAAAGTTGTGGGTCACTTGCTATATTTAACTCTATTACTTTTACAGGACCCGTTAATATCCAAGAGTTCATATCTGAAACGTCAACTAACGGAACTATCCGAAATAACGCTCCCGTTAAACATAACGTCAGAAACTTTTGCCCTTGTAGCAGACTTCTGCTACGGCGCCAACGTAGTGTTAACGCCGTTCAACGTAGTGGCGCTGAGAACCGCTGCCGAGTTGCTCGGGATGACGAAGGTCAAGACTAAGCGCGACGAGAACTTGAAGCAAATAACAGAAACATACTTCCGTCGATTAATCGCCACCAATCGGGAGCTAACGCTGATTGTTTTCCGTTCATGTTTGCGGTTTCTGCCGGAGGCTGAAACGGCAGCGTTTCTGTTGAGCAGATGCATTGAAGCGTTGGACTTAACAGGAGAAGGTGACGAGATGGACAGAGTTCTAGACGACATTATAGGTTTGCGCGCCGATGAGTTTGAAATCGTCGCAGAAGCTATGCAAAGCAGGTTTACTAGCCACAACTTCTTGTACAGAATCATTGACCTTTACTTTCAGGTACGTTCTTGAAACTTCAAAAATGGTTTGTTGATACTGGGCCATGCAAATGATAACTGGAATTATGGTGAATTAACAGCAACATAATGGTAAGATGACAGAAGAACAAAAGACTTACATATGCAATTTCATAGACTGTGACAAACTCTCGCCTCAATTCCTTATACAAGCAGTACAAAACCCTATTCTCCCATTAAGATTCGTAGTCCGGGCAATGTTAATCGAACAGCTGAACACCCGCCGAGCAATCTTCACTACCTCCGCTGCTGCTTCCACAAACCAGCAATACACACGCCAACATCATAACCAAGAGGTAGCCATTACCTTAGGCTCAATCCTTCAAAGAGATGCAATGGCACGCGAAGCGGCTCAACTAAAAGCAGAAATGAACTCAACTAGCTCGCGCATTGAAAGCTTGGAGAAAGAATTAGCTGTAATGAAGAAACTATTGCAGAGATCAGAGAAGGAAAGAAATACATTAGTAATGGAGAAAAAAACTCTGCAACAGCTTGAGAAGGAAGGAAGGAATATTATGGAGTCATCGAGGTCTGCAAGTTTTCATTATGGGTTGAGAGATAGTAATAAGATAGATAGAGGAGAAAGAGGATCTTCTTCTTTTGCTGGTTTTCGGTTAGGCGTTAGAGGTGAAAAAAATGGAGGCTCTTCATTATCAAATCTTGACCATGAGGAAAGTGCAAGTAATTATAAGAAGAATATTGGTATGGGATTTATAAACAGATTAAAAAGTACATTATGGGTATCAAAATCTGCATCTTCAAAGTGTCATCGTAATAGCAAATTTTCTAGCAGCAATGAAGACGCATCTGAACTGGAAGATGAAAATGAAGACGTTATTGTGGCTAAAGAAGGATGAAGTTGTCAGAATTGAAGAGTTGCTTTCTAGTTTAAGCAGGTTAGGACATTATTGTTATGGTGATGATTTTATTTTTATCTTTTCTCTTGAAATTGATATGTAAATTGAGGTTTAATTTACACCACCTTTTTTTTTTTTTTTTCATTTTTTATCTTTTAATTTGTTTATATTAATGATTTGATTAAGAAAGAATAGAAATAGATTCTTCTCTATGTTGGTCATGATTGGTCCATATGCAGGTTTTATCTTGTCTTACAAAAGCTTTGAAGAGAATGAAAGAAAAATGAAATAGAAGAAATTACATGCACCACAAACATAGTCCTACTGTAGCCTTCAAAAATAGTGTAAAGTTGCACCAATAAAAAAAGCAAAAGTGTGAAGTTGACGTGGCTGCGGTTGGTCATTGATAATCTGCTAGTCGCTGCTGGCCACTTGCAAAAAGCTAAAAAAGAAATAGAACTATCAAACAAAATATACCTAACTTTCTTTATACATGGCTGGCTATTATTAGGTCTAATTTTCTAACACTAATCTGAAGCCTGCAAATAAGCAGCTGATTTTCTGCTGTCAGCTTCAATTTAGGTTTGGGGCATTGGAGGATGGTCCTGTCATTTGTTTTCCATCTCAAGTCAATTATAAATTTATAAATTAAAATGTTAAGATAAGTAAATCTACAGGAAAAGAAAAATAAATATTAATTAATATTAATAAATAAATAATATTTATTTCATTTTTATTTAAAAAATTATTTATGTATGTTTTAATAAATTATTGAATAAATTAATTATATTAAAGAGAAATTTTTAAAAATTATAGCTGTTAATGTTTGTTATGCCACACGTTTATGTACATGATATTTTCGCAAATATGAAATTTATCTCTGGAGAGACTCTGTCCCGCTCCTGATTATTCGATGTCCACATGCAAAGCACGATTCTCAAAATATAATCAAACGCCGTTTTTAAAATTTAAATAAGATTCAGGAGAAGATAGATACCGACAGTGATTGATCAATATTTGTGAAATAACGTGAAACAATCACTTTAGTTTCCAACACATTATAAAACGACACCACTGCCTTCTTCTAGACTGTCGTACTATCATCGTTCATTGTCCGATTCAAACAAAACAAAAACAACCACCTCCCAGTCAATCAATCAGCGCACCACCACCACCACCAATCTCTTCCCTCTCTTGCATCTATTAGATTTGCTAAAAACAGTACTCCTCTCTCCCTCCTTTGGCCAAAAGTCCATAAATAAATGTACTTTAAGAATCGTTAATGAATCTCTTCGTTGTTCGTCAACTTCGCATCTGTAAGGAATTTAGAGCAAGCTATTTGTTCGAATAGTTAGACGTATAGTTGATGATTGTTTTGCTGAAGGTGTTTCTGGGATGGTTGTGATACGAGGAGTAGCGAGGCCGTTGATATCTGGTTACTCTCCTGAACTTGAATCTGGATCGTCGGCGTCGTCGAAGCTAGGGTTCCTTAGATTCTCAGTCGGCAACAATGCGGTTAATAATTTGGGATTTTGTCGTGGTGGCGGGAATGCGAGGTTGAGATCTTGGTGCCTTATTAAGGCAATGGATATGGAGGAGTCTGCTGCTTCTTTGACCAAGGATTGCTCGGGTATTTCTGGTATGAGCATGTTCGTATTTTCACTTTGGATATTCAATGCTTGTTGAAAGTTTTTGACTTCTTGATTTTGTTTTTACTATTGTTTATGCTCTCTTTTTGTTTTTCCTGTTTTTTTACCTGGGTAAAATTTCTTTAACGGATTGAACAACTTTCTTTGAAAATTCAAATAGTACTTTTTTACTTCTACAGAAAACTTTTTTTTTTTTTTTTTTTTTTTTTACCTGGGTATTTCTTTAACGATTGAACAAACTTTCTTGAAAATTCAAATAGTACTTTTTTACTTCTACAGAAAACTTACTTTTTTTTTTTTTTTTTTGGACTCGAGTTGAATGCTTTTAATTATTCAAAGGAATAACTCTGAGTTCATGATGATTCATCCTTTGAATTTGTCATTATATTAAAATTAAAATTAATTTAAATTAAATTTGCTTTTTTTTTTTTTTAAAAGAGGGGGATATTCGAGGATTTGAGTTGTGAAAGACAAGTTGAAGATAAGGATAATGATAATGACAATGATAATGATAATAAATAAAAATTAAAAAAGACAAATCAGGGATTAGGAGAAATTCCGCCAGGATAACAAATAGTTAAGCCGGAGAATCTTTAGGTGGATCTAATAGATCTATTCTTCGACTTTGCCCATAGAGATTGCATTATATGATCCAAAGAGAAAGAAACACAACTTCTGGTACTGATTATGTCTCCATGTGTGTGAATTTGCGAATTGAATTTTTTTGAGGTCACTTCGTTTCTTGCTTTCTAGCTTTTTTTTTTTTTTTTTTTTTTTTTTTTTTTTTGGCAAAAGATGCACTATAAGAAAAGGCTTGTTTCAATTCAAATTGCAATTAATGCTACTCCTAGAGTTGATCATTAACTTCAAAAAAGTGAGAGTAGAAGTTCTTTTTTTTTTTTTTTTTTTTGGCAAAAGATGCACTATAAGAAAAGCTTGATTTCAATTCAATTGCAATTATGCTACTAGAGTTGATCATTACTTCAAAAGTGAGAGTAGAAGTTTCTAAACATTATTTTCTCTAATTTTCTTCAACTGGTTTTTACTTTTATGGGTATGAGATGGGGTTGAGTTTTTTGGCAATTTGAATAGAAATGGATTCTAAGATTGTATGCAGAGAAGAAGCTTCATATTTGGTTCACGGGCACGGAAATTTACACAGCTTGTTTTGAAAGTAACTTTTTCATGTACTTCAAAGTGGACTTTTGAGTTAAAATTGGAAAGTCTCTTATGGTTCTAGTTTCAACGTTGTAAATAGGAAAAGATCTCCAAATGATGTCTTGCAACGGAAAGTCAACCAACATTGTGTGGCATAAAAGTTCAGTTAATAAATTTGATAGGCAAGAGTTACTTCGGCAGAAAGGTTGTGTCATTTGGATTACCGGTCTCAGCGGTTCAGGTTTGTTAAATGTTTTGTTTAGTTTACTTTCTAATGTTTTTGCAAGAAAATAATAGCTTGTTATTATTTGTGGTTACAATGAAGATCTAACATGCCATTTTCCAGAAAATTGAATAATGTGAATGCAGTGTCATTTACAATTACTCCTCTCCTATATCTGAACATCGTTGTGAATTTCACATAAATAGTGATCTAAATGGTGCCTTCTGATGCTCTATCTGTTTTCAGTATGATTGATAAATTTGCTTGGATTTGTGCTAGTTGCCCAAGTTGGTGATTTTGTAGAAACATACTTTAGATTTTCGTTTACCAGGCTACATGATCATACATGTCTTAAGTTTTGAAAGGAACCACATACTGTGACTTTTTGATGGCCCATATGCCCAGAAGTGACATGAAGGTGACAAACAACGGGCTTATCCTTCCTAGAACTGCGTCACAGTGTTATCTCTTAACCGATGATGCATGAAGCTATCCAAAAATATCTGTTGCCCAGAATAGTAAAAATCAACCTAACTCACAGGGTGTAAACATTGAGACTATGAACTGGTGTAAATTCGAATTTACCAAGTGTTTAGTCAGAAGCATCATAGTGAAATTTAAGGCATTGTTGTTTATAATTAATATTATTGTTCTTTTGAGAAAATAATAAACACAGCATATAATTTTAAAAACAAGCACAAAGCTTATGAACAGCTGGTATATAATTCTCAGGTTATCTGAATGCATATAACAATATATAGGCGGATCTGATCTTATTATTTTCTGACGAAACCGTAAATGAGAAGTATCTGACTTTGAAAGTCTTTTGCCAGTGCCATAGAAGTTCTAAGACAGCTTGCAAATTTGGATGCAACTTCCCTGACATTAAGGAATTATCTTTTGCAATCCCTAATCATAAATCATTGCTTTCTATATCTCTGTTGGACTGTTACCTCAGGAAAGAGCACTTTGGCATGTTGTCTGAGTCAAGGCCTGCACTCAAGAGGAAAGTTGACCTACATCCTTGATGGTGACAATGTCCGACATGGTCTAAACTGTGACATTGGTTTTAAAGCCGAAGATAGGACAGAAAATATTCGGAGGATCGGTAAGAGTTTGTTATTTTCTGCTTTTTTGCTGATTAATTGGTTTTTCATTTTATTATCTTCCCTAGGTCTTCATTTCCTCCAATCTTCTATCTTGATGGTGGAATATAATGTTGTGATTGTAGGGGAGGTAGCAAAGCTTTTTGCGGATGCCGGTGTTATTTGCATTGCTTGTTTAATATCTCCCTACAGGAAGGACCGAGACAGTTGTCGCGCATTACTACCAGAGGGAGATTTCATTGAGGTAAGTGCTAGTCATTGTGGCAATATGAAACTCTGATGGTGGGAAGAATCAATTGCTAAGCAAATAAATGGTTTTAGTTGCTTGTGAAAACAAAATTGCACGAACTGTGACTCTTGACAGGTGTTCATGGATGTGCCACTTGAAGTGTGTGAGGCAAGGGACCCAAAGGGCCTATACAAACTTGCTCGTGCTGGAAAGATCAAAGGTATGTTTGAGGACCGTTAATTTTGATTCTTGAACTTTTTTCATGTTTAGGGTGTTTAGTTCTTTTCTTCATGCCACAGTAGAGATTGTTAAATTCCCAATTTATTTACACGGTAATAGTTGGCATTTTTGCAGGTTTTACTGGCATTGATGATCCTTATGAACCACCACTAAATTGTGAGGTGTGTATACCTGAATGGAAAAGTATGTGTGCTGATTGGGTTTGATATTGCAAGTAAACATGAACTTGATGGATTAGTTATGTTTTAATAACACTAAGAAGAGTTGGTGCATGTTAGCTGTGATTCCCTAGTACATACAAATGCAGACACCATACATGCCATGGTAAGCTGAAAAATGAATTGAAATTGCGTTGTGGTGGAATTTTTTTGCCTAGCCTATAGCTTTTTTGTCCCTTTGATCCGTGCAATTTTTCCTGGGTGAAGCATGAAATGGATCAAGGCTTAACCCAATTCCATTCAAAACCTGGACAGTGACTCGTTAAGCTTATTAGCATAGATATATAGAAATTGCCTCATAATTTTCAGTTACTATCTATTATTATTATTATTATTATTATTTCTTACCAATTTTCACAACCATTGATTGGCAGGTAACACTGACACAGAAGGGAAACAACTGTGTTTCTCCATGTGAGATGGCTGAAACTGTAATAAGTTATTTGGAAGACAAAGGGTATCTGGAGGCCTGATAAGCCGAAGGAAAAACAGTAAAACGATTTGCTGCCTGGAAAGAGCCTTGAATTCTTAGATACTGAAGCTTATATTTACTGCAAAATAAAATGCCTCAATAATGGAAAATAATGTCTGTCAAGGAAATTTCTCGTTTCCTGCATCTAGCAGTCATTCATTTGTAAATAGCAGTAGCAATATGATGTTCATTATGGAATAAACATGTCTAGGGTCTGGACAGAGTGCTTGTATTCAAACATCGAAGCTTGTAAATTTGTATAATTAGCAAATACCTGGGTTCTCATTGTCTTATGCTTCTCTAGCACTTTTTTTGGACAGGGAAAAGTTTATAAGCAAAGTCAATGGAATTCAATAGATTATTCACCCAAAGCGCAAAAATATGCCAGTGTATATTCTCAGTAAACGAGAATAAGAAGGGTAAGTAATTACAACACAGGGAAGGAAAAAGTGGTGTGCTGAATTATAACGGCTAAGAAATGTTAAAGTTAAATCATAGCAAGACCTATTTCTGCTCTTGCATGGCTATTTAAGGACAAGAAACAAAAAACTAGTGCCATAGTCATAAACAGCATAGCAGACCTCGCAGACTCCAAGGTTGCCGCAATACGTTGCTCCTGCAGATCCCATAGGGTTGTAACAAACCCACCTAATCCATCGACCACCATAGCCAGCAACATTGCCATCTTCTTCAATAATCTGAAGGCTTCTCCTCTCTTTTTTCTAGAATTCTAGTGAGGAAGTGTGGTTTCTAGTGGGTTGGAAAGACTGCATAGGCAGATGGGTGAGGTTATGATCCAATGGTTTTTGCTCTTTATTGAAACATCTGGTCTGCAACTTGTAGAGAAAAGGGAAATATCCAGGTTGCTTCCCCTTTTTTAACTTTTCAGGATCCAGTTTAAAATGCTCAAGGAGAAATCATTTTTACACTATTGATTTTTAATTAGGGTGTAGAAAGTACCTTGAATTCTATGATCTACATTTACATCACGCTTGCAATGAGCAAAAACGTCACACATTATAATAATGTGACAAAATTTTACTAATAGAAATTCAACTATTCAAGTAAATTTACTGCATGAAGTGTTATTGGCACAAAAAAAAAAAAAAAAAAAAAGTAAATTTACTGGCATGAAGTGTTATTGGCACAAAAAAAAAAAAAAAATTATAAAGAAATGTTTGTCCTAACTGTCAAATAGAGTGTAACTGTATCCAACATTATCAAGAACACCTAAACTTAAAAAAGCAAACTGAATCGTAGACTATAATTCATAGGAATAAGTTACCACTGCATACTATAAAAACTACTTATAGATCAACTAATAATATAATAATATATATATAGTATATATATATATATATATATATATATATATATTAGACATAATATAGACATATATATATTTGTTGAAACAACAATAATTTCTAACCATTAACTGAAAAAATAGGATAAAGTGGGAAGAACTTTTAAAAAATCTCTGTTTTGATTGGTTTGGATGGACCATATTCTAGACAAGTTTTATTCTTACAACAAATGGTTAAAAAGACCTCATTTACTCACTTGAAGGAATTTGGACCACAAGCTTGATCTTTCGACTGTCCTTCCTTCTCTTGGAAGAAGGTACGGGAAGGCCCTAAAGGCTAGAATTACAAAATGGAGGCAACTCCTCGATACTATAAACCTCCTATCACCTCAGTAATCCGAACCTGAAACTTCCAAATGGAGATTCCAACCTTTTCTATCTCGTGGATGTGTAAGCATGTAGCTGACCTCCAACACCTGAGAGAAGGCTTTGACATAGTGGCGCCCTATTAGAAGATGGAAGATGCAACTTTGTCCAAACACACATGCTTTTGTTTTCCAATGAGCCAATACCCAGCCTTATAATTTTTGAAATTTGTTATTTCAGATTCTCAGCCTTGTTATTTGGGTTAAGATTCTTCAACATGCAAAAAGTATACATACTTGTGACATTACTTAGAATTATGTAACAAAGAAGAATTCAACGTTCAATAGATATCATAATATGTATTATTACACTACCAATAAGAACGTAGTTTAATTTCAAAACAAATTGTTGCTCATTTTGATGGAAGCATCATATCCATGGAAGTGCTAGGAAGCAATTGCCAGATTAAGCCACGGTTACACCTCTGGTCAGCCCAAGGTGCAAGGAAAAACACATCGAATGGCTTTTACATATTTGCCTACACTTGTTGCCTTGTATTCCTATTTAACTGAGTCAGACGAGAAAAATACAACAAATGATTAAATGAATGAAACAAAAGTATAGGAGAATCCTACGAATGCAGGCTTCCAAAAAGATTAAGTAATTAGAAAGGCAAGTAGCGGAGCTTAGACAGCAAAAACTACACAAGTACACATTTTGTTAGTGGCGACTTATTTCAGTCTTAAAGGTACCTGCATTTCCTTGGCAATAGAAGGTAGCCACCTCTCCCCCCTGATTCTTTTTAATTCTGCAATCCTTTCCTCCTCTTTTTTGGCTTTAGCTTTGGCAGCTGCTTCTTTGGCTTCCAACCTAGCTAATGCCTTTTGGCCTGCCTCTGTTGCTGTAGCTATTATCTCTGCCCCATCTACAGCAATGGATTTGATTTGCCGTCTAAACTGCAAGATATTAAAATCCTTGGAAGCATTTTGTCTATCTTAACATATAGATGGCAAGTAAGAATGAAGAATCTAGAGCAAGAAGTCAACCTTCTTTGATTTCTCATCAAGGTTGTAGCCAGGAAGGATTCTTGGTCGCTTTCTGGGTCCTTGAATTTCATCTAGAAACACATGCACTTCAGTCTTAATGCACAATGTTCAAGAGTTTATGAAGAATGCATTGAAAAGTTGAGCCCAAACAATTTGGTAATTTACAAATAATGCAAAATTGCGACCCCAATGGCAACATACAGTTCCACAAATTTACAAAAATAAGTTGGCCTCTGATCTCTTCCACAAACAAGGGATGTTCCACATGATGATTAGCATGCCAAAACCAATATTCCAAGTGAGTGACTTATCGAAACTATATACAGGCTTGTCATTTACACTAAATTTTGAAACTAAGGCTGCTGATGGTAGTGAACATATGCAAGATAAGACAATTCTCTTTATCTGCTTAACATCACAAAGTTGTAGGCTTCAAATGCAAATTATAAACAAAATGATCGAGTAGGACGTCTCAGCATTTTCCCATAAAGGGACAATTGAAAACATTCAAGAATTATAAACAGATAAGCTAACCTTTATGGTCAAATACTATCCCAGCAGGAGAATTTTTAAATAGCCTAACTCCACCTTCATCTGCAATGGGGTTATCCGGAATATCAATGGGCTCACTCACCATCATTAAGGTCTTATCTAACATGTCATCCAAAAGCTTTTGTGCCTGCCATTAAGTTCTACTGAGTCAAAAAGATGGCATAGAAATCAAAACAGAAGACCATTTAACCTGGCATAATATGGTTTTAGAGAGGTGATAAACCAACATATGAATAATCCACCCAGAACAAGGTCGAAAAACACACTCTCTTTAATTTCACTTATAAAGTAAGCATAACCTTGTGAACATAATTATCAGTTAGGCAATGATATCATACTTTTATACACATCATAAATTGCTTATGCAATTATCACTAAAAAATTTCAATATCCACATTTCTCCCCTTCCAAAACAATTTTATCTTTTCTCCAAAACAACTCAACCCAGATAATGAAAGACTATAAATAACATGAGAATGCATCAATTTTAAGGAAATTGGTGACCTTGAGTTGGTAGTGCTTGAGCTTTTTAGAATTCTGGTTTGGCTCTTCCCCGTCTCCATTAGAAGTAGAATGCCATTTTGAGCCATTGGAAGCGGTACCAAAAGCTTTGCTACCAAAAGTGGTAGTGGCAGCTATTGACTCGATGGCTGCTTTCCAATTCGCATCCTCCTCGTCACTGCTGCTCCCGCTATTGGTTGGCCCTCCCATGCTAAAATTCCCGAAAATTATTGTTCAAGGGTTTATGTTTAGAACGAGCAAAACTGGGCTTCTTTTAGATAAAGGGCCCAATCCGTCTACTGGGCCGATTATATGGCCCGCCTGGACCGATCGGAGTTTCGATGCTTCCTCGCCGTTCAACGCTGCAGTCGGCGAACCTCACCGTCTTAGAACCTTTCAAACAATAAAATAAAAAAGCAACCTCTCCCTTCCTCTCTCTCCTGTGACATAAAAGTCGGAGAAGCAGAGAGCAGAAGGCGTAGCTTGAGCTTTGCGGTCTTTGATTTAGGGAGCTGAGATATAGATAGCCGTAAAACCCTTATTTCTCGAAATCGCCATCGATAGCTAACAGAAGAGATGGGGAAGAAGCAACACAGCAAAGATCGAATGTTCATAACAAAAACAGAATGGGCCACCGAATGGGGTGGCGCCAAATCTAAAGAGGTCCATACTCCTTTCAAGCGCCTCCCCTTCTATTGCTGCGCGTATGTATGCTTGCCCTCCACATTCTTTGTAATGTTTTTTTTTCCCTTCTTTTTTACTATATAGTAATTATTTGCATATTTCTTTGTATGGTTTCTTCATATGTGCTTGTTAATTTTCTTGCAGTCTCACATTTACACCATTTGAGTTTCCAGTGTGCACCACAGATGGAAGCGTCTTCGATATAATGTTTGTATCTCTATTATCTTATTTTATAGTTTCGCGTTAAAGTTGTTGAGAAACTCTGATGTTGGTTATATAAATTTTATATACAGGCATATTACTCCTTACATAAGGAAGTATGGGAAGCATCCAGTTACTGGAGCTCCGCTCAAGCAGGAGGATCTTATCCCAATTACTTTTCACAAGAATTCTGAAGGTTCTTTTATCATTATTATTATTATTATTAGTATTATTATTATTATAACTTTTTGCTGCTTTCTTATATTCAGTTTATCAGTTTGAATTGTGGCGTGTAGTGAATGATGTATTCAAGTATGAAAATTAGAAAGATTGAATTTCGGTTTTAAACAGAATCCATAGCCTTCAACCTTATCCCCTATTTAAGTCAGGGAAGTGAGAAATGAGGAGTACTTATGTGATGAATATAGAGAATACTGCAGTTTCATGGGAAGAATTCACTCCACGTTAGTTGAAATTTTCACAGTGGGCAGTAGATCAATTTCTTGAAGCCATCCCATTATTGATTTTTTTTTTCATGGAGTTGGTTATTGTTGCTTCACTGGTTTTTCTTTTCTTTTTTTTTATTAGCTACTAGATCATAAAATTCTAGTTTTTTTGCCATGCCTTGGGGCAGTACCATTCGTCTATTAGAGTTTGGACCTGAAAAACCACATGTAGATTGGCCTTCGGTGAGTGCTTTTGCTTTGACCAACCCTATCAGTTTTGATATTAGCATCATGTATGACGTCTGTTTCTCCTTTCATTTTGCTTTCTAAAGACAATGGTGAACTGACAAGGAGAGTTAGTTTAGTTTCTTTGATAATTTCAAAGCTATGAAGGGAAAAGAAAAGATGAAACTATGAAAATATCTAGTACCCCAAGATAGTGACTTTTAGGATCGAGGATTTATGAGGCCCATCTCATCTGCACCCAGTTGAGTATGGAGAGCCGAGACTCCCAGCTACAGCTAGTCCTTTTAGGGTTATCTTGAAGAACTGGCTACCTTGTTAAATTTTGGTTGCTTGGAACTACCGTGAACTGTGGAAATAATTTCACTGGAGCAGAAGATAAAATTACTACTCTTGGATTGAGCTCGATTGTTGTTGTATATTTAAATAGAAGAGTAATAGATGTTCCCTTGTAGGTCATATGTATCAACAGTAAATGTATAAATAAATACTGCTGCTACTATTATTGCCAGTAGAGTTCTTCCCTATTACTTTGTTTTTGGGATAGTTTTCCTCACGAACGGTGTTCCTAAAACACTTGTAATCCTCTCGGTGTAGCCATGTGGATGATCAATGCAATAATTTTTCTTGTTTCATGCCCTGTATGGAGATGCCAACTCATTCTTTTCTGTATTGTCATTCACCTTTAATTTAAATTTATGTCTTATTCATGTTAGTCTACGTATTTTGTCTGCAGGAGAGTATCATTGCCCCGTATTAAACAAAGTTTTTACTGAATTTACACATATAGTTGCTGTGAAGACTACAGGGAACGTATTCTGTTATGAGGTTTGTTGCATATGAATTATTAACATCAGTACTTCAACCCATATTTTTGGTACAAGTCTTTATTTGTTAGCTTTTTACCTTGTAGGCAATTAAAGAGTTAAACATCAAGACCAAGAATTGGAAGGAGCTGCTCACTGATGAGCCATTCACTAAGGAAGACTTGATAACAATTCAGGTTTTAATAGCTTTCCAAGATGCATTCTATTTACTATGCTAAAATATGCTGGCAGTTTCTCCCACGCGAGTGCATGATGTATTCTTATCTCTGTGGTTTGCCTTGCAGAATCCTAATGTCCTTGACAGTAAGGTCACTCTGGATTTTGACCATGTTAAGAAGGGGCTGAAAATTGATGATGAAGGTAAGCAAAATTTATCACCACCAATTGGGTCAAATCTAGATTTTTCTTTTCTCAAAAATAAAAATTAATATGATCATGACCTTGCATTTCCTTCTTCCAGAGCTGAAGAAAATGAGTTCAGATCCAACTTATAACATTAATATATCTGGAGATATCAAGCAGATGCTGGAGGAGCTTGGAACTGAGAAAGGAAGGGAAACTGCACTTCATGGTGGAGGCGGCAACAAGGCACAGAAGGAACGGGCTGCTGCACTTGCTGCCATTTTGGCTGCAAGGTCGCGAATTAAGGAGGATTCCAAATCAGATTCAAATGGAGAGTCTAAACCCCCACAGGCTTATAGTATTGTAGATGCTGCATCTGCTGCAGTACATGGAAGAAGTGCTGCTGCAGCTAAAGCTGCATCAGGTGATAAAACTGCTGCTCGAATAGCCATGCACATGGCTGGTGAAAGGGCACCTGTGAATGCCAAAATGGTTAGTTTGTCCCTTTTTTGATCTTTCCTTAGTCATAACATTATACAGTAGAGACCAAAACAGATGATATACTTTGAATTGTATATTCAATATGCCTTTTTGCTCTTCGTTTGTTGACCCAATTGTCTTTTATGTTGTGATAAAGCTGACTGAGCTGTTCTAATTTCTTGAACTGTTGTTTATGCCAATTTTATGGTGTAGATTATCTAAATGTGTTGATATAAACTTGCCTTTTAAAGTGATAATTCAAGTAATGATTATTTTTATTTTTCAGTTAGATGTTCTAAATGTTACTGTGCCTTATGCTTAACATGTAAAGGTATGAAAGGCTGGAATATTCTGTGCCCATTTTGTTTCAGGTGAAAAGCCGTTACACTACTGGTGCTGCTTCTCGATCCTTCACTTCTACCTCTTTTGATCCTGTCACAAAAAATGAGTTTGAATATATTAAAGTTGAGAAAAATCCAAAGAAGAAAGGTTATGTTCAGTTGCACACGACACATGGTGATTTGAACATTGAATTGCACTGTGATATAACTCCAAGGACGTGTGAGAACTTCATCACCCTTTGTGAGAAAGGCTACTATAATGGAGTTGCTTTTCATAGAAGCATTCGGTATATGAACCATTTCTATGTTGACTTTTTGTTATTTTCTTAGTTTCTTGGTTATCTGGACTGGAACAAGCTGAACATGGATATTGACGAAAGTATTTACGTAGGAATTTTATGATTCAAGGTGGTGATCCTACCGGGACTGGGAGAGGAGGCGAATCTATATGGGGGAAACCTTTCAAAGATGAGCTGAACTCCAAGTTGCTACATTCTGGAAGAGGGGTTGTTAGTATGGCCAACAGTGGGCCTCACACCAATGGTTCTCAGTTCTTCATCCTCTACAAGTCTGCCAATCATTTAAACTTTAAACATACAGTTTTTGGTGGGGTTGTTGGTGGCTTGACTACATTGTCAGCAATGGAAAAGGTTCCTGTGGACGATAATGACCATCCTCTGGTTAGTTATCTGGTCCTTCTCTTCTGAGAATTTATCTATGAGTTCCTTAAAGTATTGACATGATTGTATCATTAGCGAATGGTAGCTAACACATCAGATGGCAACTATTATATACTTCTAGTGTAGAGAGTCAATGTAACTTAAGTTTAATATTTGCACTTACGTTCTTCAAATCTCAAAATGACTTTATAGTTTACACACATTGAAGAGCTGGGCATCACATTTTCTGGCTCACACACATGATTACGCAGCATCTGATATATGGAAAGTTCACATCTGTTTAATAATAAGTTATGGGTGCATTTGGCTTTGTAGTTGGATGTTCACAAGATACACATAAATTTGCACATGGCTTATCAACCAAGAAAATGTGCTTGTTGCATATTTTGTGGTTAAATGCTTGTAGTAACTATTTGCTGGAACTCTATCCACAACAACTAAAAGTTGGATTAGAAACTAAACATAATTTATAGCTTACTAGCTTATTGTTAGGGTCATTAAGAAAGTGAATATTAAGTTTCTTGTAATTTGGTCCTCATGTGCGTGTTGGTTCTTTGGTCCCTCATTCAGGAAGAGATAAAGATCAATAGTGTAACAGTATTTGTTAATCCATATGCGGAGCCTGATGAAGAAGACGAACAAGAGAAGGCCAAAGATGAAAAGGACGCTGTTGATGAAGAAAATGTTAGTTTTTGGACCCAATTGGTGCAGATTATCGTCTTGTAATTTTCTGTTTACTGATTTTGAATTTTGGATTTTCCTTGCATATTAACAAGACTTTTACTTCTTTATTAACATTTCAGGACAAGGTGGGGTCATGGTATAGCAATCCAGGCACAGGAACAACAGAATCTGGAACCATGGGTGGTGGCGGGGTTGGAAAATACTTGAAAGCAAGAAATTCTCAGCCCGAATCTGCTGTCTCGGATGCCAATTTATCAACAATGGCCATGACAAAGAAAAGGAAAGTAGGAGTTTCAAAAGCAGAGTTCAAAGACTTCTCTAGTTGGTAAGGATTCCCCCAAATGTTGTGCAATACTTGATGAGTTGGTTGAAAACAAGGAACTGGTGTAGGCTGCAGTCTAACCAGTAATGTAACATATATTCTTTTGAGGTAATGAAAAATCAAATGGATACAGTTAAAGAGAGCATTTCACATTACACTGAATTGTAAAAGATGTATTTATTAGTCAGAAATAATTTGAGATAACAAGTAGTCTTTGTCCAGTCCAAAGAGTGGCTTCTCACACACACACACACACTCAAAAGAGTGAGCATGTGCAAAAGGTGAAATGAGGATTCCAACTCCCTTTCTACTGCAGCCTTTAACATGTTGGTATCATTAATTTGATGGCGAATTGTCATAATCTCATGATGGATATATAGGACCATCTTCATGGTTTTTGTGAGCAGTTTCCTTCTGAGGCCCCAGTCTCAGCTGTTGCTTGCTAATTATAACTTTGGCAACTTATTTTTCACCTCTATTTTTGGGGCATTGCAAAAGGATTTTTGACTTTCTTCCCCAAATATATATCTTGGTTTTTTTTTTTTTTTTTTTTTTTTTTTTTTTTTTTTTTTTTTTTTTTTTTTTTTTTTTTTTGGGGCATTGCAAAAGATTTTTGACTTTCTTCCCAAATATATATCTTGGTTTTTTTTTTTTTTTTTTTTTTTTTTTTTTTTTTTTTTTTTTTTTTTTTTTTTTTTTTTTTTTTTTTTAATTTTTTAAAGCCATGTTTGGATCCAGGGTTTTTGATATTTATGAAATTTGCTAAAATGTGGAGTTAAAATGGCTCATTTAAAATTTTCAAATCATTCATCCATTTGAATAAATACGATGCCATAATTTGCTCATTGTACATAATTTTATATGGATCTATGAATTAAAAATTGTTTAATTAGCAGAATGAAGTTGCTCCTAATTTTGTTAATTAGGGCTTAATTTTTAATATTAGCACTTACAAGGTAAATCTTGAGTTTACGGACAAACATGAAAATGCCTCTAAAAAGAAGTTTCAATTAATGCATAAATTGACTATGAGTATCTTAAAAAAAGTGATTGCATGTATTTGTAATTCGTATGTTAATTGTTTCTTTTTTTTTTTTTTTTTTTTAGAGAATGCAAACTTATTATTCTAATAATCAGCAAACTATGCAGATTATTATTTTAATTAGAACGACCTACACTTGGAATCAATGATTTCCACTCATTTCTTTTTTTTTTTTTTTTTTTATATTGCTAGAGAATGCAACTTGATTTCTATAATCAGCAAACTATTCAGATTATTATTTAATTTAGAACGACCTACACTTGAATCATGATTCACTCAACTCGAGATGTGACTCGTTTGATCTAATGTAAAATAATAAAAATATAAAATCTCGTATAACAATATGCTTTTAGTATAAAAATAAAATCACTATTAGAATTATATAACAAGAAATTATATCTTTCACAATAAAATTTTCTTATTGTTATCGATTTAATTCAGTTTTTATTAGTATTCACTTTCTCTTGTTGCACATATAAGAAATAATAACGCAATAAATGGTTAAGTTAATTAGATATTATCCATTTATGTGGAAAATAAATATTTCGTAATAATAATTGAGTTTCAACTTACAATCTCAAAGAAAAAAAAGTATATAACAAATTTCAAAATAAAAATTTTTGAAATGCAATTTTTTAAAATAAACTTATATTAATAAAAAGAAAACAAGAAAAAGTGAAAACTTAGCATAAAAATAATATCAGATTAGTTATATAAATGTTTTGAATTTTTTTTTGTAATAAATAATATAAAATAATAAATGCTATATATATAAAATAAATAAATAAATAATCATTTTGTCAACATGAAAGCAAAAGGTTAAACTAACATCAGAAAGACAGACAGAAAATTCTTGCTTCCCATCGCAATTTATGTTTTTCCTTTTCCTTTTCCTTTTTTCAGCCCAAAGTGTTGGGCAGTAAACCTGAAAGCGACATAGTAATGCCAGAATTAACAAATTAAAGAAGGTTGTTTAGACTTATTAAATAATAATTATTACCTTCTTCCATGCTTCCCTCGCTGCTCTATTTAATTAAATTAATAATAATTAAATTTTTATTTAATAATTAATTAAATAGCTAGAGCTCTCTAATCACGCAATGCAAATTCATCCTCTAACCATTAATTAATAAAACAGTTTTGGTTAACAACTTCAAATTAGCATCATCAGATAATATTGTTTTAGGAAAAGAACAAGTAAGGAGAATTAGTTGCAATGATAATGGCTTTTGAAAGGGAGAGATGGGACCATTTCACTCCACTGGGACCTTTAAGTTTGTGACTGATGCTCTAATGGCATCATGCCACATCAGAAAAAACTTATTCCGGTTTATTTTTCCCATTTTCTCTGATTTTTTCTCCCACATGAGTTATTCTTTTCCGGTTTACCCTTATGATATTTTTTTCATCTCTGATATTAATAGTAACAATTTCAGGTTTCAAAATATAACAGTTCATTAAAAATGCTATTGTTGATCGGTCCCTTTATATTATAATTGAGGCAATGACGTTTCATTTATTCCCTTCTTTCTTTTTATTTTATCAATTAGAATACTATTATTAGAACATACAATTAATAATAAATTCAGTATATAAATTATACCCCTTGAATTAAGCCTCCATATATTGTCTTATCTCATTTGCTTATATATTAATTAATTAATGGTTAATTAATTATTTTTAAAATACAATTGATTACATTCTATTATGGCTTCTTATCATATATATAATCTCAGAATTATTATAGAGTGTTAATCAGATTTTGTCTGATTAGTCTTCTTACGTTTTGTAGAAAATATAGAGAGTGGGCGGTTGTGTGGCCCACAATGTTATTATGGTTCATTGGGCCTCTAATTATAGAAAAATATATATATTATGGAGTTGGAAAATTTTATAAACATAATCATATTTATAAGTTGTCATAAAATTTTTATAAATTAAAATCCTTAAGGAAAATTTATATCTACATTAGGTCTAGACAATTATCTTTGTCTGCTCATATTTAAAGAATTTTTTTTTTCAAATAAAGAGATGCCCATTCAAACTAGTAAAAGTATACTATATGGGATGATTTTGAGATTTGATCTCAATTTTTATTAGGTAAAATATCAAAAAAAAAAAAATTTATAACTTTATCTAATAATTTAAATATTATATATCTACAAAAATAATTACATAAAAATTTATAATTTTTCATTTCACTCCTTTAAACAGTGTATATCTAATTTTTCAAATTTATTCATAGTTCAAAAATTATTTATGGAATCTGAATAGTTAAAATTTTTTTTCTAGATTTTGTTTACCAATAGAAAGGGTAAAATACTAATATTAATATTAATAATATTACTGCTACCATTATTATTTATATATTTTAAAATATATGTATATTTAATTTGATTGTTATCGGTAAATTACAAGTAATTTTCTTTATCCATAGAACTAAATCTCATTTCAAGGTATATCAAAGTTTATTTAATGAAAGGTTGCAGTAAAAAGAATATTTTTAGCTCCGCATGCAACTGTGTATAAATTTAGTATATCCAAGCAGAAATCTTTACAGTACAAAAATAGTAACAATTGGATGTTTTAATTACCAAAATACCCTTTTACCGTTCCACATTCCGCGACCGTTGGTGCCATTGGACAGGTAACATAGGAAGTTGGGTAATGTCCCATATATATAGTTGCTTCTGCAAGCAAATGATGGTTCCCAAGAAAATTTGCAGCTGCAAAAGACAAAGAATCCACACACATGGAGTTTTACTAATGATTGTTGAAGAAAACCAAGGAAAACATAATCAAATACCATCAATTAAATAATTATATATACACCCTTATACCATTCTTAGCTCAAGCGTAAAAATACGTATACAGACAAAAAAATGTTTATGTACCTATTTCGATACGATCGAAATAATGCATGTATATATACCTAGTTAGGATTAATTTTACTGGCTATACATGCATAATTTACATACACATAAAAATCACCGACGATCACATTTGATTGTTACAGGCGGTTCTAAAATCATAAAAATTTGAATTTAAAACTCAATCAAGTGAAAGTAAGAAGTATAAAATAATAAATAAAAAAACAAAAGCCCCCCAAAAAATATAAATATAGTTATCCTAAACCATTAAATCGAAACATTTTGATGAGTTTATATAAGCTGACTCTGGAAAACAAAATACTATGTTTGTGCCTCCTAGCTATGTATAGGGCAATAGCAAAAATATATATATACACAGAAGGATATAATTTGTAGAGAGAAATAAGGTTGAAGTAGTTGAGGACAACGAGGTAGAGACAATAAAAGGTCAAGAATCATAATTATTATGAAACAATCAAATTTGGGGTATGAAGATTGACTTAAAAACGAGGGGATATATATATAGGACATCCTCAACCTCTCGAGTCATATATAAGGTTTCTGACAAGAGATTAGCTACAGTAGGACCATGCATGAATCTTGAGCAATGGCGTATATAACTTGTGGGTAATGTGTATTCTATATAGTATATAGATGATGATGTGGGAAAAAGAAAAGAAAAGAAAAGAAAAGAAAAGAAAAGGTGAAAGAAAGAAAGAAAGAAAGAAAGAGAGGAAGCAAAGCATGCCCTAGATATTTGGGAAGAGTACATATTGGTATTAGTGGAATAGGGTATTAAGTATTGTATGAAATGTTTTATGTGTTATATAGTAAAAAAAGAAAGGAAAAGAAAGAAAAAGAAAGTGGTGGGGAGGGAATTTTGGCAGTGTTTGGAGAGGGATTAGGAGGCAATAAGATATGTGCTGTGTTGTATTGGTGGGTTTGATGATGATGATGCACGCCGGCAGCTTTTACTCTTCTCTCTCTCCAAAACCCATATGGCACGCCTGCTCCCACTATAACTTATCTCTCTTTCTCTTTCTCTTTCTCTTTCTCTTTCATTTATATATATATATAAAGCTAATCCACTAACTATGTCTATATGCTGATCTTGACCTTGTTACCTTTATTTTCTTCCTTCATCTTTTGTCAGAATAGGACTTCTACTTGCAAGGTTTTAGCTTTCTTTTTTTTTTCTTTTTCTTTTTCTTTTTTTATGATTTCATTGAGAGAATTATGTCAATTAAAATGCGAAAATTACATCTCAATTACAACTGATCAATTTAAAATTTATCTAGAATTTAAGTAATTAAAAAAAAGTAAGTAATTGCTTAATTGAATTCCAACCTTAACTAAGGTTTAACACTAAAAAGGTTCAATTAATTTGAATTTTTTTCTTTATTATTGGGGAGGAGAAAGTTTAAACCTAGATCTATTGTCCGACAGTATATAAACTTACTATTAAGCTATAATCTGGTGTACAAATAAATTGAAATTTTAATTAAATAACAAAATGAAATAATATTCAACTATTAAACTATTAGGATAAAATTTGCTTTCACCATGCATGGTCCACCCACACACAAACCCAATATGTGAAAAGATTTTTAAAAATTGTGCATATCTTAATTATCCTCTTGTTTCCTAGTGAATGGATATTTCAACCGAAAATTTATTTTAATTGATTTGGTGTATAAATGTTCTTATATACCGCTGTAAATAAATTCTTTTCAAATTATAAATATATTATGATAAAAAAAACTCTAATTATTTTATGAAGAGTGATTTCACTTTTTATGTGCGTATGTAGATTGACTAATTAATTCACATTTAGTAATATTCAATTAAAATCCTTCTAACAATTGTTATAGAAATTTAAATTCTAACTATACAAGTAAAATGTAATTCACTTCCGTTCAGTCAACCACACATATTAAATATTAACGGTTTTTTATTAGTTATATATATATATATATATATTTTAAAAAAAGATATGAGCTAGGAAAGAAAACCAAGTCATACTCCAATTTCATCGATTGCTGCAAAAGAAAAGCATATTTATACATGCTTGGATTCCTCTATCTTTCTCTCTTCCTCTAATTATATATCTTAAGCAAAACTATTAAAAGAAACAAACCCAAATTAAAGATTCATCAAGATCCTATCCTTCTCTCTTTTTTCATTCTTTTCTTCATCCCCACAATTAGCCACTTTTAAAAACACAAACATTCCCCTTCTTCTACCTCTACAACTTCTCCTCTAACAAAAAAAGGGTTCTCAAGAATCCAAGGTATATATCTATTGATGTGGTTCTTTTCTTTCTTTGCTATTAAATTGTTATGGATACCTTGTTTAGACTAGTTAGTCTTCAACAATCTGATCAATCGTTCAATAACTCTACTAGCAGAACTTCTAGCAGCTCTAGATCCTCTAGACAGAATACCCATCATCACTACCAACAAGAAGACGAAGAATGCTTCAACTTTTTCATGGATGAAGAAGACTTCTCTTCTTCTTCTTCTAGACACTACTTTCCTTATCACCATCAACACCATCCTACTCCTACTCCTACTCCTACTCCTACTCCTACAACTCAACCCCTCGAATCGCCGGATTTCTCTTTCTCCCCTTCTCATGATCTCAACTTTGAATTTTCCGGCAAGTGGGCATCCGATGTTCTCCTCGAAACTGCTCGTGCCATAGCGGATAAGAATAGCGCGCGCGTTCAACAACTTATGTGGATGCTTAATGAACTTGGCTCACCTTATGGAGATATTGATTCAAAACTTGCTTCTTATTTTCTTCAAGCTTTGTTTAGCCGGATGACTGACTCTGGCGAAAGATGTTACCGTACTCTAGCTTCTGCATCGGATAAAACATGCTCTTTTGAGTCTACGAGAAAAATGGTATTGAAATATCAAGAGGTGAGTCCTTGGACTACTTTCGGTCACGTTTCTTGTAATGGTGCACTTATGGAAGCTTTGGAAGGAGAAAGTAAATTGCATATTATTGATATTAGTAACACTTATTGCACTCAATGGCCTACGTTGCTAGAAGCCCTAGCAACTCGCACTGATGAAACACCACATTTAAGGCTAACAACCATAGTCGCAACCAAAACTGGCGCGGCAGGCGGTGGTGGTGGTAATGGTGGCTTAGCTTCTGTCCAGAAGGTAATGAAAGAAATTGGAAATAGAATGGAAAAATTTGCAAGATTAATGGGTGTCCCATTTAAATTTAATTTCATACACCATTTTGGCGATTTATGTGACCTAAATTTATCGGAATTGGATATTAAAGAAGATGAAGCTTTAGCTATAAACTGTGTAGGGTCTTTACATTCAGTTACTTCAGTTGGTAACCGTAGAGATTATATCATATCAAGTTTTAGAAGATTACAACCAAGAATTATTACTATTGTTGAAGAAGAAGCTGATCTTGATGTGGGTATTGATGGATTAGAGTTTGTAAGGGGTTTTCAAGAATGTTTAAGATGGTTTAGGGTTTATTTTGAGTCATTAGAAGAAACTTTTTCAAGAACAAGTAATGAAAGGTTGATGTTAGAGAGAGTTGCTGGACGTGCTATAGTTGACTTGGTTGCATGTGCACCGTCCGATTCAATTGAACGGCGTGAAACGGCCACGCGCTGGTCTTCACGCTTGCATGCATGTGGGTTTAGTCCTGTTTCGTTTAGTGATGAAGTATGTGATGATGTACGCGCTCTGTTGCGAAGGTATAAAGAAGGTTGGTCAATGACACAGTGTAACGACGCCGGAATATTCCTATGCTGGAAGGATCAACCGGTAGTGTGGGCTAGTGCGTGGAGGCCTTGATTGATTGGTGATGTTTTTTCTTTTGAATTTATTTTTTTATATTTTTCTTTTTTTAAAATCAAAGTTTGCTGTAGTGATCGGCACGTGTGATGTGTTTTTTTGGCACGTGCTGGTATGTCTTTGTTGGGGGTGAGAGGTGCATGATGATAGGGAGGGGAAAAAAGCTAAGTGATTGTTTTGACTTGAATAGGAATGAATATCCAAGTAAATTAATTTTCATTAATATTTTGTTCAATTTTTTTGTGATTATTTTTATTTTATGAAAATAGATTAATTATGAGCTCTCTTTATAACTATAAGATAAAAACATCGTATTAAAATTTTAATATTTCATAGAAATATTATAATTTTATTAATTTTTCATTTCGCGTAATGTACTTAATATTTTTTTCAACAATAAATTAAACATTTATTGAATTGAATCGGTAACAATTAAGCCAAAAAGGGATTGATTGAATTGGTTGGTCAAGTTGGGAATGAAACATTATTTTATAGGGTGATTAAGATATTATATTATTAATTGAAAAGCTATCTAATTAAGAAATATAGATATTATCGGAATGTTCGTAACAAGAAAAATGTGTAATTATTATAATATTCCAACTTTGACCCTTAGTAGCCTGCTCCATTAAGTCTAATTGTAACCTAGCATTAAGAGAATGATTAAGACAAAAAGCAGGTAATAGAAGCCATGAGATATAGTATTTTCTTAACTAAAATGGTTGGTGTTAGCTAATTAAATTTTAATTTCTTTGCATAAGTACAAATATGAATGGGGTTGGTATTAATTTGGTGATATAAGCCGATAGGTGTAATTAAATTGAGGATTAATTTTTAATTAACAATAATCTTAAATAATAAAATTACAAAATATATTACAAAAAAGTCGTTATCTAAATTGGGTCCTTAGAATCTTAGGACGGCAACTGGGTTAGGGCATGTTTGGAGAATCTCGTAAAAAGGTGTTTGGTCATTAGTGGCCAGCATGATGCTTTGATATGGTCTTTTTTTTTTTTTTTTTTTTAGAGAGAGAGAGAGAGAGAGTGATCCAGTATACATCTATCACAAGAGATGATAAAAAGGGATCCTTATGAGAAGAGTCAGATCAGGCCATCTGTATTGGGGGCAGAGAACCACACGACTCCGAAAAAGGTGTTTGTGCATTAGTGGCCAGCATGAATGCTTTGATATGGTCTTTTTTTTTTTTTTTTTTTTCCTTTTCCTTTTTTTTTAACCTATAATTCATCCTTTTAATAGTTAAAAAGCTTTAAACAACAGAAATAAAAAAAATAATATAAATAAAAATGGCCCCTTACACCAAACACCATAAAGTGACCAAAATACTCTTGAAATAAATTTTTTTTTAAAAAAAAAAAAAAAAAAAAAAAAAAGAAGAAGGAGAATTATAATGGAATTCAAAAAAAAAAAAAAAAAAGAAGAAGGAGAATTATAATGGAACTTCTTTTTAGGGTTTACATCTTAATCTTTTGATGAGACTTGCCTCCTCCTCCTTCCCCATTGCACACTGCCAACTTTTTTCTTTTTAATTTTTTAATTTAATTATTTTAAAGCTTTTTTTATTAAATTATTTACATATCTTTTTCTTTACGTATGTTTGCAGACTGGGTACAATTTTTTTTTATTTATTATTTTTTAATTTGGCCCATACTTTCTTCTTCTTCTTTAGCTTAAAGCTTTAGCTTCTTTTTCTACAATTGACCATGACCAGCTAGCTGTCTCTGTAATGTATCTTTTCCAATGGGACCAATTCTTCATGGGGCAGGTCAAAAACAAGTTGATCAAAGCTGTTAATTAAAGATACATCTTTTAAAAAGTGCCATTTCATTTTTTATATATTATATATAAAATATAAATTACTAATTATTTATCAATATGATTACTTTCTACCTGTACTTCCATTTCTTAGTTTATGCTGTTACCATTGTATATTTGTATAGTTTTATAAATGTCTTCACCCGATTTTTTTTACTTAAGTTATTCATATTGAGTTGGATGTAAATCAAGAGCATATTAATTCGGGATATTGTATAGATAATTTAAGTTTTCGTGTAAAATAAGTTTTATCGCTAATACAATATATATTATTCTTTTTTTAATTAGCGAAAATTAAAATGATATTTTTAAAAATTAAAGATTAATTAGTACTAGAATATTCTCTCGTAAAATAATGAAAAAATAATAATTTTATCCCTATTTTTTTATTATAATTAACTACTTTATTTTTAATTTTTAAAATTATATTATATTATCATTTTAGTGATAATTAAGAACATAGTTAAGAGCAAATAAATAAATTGAAATAAAGGAAAAGCTTTCATGTTGAACTAAAATCTTTAACACATGAATTTCATTAAGCTGATGCATAAATAGAATGCAAGTTTTAACTTTTAACCATCTATATACATTTAATAATTGTTTCCTCTATTGCTATTATTCTTTGAATAATCCAATTTTATAAATATGAATGCATAAGCTTCACATAATACATAAAATAATTTCTAAAATATTTTAACAGAAGCTTTTATAACTTATTTATTCTTTCCTTTATAAATTATAGAATCTAGACTCAAATACCAAAAAGCAACAGAGTGATTTTAACTATGTTGGAGATTGTAAATTCGAGTATGCGTGTCATTGAAATTTAAAATCTGAAGTCATCATTATTAGAATAATTTTATTTAAATACTACACCCAAGTCATTTTCTCGATTTGGTATTTTAATGGAGAATTAAGTAGAAAAATAAATTTATTAATTTGAACACATATATTTAAATATATAAAACTTAAATCCCTAAATTTTAGATGTTATAATTCTTTAAAATTGAGAAGAAAGTATTCAACCTTTCTTGTTGATAAGTACTTTCATGTAAAAAAGAAAAAAATCTTCATTACAATTTGTTTTTAATCCAGATTTGTGCTGGATAGGCCTGCAAAGGAGACAAAACGTTTCTTCTCGAATATTTAAAAAAACTTCACATTGGGGCTCGAATTCCAGACCTCTGATTAAGAGAGAAGGAATCCTAAAATAAAATAAGAAGCAGGAAAGCTTGTTGTCAAACTCTTTAATTTTGTAATATTAATAGGTGTTTTAAAAGAATTAAAGTGAGGAGTCATCAACGTTTTGATGGGGGGAAGGAATGGGGACCAACTCTTTTGGTGAAATGCAACGTTTGGCCAAAGAAAATGGTATCTGTTTCTTATTTTATCCAACATTTTTTTTTCCGTGATAATGAAAGATAGGTTTTCAATCAATTAACTAGTTTTCGTTGTTTTTTTTAATGATGTTTTTTTTAATTAGTTTCTTTAAATTTATTTTCAATTTATCTCTTTTGGTGAACAAAAAGGACCTATTAAAATTTCTACATAACAAAATATAATTTAACAGTAAGTACACGTATAACTGGATAATAAATCTAAGCTTCATTCTGTTTTTTTTTTTTTTTTTTTTTTTTATAATTTAACAGTAAAGTACACGTATAACGGATAATAAATCTAAGCTTCCATTGTTTTTTTTTTTTTTTTTTTTTTTCAATACTGGCCGAAGGTTAAATGTAAAAAACGTGTTAAAATGTCCAAGTTAGCAATGTTTTCAAATAATAAAAATAGAAACAGGATAAAAAAATCAATCGTGTTCCTAAAAGATGAAGAAAAAATTACAACAAAAATGAATGTTTTTCGACCACTTCTGCATGGTTTTATATAGCTTATCCATATTGATTTATAAATTTTTTATTAGAAGTAAAAAAAAGAATTATAATTTCAAAAAATAAAATAAACATTGATTGTTAACTTCATTTTTATATTTTGTTTTTTTTTTTTTTTTTTTTTTTCAATACTCCAAAGGTTAATGTAAAAAACGTGTTAAAATGTCCAAGTTACAATGTTTTCAAATAATAAAAATAGAAACAGGAAAAAAATCAATCGTGTCCTAAAAGATGAAGAAAATTACAACAAAAATGAATTGTTTTTCGACTTTTGCAATTGTTTTAGCTTTTTCCATTTCTGATTTTAAATTTTTTTATTTTAGAAGTAAAAAAGATTATAATTTCAAAAAAATAAAATAAAATGATTGTTAACTTCAAATTTTATATTTTGAATTTGGTGCAAAAGTTACTTCCTCCCTCCACAATATAAAAATTGCTTAAAGTTTTTACATGAGAATTAAAAAAGTAATTAATTGTTAAATTACAATAAAATCAAAGATGATTTTAAAAAATAATGGTAACTTATGAAGATAGTTATTATATCTACTACAGATAAAAAATAAAATTGAAAAAAAAAATTGTTCTTTAAATACTCGAAGCGTCTTATATTTTGAAACAAAATACTCACCCTAAAACAATTTATATTTTAAAAAGTAAAATTGAAAAAAAAAATTGTTCTTTAAAATACTTGAAACATCTTATACTGTGAAACAAAATACTCACCCTAAAACAATTTATATTTTAGCACAAAAGAAGTAATTAACACCAGGAATTAAGGATCTTGGCAGAAGTGCAGGAGAAATTGAAGTGTGGGTCATAAACTCTACATTGGCAATGATTCTCTTTCAGCTCCATATATAAACATTCTAATCCTGATTCAAATTCCACCCATTTTAGATTGTCAACAACAGAAACCTGATAGATTCAGAAAAAGAAAGCATCAGCTATTATTAATAAAGTATATATTTAAACACAAACCCAGATTACTGATGCAGACAGCAACTATAACAACTGTAACTCTGTGAAGTAAGTTTATTAGCAAAAATTCTGAGTTTCTTGTATTTTCCTTTCCTTTTTTTTTTTTTTTTTTTTGTGAAAGTTAAAGTTTTATTAGCAAAAAAATTCTGAGTTTCACTTGTATTTTTCCTTTCCTTTTTTTTTTTTTTTTATTTATTTTTTTTATTTTTTTTTATTGTTTTTTTATGAATTCCTCCTGAATGCTAACATTAACATCCCCTGAACACGCAAATTAATGACTACAAGTAGCAACTTCCTGCAAATACCAGAAGGCAATCACAATAACCAGATGGAAAGATACAGATCGAAGAAACATTACGTCACTAAGATTATTTACACTAATAATATGAATAAAAACCTTTTCATATCTACGCATCTTCCCCCAAACAGAAGGAATTCTCCACTTCTATGCAGTAAACCTTGATCCCTTGACCATATTTGGGATAATCCAAAATTAAACTCGAGTGGGCGGCGGGATCGTGAGTCCCCAACTATCCAATAATGGTAACCCATAGCATATCTTTCTATGAATCCCATCAAGTCGGCAGGATTCCACCCAGGATCTGGCCATAAAAAATAAAGGAACCGATGGGAAGACCCAGTAAAGCGAATTACAAAATGTGCTTTAGTGGAAAAAAATGTTGCAAGACGGAAACATTTTTGTTCCCGGTCCAATTGCATGGGTTTCCATAGTTATTTTCCTTTCCTTTTTTTTTTTTTTTTATTTATTTTTTTATTTTTTTTTATTTTTTTTTATGATTCCTCCTGAATGCTAACATTAACATCCCCTGAACACGAATTAATGACTACAAGTAGCAACTCCTGCAATTACAGAGGCAATCACAATAAACCAGTGAAAGAATAAGCGAAGAACATTCTTACATATTACACTAAATAATGAATAAACCTTTCATATCTACCATCTTCCCACAGAAGGAATTCTCCACTTCCTATGCCAGTAAATTGATACCCTTGACCATATTGGGAATCCAAAATTAAACTCGAGTGGCCGATCGGCAGGTCCCCCAACTATCAAAGGTAACCATACATATCTTGAATCCCTCAAGTCGGCAGGATTCCACCGATCTGCCATAAAAATAAAGGAACCTGGAAGCCCAGTCAAAGGAATTACAAATGTGCTTTGTGCGAAAAAAGTTGCAAGACGAAACATTTTGTTCCCTCCAATGCATGGGTTTCCCATAGTTTCCCATGGCCCCATGATTGATTCAGCTGCATGGACTAGGGCTTCATTTGGTGCCCAGCCAGTGCACCCTGATGTGATCATGTAGTAAGTTCCCTGATGCTTAAATAGGGCCGGTGCTTCCCGGTGTTGTCCAATAAGAATTCTTCTCATAACATGTGTGACATCAAGATAATCGTCTGTAAGTGGTCCAATGTGAAGCTCACTATTGTCCTCGGATGAATATATAAGATATGCCACACCGTCATCATCTTTGAAGATTGTCATATCTCTGCTATCAAATCCATGTGGCCGTTTGCTGCGGAGGTACTCGAAAGGACCAGTTGGGAAATCACTAACGGCTATACCAACAGCAGCTTTGGTATAGTTGACATCGTCAATATGCATCCACATAACATACTGTCCTGTCTTATCATTGTAGATCACTTTTGGTCTCTCAAGCACATTAGATTTATAGAGGTCATGAGTTTCATTTGTCTCTTCTCCTGCCAATACGATCCCCTCATTTTTCCATGTCCAGAGGTCTCTGGAGGAATAACAACCAACTCCTATGATGTCAACCTGAATGAAAGAGTATACAAAGACCCTAAGTGATAGAGGATATATGCAGATTAATTGAAGGATAAAAACCGTGATATGCGTGCTAATAAGAAGATATCTCAGAAAAGAAAATCAAGAGAGAGAGAGAGAGAGAGAGAGAGAGAGAGAGGGAGAAGGCTAATGACAGCATGAGGCAAATCATATAAACATAAAATGTGTATAGAGTCGGACATAACAAAATAGAAGTTATAGCATGACAAACCTGATCCCGACATTCATGTTTCAAACGTGTTTGATATGCTTTCATCCAGATTGCTTAAAATCCAACATCACAATTCACAGTCTTAAAAATTATATTGACTTGATTTAGCAGCTTATTTACCTTTCTCAAACTCTTTAGGTTAATAACCACCATCATGCGGTGCAATCACAAATGGTACAATGGAATGGATTCACATACATTTCATGACACTTTTATACACTTTAGATGTCACCAGAACTACACCAAGTCATAAGTTTGGACTTAAAAAGATTTTGAACATTCAAAAAAAACCTTCAATTGCTAATGATTAAAGCAAAATTTTGTAATTAGATAATTCCATCGTTCAGAAAAATCTGAATAAAATGATAAAAATGCTATAGACTGTTAACACATCAAAAATCATTCAAGAATTGGACAAAAGTTCAGTGAACAGTCTATGAATAGTTCGAGACAACAATTACAAGCACTATAGCTCCTTTAGACCGATTTGAGAAAACAACAAGAAGGGACAGAATAGCTATTTTTGAAATAGAGGAAGGGAAGAGAGGATGAAGGCTTATCTAGTGAAAAAAAGTGGGTGGGATATAAACATGTTTAATGAAGGAAATGAATCTAACTTATATGCAGGCTAAATCCATTTCCTTCCTATTTTCCTTCTTAAGATACACCAATTGATAGAACATTGATTTTGTTTTAGATGCATAATAAGAAAATCAAAAGGATATTTCATTCATTAACATCTCATGGATATACCTAAAAAGCATGACTGCACTATACACTTTCAAAATACAGCACAAAAGATGTTCAGTATGATATTTAAACTTAAATTATCATTTTAAAAATTCAAGAGATCCACCACAATAAGTCAAAGGCCATATTTGAAATTTCAAAATACAATCTTTTTTTTTTTTTTTTGAAGAGTATCTCATCGTAAATAAAAATACCAATACTAACCCTTCTATAGAATTCAAGCTTATTTCAGATAAGTATGTTAGTATCAAATTCTAAAATATTAAAAAAAAATGAATCTGTTGAAAGAGAAATAAGATAATAAGGTAAACTTCCTTTGCTTCAAGAAAATTGCATGACATGAGATGATTTAATGACTTATCTCCCTCTAATATAAGATGATTTAGTTACTAATTCCATCTAAATATCCTGAGAAAAATAAGCAAATATGCCTTAAAAACAAAAGCAAAAGCAAAATGGTTATACTGGAAAACCACATGATCTAAAAGCATGAATTCTGTATTTGAGGATCCAAGATTAAAATCATGCCTTAACAAGCCCCTGCGCGAAATCCCAGGGCTTGAATGTGTGGGCAAGCATAGCCTCCCTTCTGCGTTGTTTAGAAACTCAATTCACAAGATAGGGATACAAGATCAAACTCGAAACTTCTTATGAAAGGTTTAAGAACTATATAGAAAAAGTAAACTCTAACTAAACACTACCACTTAACCTAAAATCCTTGGCTTGTGGATGAGGCTAAGGATCTAGCATTGCCCTCTTATGTGAAAGTCTACTGGGCTTAAATAAGCAGACACGACAGGGCAACTTATATTTTGTGCTGAATGTGTAATTATAATATGAGTACCGAAAATTCTTACTTTGGACCAATTGGTCAAAGAGGATGCAAACCACAATTAGGAATCACTTAATCTAAAAATTTATCCTGGTATATGAAAGCTAAAAAAATAAGTTCTATATCTCTTAACAGTTTACATCTTATGCATGGAAATAAGAAGATAAGGCATTTACTTTAAGACATCTATTGCATTGAGGGAGAAGATTGTGCAGCCTTTATGATTAGTAGGTGTTTTTCCACATGATGCATTTGCAAGAATGATGGATCAAGTAAATTTCAAGGACAGACTAGCTTGTGCAAAGTGTTGAAAAATAGTGGATTAGGAAATAAATATCAATTTGCTGACCGAATCAATGTGGATCTGATTAGCTATCACAACTTTACAGGCTTCATAAGGGATATCCATTCTTCAACATAATCACAATCATTTCCACTGCAGCTTGATAGTCAAGCAGTGATTTCTATTCTCATACTCTCTTAGGCTACAATGATTTCTACCCAAATTAATTCACCATTGCCACTCAGTTAATAGGAGTTACTTGGCCCATTTCATTTCTTGAAGCTATCAAATTAGAATAAGGATCGGAATTTAGATGACAGAAGCCAACCTAATTGGGGAAGACATCGCCTAGTTAACTGACCGCAATCCCTTTTTGTAGTGCCTTGCCAGGTTCTGAGCATAGAAACGCTACAACTCATCAAAAGAGCACAAAACCTCCTTCAAGAAGCCAAACCGATACTAAATGGCATATTCATGTTGAGAACAACTATTATATACAGTTCTTCCAAAAGTTCCATCAATTTCAATTGGACCTTGGTCTCTAAGAGTGCTCACCAATAGAGACAGTTCTGGAATTAGAATAGATAAGAATGGATTGGTATTGCATATTCCAGAAATTGACATGACGTGCAAGCCAAGATGTCTCAAGAGCAACAGTCAAATGCTTACATCTTAGTAATGGAAATAAGGTGAAAGCATGTGATCAGAGCCGTGTTGTGTATATGTGGGAGCAAATTGGGCAATCATCTGGACAACGGGGTTTCTAGGACATGATGTAATTAGATAAGTGATAAAAGTCAAGTAACGATCATCTTTCAAGGGCTTAGACTATTTAGGATAAAAAGGTCCCATGATTAAATCAAAGAAGACAGATAATAAACATATGCGGCATCAACGTGGATATTTTTGGCAATTGCCAGCTTCAAATTAGATCTGAATTCTAAAACATACTCATCTACATAGCAGTTCATTATGCAGTCAAACACGATACTCAGAAATGAATCCCTTTCTAATAAATCAATATTGCACTTTGATTAATAGCAACCATAAGAATTTCTATGTCCCATGCTTGCTTGAAGATATCCAATCTTAATCAAACTTAAGATAATGGGAAGCAAACCAGAATAAGAGAGAAAAACTTTCACTTGCTTATTATCTTCTATAACAACCTCCATCTCCAGGCACATGATTTTATAAAGCCGAAGAAAAGAGCAGAATCCAAGGAGTGACAATAAAAGTTGAAACTAATTTTACTCAGATATCAAGATCAGAATCCAATTTTAGTGTGGTAAATGGATTCCATATCTAGATAGCAGTATAGGACTTGGGATTTTAGTAAGTCAGTGTCAAAGACAATTTCTTTGCAAATTTAAGCTTCCAAACAGTGAATGATACATAAAAGATGAAACATCATTAACAAGCATTAGCTACATTATCCCAGCACAGGTAAAAAAATAATTGCAACTGGAGATGTGAACCATGCACAAAATTCTACTGAGGAATATGAAATGATACTGAAAATCTGGCTAAATTTATTGAGAGATAATGTAAATAACTAATTTACCCGTGCTGCTCCTTTTTTATGTGCATGGTAAGTAGGTCCATCTTTATACTCTCCATACCAATAGTAGTTCTTTGATCTCTCGTCATATAGAACACCTCCTCCGTGAGCTTGAATGGGATTTCCTTCAGTATCCAACCAAATTCTCCCAGGATAATAATAGTGACTACCGTTCTCAGCATCGCTAGTTGGATTTATAGCCTTTTTCATATCAGGAAAGAATGTGCGCCTAAGCTGTGAATTCTCATCAAGAAATTCATCAATCAGTGTGCTTGTCCTCTTAGGTCTTCGTTTTGCAGCGCGTGGAGATCTTTTACCCTTTGGTGGGGGAATTTGGATGTTCTCCTCCTCCACCTCTTCAAGTTCACGAATGAGAGGGTGATGGCTTTCACGAAATTGAATCTCTCCACCCTTTCCACCATTGTGGCTAACGAGGGTGTATAAGTTAAGGAAAAGTAGAAATCCGACCAGGCTGCACACCACAGCAGACACAGAACATCTGCTTCCTGCATTGCAATTGAAAGTAGTTGATTTCCTGTATTTGTTCCTCATCCTCATTTTCTCTCTTCTTTTTATCTCCAAGATATTGCTGCAGTTCACAAAATATAAATATATGGAAATCCAACGAACCCGACCAAACAAAAGCCATAAAATTTTCAATTACTTGAATTATTTCACAATAAACTACAGAACAGGATTATGACTTCAAGAATTATCTTCGTGAATTCATAATACTCTAAAGCAATCATTTTAGAATTGATAAATCTGACTTTCTAACTTCATAATCGCAATTGCTGGATTGCTAACAAATTCATCAAAAAATCCAATTTTCTGAAAATCGGGTTCATTATCTGAAAACAGAATGGAAGTTTACAAAACCAGTAGAACAATCACTTCACTGATGAAAGATCAAAACCCACATAGTCGCTTCTAATTCATTTAAAAAGGACAACTAAAAGGCTCAGTCCCGTAGGGAAGATCAAGTGAGAATCCCCAGTGCAATGTATAAACCCGGACATCTAATGTTCGCACCAGAAACATAAAAACAAAATAAAAGGAAGATTTAAAAACAAAAAAGCTGTATCCAAATAAAACACGAAACATGCAGAAAAACTAAAGAACTAAAGACCAAAGTAAAAACAACTTACCTGACCAAATACAAACCATAAGTTGAACCGAATTTGCAGACATGGGTCTAGTAACAAAACTAACTTAACAAACCGGGCAATCCATACTCCAAAACCCACTACACTATATGATTCAAGACGAGAAAAAATAAAACCTTTCAATCAAAAAACAATCCAGTAAGTTCCGTGAGGTCAAAAGAAGAGAAAAAAAGAAGTTGGGTAGTTGATTTCTGGTTCAATTTGGATCTAAAAAGGTTGACGATTGATGATGACTGGAGACCAAAAATGCTATTTTATACTATTACTTAGCGTTCGTTGGTGATTTTGTTTCTGGGACTTGAAGGACGTACCTCATTCGATTTATCTACAAACAAATGGTACACGGGAATGAATGACTAATGATGGATTTGGCTCCTTAATTTTCTTGCTTTGCTTCCGCGACATATGTTTGAACTTTGGATTTATTTTCTTTTTTGAGTATCCAATGGATTTTTTACATTCTTTTATAGTCAAGAAGGCAACCTCTTACTCTTACACGTATTATTGGCTATTATTTCGACTTAGGAGATAGTTTTTGTATTTTACTAATTATTATAGAAAAATATTAATTTAAAAATTACTATTCCCTCAGTCCACTTTAAATATTAAATTTAATAGTAATAAAGAGATATCTTGCTTTAAATGGTTATTTAGGATTTTGAAGATATATTGATAAATTATTTTTCAATTTTACCCTGCTTATTATGTATAATTTATTTTACGTTTATATTTATTTTTCTTTTTTATTATTATTTTAATTGTAATTAAATTAAAATTTTGATAATATACGTGACTGAAAGTTTTCATTGTATCATGAATGAAAAAATAAAATGGAAGTACTAATTATAAGAGTACTTTAATATGAAATAAAATTAGCATAAGTGTTGTAGTAAATTTAAATAAGCAGTTCTCAATTTTAAAAAGCCTAATTTAGTCATTATATTTTAAAAACTTAATGTATTCTGATAGTGTTCTTAATTTTTATAAAAAAAAAAAGAAATATTAATATTAAAGTAAAACGAATGCAATATTTAATCTATATAATTCCTCAAAACTAATTATTTTTTTCTCTATATTTTTTAAATTATATCAACAAGTATATGATGTTTATTTCATTTATTATCTTATTGCTAATAGAATGAAAACGGTTATGAAGTAGTTATCTAATTATAGAAACCAAATAGTAATTTTTCCTTTTATTAAAATGCATATATCAGGAAAAAAAAAATACGTTTGCCTTTAGATTTTATTCTCTCCCTTAATTCTGGGATATTCTATTTATGGTTGACTGCAGAATGTGGTTTTAATAGATGGAATCACTAATTAGTTGACATTTTGGAAACTATAGAAACTTATTCATCTACTTCTTAAAAGGCTAAAAAAAAAAAAAAAAATTATTTGAGTAATAATACGTGACTGAAAGTTTTCATTGTATCATGAAGAAAAAATAAAATGGAAGTAACTAATTAAGTACTTTAAATGAAATAAAATTAGGCATTAAGTGTTTGTAGTAAATTTAAATAAGCAGTTTCTGCATAATTTTAAAAGCCTAATTTAGTCATTATATTTTTAAAACTTAATGTATTCTGAATAGTGTTCTTAATTTTTTTATATAAAAAATAAACACCACGAAAATAATTAATATTAAAGTAAAGAATGCACATATTTAAATCTAATATAAATATTCCTTCAAAACTAATTTATTATTATTTCTCTATATTTTTTTAAATTATATCAACAAAGTATAATGAATGTTTATTTCATTTATTAATTACGTTAGTTGGAATAGAAGAAAGATCGTGGTTATGAGTAGTATAAACATAGATTGATATGAAAAAACCATAATTAAGTAATAGTTATTTCCACTTTATAATGCATTATATTCAGGAAAAAAAAAAAAATACGTTTGCCTTAGATTTTAATTCACCTTCCCTTTAAATTTCTGGGAATATTCTATTTAATGGGTTTGAACTGCAACGAATGTGGTTTTAAAATAGATGGTAAATCACCTATTAGTTGACATTTTTGGAAAACTAAAGAAAGACTTCATATCATCTACTTCTTAAAAAAGGGCGTATAAAAAAAAAAAGAAAATTGAGACTTTACTATTTTTAACAATTTTTAAATCAAATTCCTTTTGGATGTTTAATTATATGAATGGCAGGAGCACCGTTACATCTTTATTTTTTTTATACAACTATAGTCTAGGATTTCTTTGTTCCGATACGCTTTGTTTGATATTGCGCATTTGATGGGCAATTCCATAGTATATATATATATATAATATTATATATATAAGATAATTTTTCCATAAATTGTGGTTAAATTTAACTATAATTGAGTTAAGTAAGCTTTTATAATATTATTCCATCTTAAAAAGGTGTCTCCAGAGTTTAATTCCTAGCTAAATGGATGCGAGATTAAAAGTAAAATGTATGACATATTGATTACCATTTATTATATAGTATTTTCCATTAAATTGGGTTAAATTTAACTATAATTGAGTTAGTAGTTTTTAATATTCCATCTTAAAAGGTGTCTCGTTAATTCTAGCTTAATGGATGCGATTAAAGTAAATTGACTATATTACCATTTATTTAATACTAATTCTTTAAAAAAAATATTAAATAAAAGTAATAATTATTGGTCATATATAAAGAGTAAATATGAAAAAAAAATATTTATTACTTCGTAAATTATAAATGTGATAAATATTATAGAACAGACGTAATATTATATTATAAATAGGTTAATTTTATTACCTATTATATTATTATTTTTTTTTTGTCTTTTATTGTCATGTGTAATTACTTATATACATACATCCGGTGAAGATATAGTAGCCAATTAAAATCTAAGCTACTTACTTCCCATTTTCACTATCCTTCTCTGCACAAATAAGGCTTAACATCTAATAAAATCTTAAATTTTTACTATTTTATAATTTTAATCAATTCTTTTATTTTCACACGCAATGTCTTCAATTAATTATTTTTTATATTAAAATATAAATTATAATTATTTTATCTCAAAATATAAATCGATTTGAATATTTTAAAAAATAATAAATAATATATTTTAATATTTGATAAAATAATTATTTTCACAAAATATTTTTATTTTAAAATAAATAATAATTTAATTAAATCACTCTTAATTTTATTATATTTAAAAAGTCGTCTATTTTGCCTTTTATTGTAAACGACAAAGCGGATGTGGTTGCATTTTGTTGGAACTTACGCGTTAAGGCGTGGGGCCACTAACGCAGAGTCAGTAAAATTCTAATGGGCTGGACTCTGGAGGAAGCTTCAATCGGAACAAATTAATTTGTGCAAAAAATCTATTGCCAAAATTATAAAAATCGACTAAAATTATAAAAATGGTCAAAAATAATTTTTTTTTTGTCATTAAGCTTATGAATACTTAATAATTAAAAATGGGTTACTCACATAAAAAATATTATTCATTTTGCATTCCAATTATTTTCTCAAGTTTGCCAAATAATGAAATTTTTTCAATTCAAAAGAAGTTGGTAAATTTGCTCCATGATAAACAATTGCCAGCCTAAGCATGAGAGAGTTATTGACATATAACTACTACCTAAAATTCTAAAAACAAGCAAGCCAAAGCTGTTTTGGCTTGGCATTTCTAGCTTGCTTAGTTGACCAATTTAGTAATTTTAAGCCTTTAATTTTAGATATTTATTAATTTTTTTGCTTCATTCTTTTGAAAATAGAAGAAAAGAAAGAAGGAGAAACCTACTCCTTGAGGATTCAAGACATGAACTATGTTTACTCTAATTGGGGAAATATATTAAAAAATATATTTTTCATGTCTTCGTGATCTGTCAATTATTTTCTTTTAAAAAATTTAGATATATGAAAATATATAAATATTGAAAACAAATTAGGGAAATATTTCCTTATGCTAATCGTAATTCATTCCTCATTTATGTATCAATCAATAGTTGATTATCATTTAAAAAATTGATACTCTTTTATTACTATTTATGTTCATTTTTAGTAAAAAACATTCATATATTAATTTGTGTCAATTATTAATATTAAATTTAATATATACGTTAATTCAATTCCTCAATTATGTATCATAAAATGTGATTATCATATTAAAAAAATTGAATACTCTTTAGTACTATTTATTGTATCTCAATTTTTAAGTAAATAACATCAATATATAAATGATTATTGGTGTCAATATTAATTAATATTAGAATTTAATGTATATAAATAATAAGTAATAATATAAATAGTCCGGAATTAAATTTAATATATATATATATATATATCCGGATCGGAGAACAATTTCAATAAATCAAAATATTATTTATGGTGTTCGATGGTATGTTTATAATGTTTAAAATTTGGGAGGGAGCAGATTATCATGTGTTAAAATTCATTTTAATGTTAATCAAACTAATAAAATAATTGATAATTATTAAAATACTTAATTTTATTGAATAGGGTCCAATGTAGATGAGTTTTTCCTATCACCTTATTATTGAAAATTTTTTTCTTAACGCAAAAATTTAAAAGTTTTAAAATTATAAGTTACTGTAGTTCCCCTCAATCAATCAAACAAGAATCTCACCAACTAAGCATCAAAATAAAGTTTTTAAATTAAAAAATAAAAACATATTATATAATACTATATAACTATATATATATATATATATATAAGCTATATTATATATATATAATATATATATTATATATATCGTAAGATTCATATGTATATATATATTAGGTCAAGAGAAAGATTCTTCCACACAAATTTTATTAGGCACTCAAAATAGAATCCATGATTAATTAAGTAATAAGTAATGTGTTTGCAAATTTATGTCTTATAAAATTACATTAGAAAAAAAAAAAAAATTTAGTAAGAAAAGGAGTATTGGATTTGAATTGTCTCCAAATTGAGTTATATCAATCAAAGAGTCACTTTTAGTTCATAATTCTTTAATTATAAAAGCAAATGAAATTAATTTTCAATTAACACAGAGTTTATGAATCGCTTCATCAATTAATTAAATTAACTATTACTAATAATGTAAGTTAGAGGGGGCAAAGTGGTAAAAATATGTTACATTTTTTCTTTCGGAAAAAAAAAACCCCATACCAATAGCGTAAGTGTCCACCTTTTGTAATAATGGAAATGTGTTTTTTCTTTTTCTTTTTCTTTTTTTTTTTTTCCATTCTAAGCTATAAGAGCAGAATAAGCAATTCCCTTGCACGGTACTCCCAATTCATTACCTTACATTTGTATGGTCTCATTTCTCCATCAAAAATTGGTACATCACTCACGTGGAATCTTTTTCTTTTCTCATGGTTTAATTTACATTTTAAAACCTCCATAGATTGTTCCAAATGTTTACAAATTCCTACATGTTTTTAATGGTTTGATGCAATATCATCTCTGATTTAGGGTCTCTCCGGTAATATTAGCTGTTTTAGTAGCTATTAGTTATTAGTTATTTTATTAACTGTTTTAATAGCTATTAGCTGTTTATATGATAGTTTAAATTGAAAATGTTTGATAAAAATAATCGTTTAATTAGTTATTTTACTTAAATTAACAAAAAATGATATTAGTTGTTTAATTACTGAACTCGAACTCGGAGGAAAAAATCAATGGGTATGGTTGTTAAAAAAAAAAAAATTAAAAGCTAAATGTTAAATGTTAAAAACTAAATATTAGAGAGTTCAACGTTATATAAAAAGCTTCCTCATCCTCAACGTCTATTATAAAAGCTATGTTATAGAATACTACAATTAGTAGAGCTAAAAGCTAGTTCAAAAATTATTGCCAAAGAGAGCCTTAATTTCTCAGGGTCTAATTGGAATAATACAATTAGTAGACTTAAAAGCTAGTTCAAAAATTGTTGCCAAACAGAGCCTTAATTTCTTAGGGTCGAACTGGAATAATAGAACAAGTAGAGAAGTGTCTGCCTCTTTCTTGATAAGCTTTTGCCACCCAAATTAATATTGAAATCACCATGATAATGGAAAGAGAGAGCATCGACGACCATAATAATCGAATTGAAGCCGTAAATGGCTTGCATTGGTGATTAACAATATCTGAGAAAGCAATCTTGATAATGATGCATCTAATCAACCTCTCTAAATCTGGATATATATTTAACATTTCCTGGGCTGAAAGACTATATGCCATAGCCATGTTTGAAAGATCTTCAGATATAAACTTCCCTTCTCTTGAGCACGATTCAAAAGACTCCTTCTCATAACATGTGAATCTTGAAATAATCTACAAATCACATAAAGTAAAGCTTCTTCAAGAAATTAAGCCTAATATAAGCTTATAACGATGAAAACAAAAACTTGAACTTAGTAATTTTTTATGCTTTAATCACGACCTTTTTTTTTTTTTTGGTCGTATTCCTACGATTGCCCTCAAACGCTTTTGGGGTATGAGACTAATCTGATTTTAGACAGAAATGTACTTTCATAGGGATCAAAGGAGGCCCTAGCCCTCCGATTTAAAAAAAAATTCAACTTTTAGTGCTGAAGAAAATTGAAAAAAAAAAAAAATTTAGTTTGGCCTCTCTCATTAATTAAAATTATGATTTGGTCCCCTAATTCTTTAGGTTGACTGTAGGTTCATAGTTATCTCTCATCATAAGTTTTTTTAATTTTCAAAGATCAAACCCTGACCTTCATGGATGAACCCACATAGGGAGGGAGCCATGTCCCCCCAATATACAAAAAATTTCAATTTTTAGTGTTAAAAAATTAAAAAGACATTTTAGTTTGGCTCCCCTCATTAATCAAAATTATGGTTTGATCCCCCTAATTCCTTGAACTGGATCGGTCCTGCTAACCTTAGGAGATTTAAGCTACTCTCTTTATGGGTTCTAATCATGGATTTTTAATAATAATATATAAGCTTACTTACATTTGGTAAATCTCCAACAGGAATGCTATTCTCTGAGCAGTTTTCTGGAATATATCTATAATTTGGCGCTCCTGAGAAGGGGTTACATATTTTCTCAGCTTGTACTGAATCCATATTGTTTTTGTCTAAAGGAAGCAAAACAATTAATTCCCCCATTCTTGAATTCAACTGAAAAGAAAAAAAAAAATGTCACATTTTTTATTTAGATTAAATACTTAATTTATTATTCATATATTATGTATATTGATGAATCAACTTAGAACCTTAGAAATGAACTTATGGATAGTGTATCCAACTTTTCTCAACAGTTTATCTGAAGATCGTCGATCTAAACATGGAAGCATGGAGCTTAGACTGCTATTTTCCGGGTCTTGTTCAAAATCCTTAAATGCTGTACAAGTATCCTCCACAAAACTGCAGGGAAAGATAATCATAAATGAAGCGGTCATTAAAATTTTAAATATATATATGTATAAAGTTTACTTACATTTGGAGGAAGAAATCAAAGCCAGTCAAACCCCAGCATAGAGTAGTTAAGATCCAGCAGACAAAGATTATACTGGAATATAAAATTAGCAAAATTAATTAAGTGAAGTGAAATTTTTTAATTTCAGTTAAGCAGATAATTAATGAAATATGGAAAAGATTAAAGAAGATTTTTACATGATAAGTCCAGGGTGCCAATGCAACAACAGCAGAACTGAGCCAAAGCAGCAACTCGTTAATTAGTCTATATAACCAAGTCAATTAAGACATATTAAATGAATGTTATAATCAATTAATAGATAATGAAGCAAACTACAGTTTTTAATAAGTCAAAATTACAAAATTAAGAAAAATGCCATTGCTTTCTTTTTATTTATTATTTTTTTAATACGACGGGCAATAGGGGACCGACCAAATAGTTAGGGAGGACAAAAAATAATTTTACTTAATTATAGGGAGCAAAACTAATTACACTGAAAATTTTAAAAATTTTTTTAATTTGGGGACATAGTTCCTTTAAAATCATCTATGTCTGCCCTTGACGACAAGTATTCATATTCGATCCACGTTAGAAATATAAGAAGGAAGCGCTTCCAATGACTAGTTTTTTCACTCACAAGAACTAAATTCTCGATTTCTCTGAGTCCTTGTCATTGATTTTAATTATATTAATTTCTATTTATATTATAATGTAAAGTTAGAAATTAAGATGCTCACCAAGAGCGGCCACCAAGAGCATCAAATTGATGGTTACAACCACAAGATGTAACGAGTGCCTAAAATAATTCAACGAAAAAAAAAATTTAAGACACACAAAACTAGATAAATTAACACAATCAGAAAACATAAATATGGTTTAAAATCAAATGTTGGGTATGCTTACGAAATTTGTATTGCAAGATCAATTGCATGGGTACTGTTTTGAGTAAACCCTTCAATTTGTGTTGATTCTTTGGCAAGAAGATTAGCTATGGAATTTAAGTGCCTTGACGTGGCAGAATCATATCGCTTTAAAAGATTTTTCATTTCTACCATTGCTTCTTTTACTTGGTTAAGATTTTGGAGGGCGTCTTCTCCTACCTCCATAATTGTTCCTTTGAACCTTTTTGTTCTGCTTAAGGAGCTTTCATTTGCAGCCAAAACTACACTGGTGGCAACTCTGAAAAATAGACCATATATGAATAAAACTACACCTCAATTGAGAAACTGTAGTAAAAAGATTTGATTGAGGTACTTACATGGCTAAGAATGTGAAAATGATAAAGAGCAAGAACATAAAAAAATATTGGTGAGTTAAACGGCTTTTAACCAAAGAAGAATCATTTCTCGTCAAGTTCTTGCGCATTACAAAAATTCCAAAGCCAAACCCACAGAACAGCCACACGCCAGCAATTCCATAAAAATGCTTTCCTGTAAATACCGCAGACTGAACCATAATTAATTAAACACACACATACTTATGTTTTTATGGAAAATACTTTGCCTAATACATACGTTAAAAAACCTAGCAAAGAAAAAACCTCAACAGAACAAAACAAGAAGAAAAAGGCTATTCTTGAGAATTCTAGAAAGAATTGAGAAACTAGTTAATGTGTACGAAAGAATGGAACTTACAGCCCAATAATCTTTATCCGTAACATTATACCCTCCATTGTAATCCCTAAAGCCATGTAGAGGATCGTGTCTCTTCAACTTTTGTTCTTCTTTAATAGGTGATCCAAGAACCACGACCTTAGGTGAGAAAAAGGACGTTAAAACCAGGAGAAGCACAAACAGATTTAAAACTCCACAACGTTTCGACATGGAAAACCCAACAACTACGTATACACTCTTAGCTTGTTCTTTCGCAAATTAAAGAAATGAAAAGAAAATGAAAAGGAAATAATTCTAACGTTCTTTGAGAGACTGACTTAGTAAGGTAAGAATAATATATAATAGGTTTTGAATTTAGGGTATGGGTTTTAAGAATTTGTGCTCTTCAAAACGAATTAAGAGGCGAAATTCTGTGATAATCCAAAATGCAAGGAAGGATTTGACGACTATCTTCTTTTATGCTAGAACGTTGATATGTGTGTTCATAAGCCTCTAGACCTTCTTTGCTTTTAATTAGGTTACTATAAAATAGTAAGTTGTGAACGTTTTGGCTATGGCTTTTCTGCTTTTTGCATGTGCTAAATTATCTTATTTTTTCTTTTTTTTTTTAATCTAATTAAATGGAGGAAATTAAATAAACATTTTTAATTCAAGAATCGGTTTTCCTTTTATAAGGGCTAATAAAATCATTTATTTTGACTTTTTATCACACACTGTCTAACCAAATCCAATCCTCTCTCGAATTTATAATCAATAGTCCTTAGGTTAATAGTTGGATACAATTGACATGTTCAAGAGTTTCTAAACATAATTGCAATTAATGTGAAAAGTATATGGACTAAATTGATAAGTGTTGAGCCCTCCGTAATGATAATCTTTCATTTATTTGCTCTTGTATGATTAGTGTAGTGGTAGAACATTTCTCCACTTGAGATTTGGCAATAGATTATTAGGGTTAAAAATGAAATTTTCTCTTTTAATATTTAATTAAAAAAATTATTTATGTTGTAAGAAGATCTTTCATTTTATGTAAAAGCTATATCCAAAAAATATCTTTATAATGATAAAAAAAGAATAAATTCAATGAATAACTAATTAACTTTTGAGTTTCCTTTATAATTATAATTTTATCACTTTTATGTCATAGTCTTCTTTTCTCCTTCTTTCAAACTAATAATTTTACCTTTTTTATTTGGAAGTGACACTAAAAGATGCTTTAAGAAGATGATTAATATTTTAAAAAAAATCAAAAAAATTTCAATTTGTAGAGTTATCCTTTTTGTTATTTTACTTTTTTTTTTTTGAATTAAAGTGATTGTATTATTTAAATAATATTAAATTAACACTATTAAATCCAATTATTATTTTCTTATATTAAATTTTTTTATCAAATGGAAATTGTAGTTATAAAACAACGCTATTAACATTTTAAATTTTTCATATTATAAATTATAAATTAATAATATTGTCAAATGTTAATAGCACTTTTTTTTTGTGGTAGCACTAAATATATGTGATAGTTCTAATAATGACAATGATTTTACAGTATCACATGGTATTATTGCTAAATTTTATTAGCGATAAATTTTTATTTTCATTTTTTTAAAGGAAATATCAAATTTATTAATAAAATTAAAAAAAATACAATCAGAAATAGAATCCAATTGTTTAAGACTGACATATTGATAAAAGATTTTAGCTAACGATGAGCCGCTACATTGGCTTGTCTACTTATCCACGAACAACTATGTCTATTTTAAAAATTATAAAATTTTGAAATTTAATAATAATAATTTAAAAAAAAAAGAAAAAATGTCTTAATGGTCGGATTGCGGTCCTCGGTAAAGTACAATCACAATTTTCAAACAGGCCCAAGTATAGGCATTGGGCCAACTTTAGTGAGATTATATTTGGATATGAAGGGTGATTGAACATCCTGCACGTGTACTTCCTCTACCAATGCCTGTTCACCACGTTTCACCAACCAAAATATCACCTAAATAGTCCACCTTGACTGTACGTGCTGCACACTCGCAGAAACTGGAGCGTGATGAAACCGTTGTTTTCTCTTTTTCCGTGTCTACTCCTTTCACAATCCGTGGAATCTTCTCCTACTCGGACAGCATATCATAGAAACCAGCGAAACTTCCCCAATTTGTCTTTTCATCTCATCTCAGACGCGCCAAACTCTTTTTATTTCCAACCTTAAAGTGGACCTATCAATTATTTATCTTTTTTAAATATGAAAAACTACTAAAATTTAAGTTCAAAATAAACTAACATAAATCAATTATTCATATAGTTTCTCTTAAAAAAAAAAAAAGTTAGATTAGTGAAAGTAAATTACATTCGAATTGAATTTTAATTTTAAAATTAAAAATTTAAAATCTGAAATAACTTCGCACTAATTATAGATTAATATTCTTCTATCCATAACTATAAGTCATTTAAAATATTTTTTTTATCTATAAATATAAATCGTTTAAAATAATTTTTTATCTATAAATATAATTCATTTTGAGAATATTAAAAGTAATTAATAATATTTTTTCAATTTATATTTATATATATTAAACACATTAATATTAATGATGTGAGATAGATAATAATTTAATTAAATTAAAGGATTTTTTTATTATAATTTGAGAAATTAATTATTTTTTAATCATTGTGCAAAAATCTTGGTGGACAAAGGAGTTAACCGGATCAAAATACCATTGACCCTAATGCAAACTAAAAAACGAAAACAAATATATATTTATACAATTTCGAAAAACACTTGTAGCATTATTGAGAAATTTATGCAATCACTTCATTACATTACCACTTTTCAAATATATTAATAATTTAATTTATGTTTGTCAAAAACTTAATTAATTTTATTTTCATATTTATAAATAAATTTTAAATATAATACTCATTTTTCATGAAATTCACTTTTCAATTAAAATATAAAACTATTATTTTACCAATGTAAATCCCTAATAAATTAATAATGTGAAATATTACCAAACACAGCTGATTATTTTATGAGTGATTAATTGTAATTTAGCCCCAAAAGGAAGCTGAATTAATTTATATTTCGGATTTTGTACAGTGGGCCAGTGGGGACCAAGACCAAATTTACAAACAAATGATATACAGTAATTGCACCAATACGGTCATAGCAGTAGCTAGCGAGCCAGCCAACCAAGGAAAAGAAGAGCATCGTCTCCACAGAGAGGTCTAATTGAAAGCCATAGATTCGAGAGAGTGAGGGAAACCACTCTCCCTGTTTCTCCATTTTTTTTCTTTTTACATGTTTTGTTCGCGAAATAAGGATTTCGTTAGATCCCTGTTTTGGTTTCTCTGATCATCAATGGGTTTGTGGGAAGCTTTTCTCAATTGGCTTCGCAGGTTAGCTCCGATCCGTCTAGCTTCAGTTTTATAGATTTTAGTAAGTGGTTAATATTTTATTTGTTTATTTGTTTGTTATTTATGAAAAATGTTGATTCAATTATGTGTTTTGGATTGGAGAAGGTAATGTCTATGGTGAGATTTTGGCGTTTTTATTTGCAATTTTGAACTTTTATTGATTGCCTCCGGTTTCAATGTAAATTTTTGTTTGGCTGTTACCCTGTTCATTTTCCTTCCTTTCTATCAGTGGTAGAACCTCATTTTTCATTGGTTTGTTTGCACATATTTGCGTTATTGTTTTCGGTGAATTGTTTATCTAGATAGTTCTAACCTCCAAAATGGCTTCCTTTATCACTGCCAATGACAAGAATGTCATCTACATAGACAATGAGAGCAAGAATAATGGAAACGGAAGCAAGAAAAATGGAATTGTGTGTTTGAGTAAAAACACAATGATTTGAAGTAGATTGTATAAATCATAATCATGTAATTGGGCTGTGAACTCGATGTTCCACCTCCTTGAAGCCTGCTTCAAGCCATACGAAGATTTGACAAGTTTGCAAACTTGACCTTGTTTAGGTTGTGTATATCCATTCAGAGGTTTCATATAAACCTCTTCTCAAGAAATCCATGTAAAAATGCAACATTTATGTAAAATTTTTGTACTGCCAAGCTCTAGAAGCAGCAGTAGCAAGCAATAACATCACAATACTGGAGAAAAACTGCCATTGTAATCTACTCCTGCAACATGTTGTTGCCTTTAGCTACTGATCGAGCTTTAAAACTATCAACAGTACTATCAGCTTTATATTTCAGTTTATATACCCATTTTGTCTCTGTTGGCTTCTTACTAGGTAGGAAAGAAGTTAATTCCAAAGTCTGGTTACTTAACTGTTAGTTGCTTTTCCTTGATGATATCGAAATATGCTTTAAAGGAGCAAAGTTTGAGATTTGATGATTTACTTCTTGATCATGACATATTGACATGTATGTTTACACTTTACACAAATGTGAATTAGTTGAAACTCACATAAGTAATATGTTCACGGCCATTAGAACAACTAAATTGTGGAGTTCTATTAGCATACTCAGTTTTTACGACAAAAAGAATAATTAATCCTTAATCCTAAACTAATTGGAATCAGCTATATAAAATCATTTCCTTCTGCTTTATTCATAACTAGGTTTGCATTAATGTCAAGAGGTAGTAGATCTTTTGAAAGAATTTCCATCTGTGTGGTTCTGCATTTTCCTCTTTTAGCACCTGTCACCATCAATAGATTGCACTTATGAATTGGAATACATGGAAGTCTATGTGAAATAACCAACCACCTCAGATGTCCTTTTATCATTTTATTCCTAACTTTTGCTACTTGCACTTTTTGTTGGATATGTCTAATCCTGTTCAATTTTGTACGATCATACATATGTCTTAATATCCTCATTTTTGCAACATTCATCTTATGAATATGTCGGCAATTCGGGACCAACATTTACTCCCGTATAACATCGCAGGTCTCACTATTGTTCTATAGAACATTCCTTTCACTTTGTTAGATCTAAACTAAGGTTATATTTTTGCTAAAAAGATTGATGGAAATTTGTGGGGAAATGAATAAGCATCTATATATAGTGTTCATTTACCTAGAGAAAGCATAAGATAGAGTGCCAAGAAAAGTGTTTTAGTGGGTGGTTTTGGAGAAAAAAGGAGTCCATGACAAAATACAAATGCCATTAAAGGTATATGCGGATTTTGGGAAACAGAACTACCGGCATAAGTTTTTGTGCTATAATATAGAATGTTTGCACCTTGGGTAGTAATATGTTTCTGAATAAGACTGACAATCAGTTCTTTTGTTGTTTTGCCCATATGGAAAATGGACTTTGCATGCTCAGTTTGGTTTTCAATCACTTTGGAAGAACTGAGTGGTGTGAGTTGTGACATCTAGAAACTTGAAATCTGATTGGAGTCCTTGTATTTTAATGTCACTACACAATTAGGAACTTCAGATTGTACATATTACAAATTTGATATTCGCTTAAAGGTTGAGGAGGTTTATTTTAGCTATTTGGAAATGTTACACTGTGGCATTTCTACAGAAAATTGATGTAATGAGAGTAAAATTGCAGTGCTGACACCTGAAGGCCTTGTGAAGGAAGAATAACAGTTTGATGTTAATATATATGCTTTTGTATTTATCTTTCTGTTGATTGTTTGGAGTGGCATGTCCGGAATGATTATAGCTCTTTAATTTCTTCTAATGAATGCTTATTCTACCACACGCACAATTGTCACTGTAGGACTAATGATTGATGCCTATTCAACTTGTCCAAGAAGTTGAATGGGAAAAATTCATTAAAGAGAATGTTGCAAGATCTGAATACCTTACATTGTTCAATTCTCGTTCCTGAATTGTGTGTAAGATGACTGAGATGCATTTTTCAATCCGGTGGCTACAAATTGTTACTTCTTTAATTATATTTTCTTTTATTTTCTTTCAATTTTATTTTATTCTGTAATTTTGTTTTTCTTGGAATTGATGTGCTACTAAGGCCAATGGACTACAGAGTATCTGACATAAGGCTTTTGATGAGGTGTATTTACAGAATCCAAAATGGATATTATCCTTGATTCACTTACCATAACTAGAAAGATGAGACATTGAATAGAAAACATTCAAGAAAGAGGTTATTTGTTTTATCTGGAGTCTAGACACATGTTAGGGGAAATTATTAATAATTTTATTCACTTTATTACTTGCTTTTATTATTGGCTTTTAAAGAGGTCCTTCACATTGCTTAGCTCACACTCATGTATGTTGGACTGCAGCCTCTTTTTCAAGCAGGAGATGGAACTATCTTTGATTGGACTTCAGAATGCTGGAAAGACTTCTCTTGTAAATGTTGTCGCTGTAAGTTATTATTGCATGGATCAGATATGTCGTTCCCTTTGTTGAATTCTTGGGTTGATGTGTTGGAAACTAACTTCTTGCCTTGTTTCTAGACTGGTGGATATAGTGAAGACATGATCCCTACGGTAAGTTGTCTTGCAGAATAAAATCTTGATATCATCTTTCTGTAAGGTTTATAGTTCCCTTCTGCAAACAGGGATATTTTGCGTCATTGTGTTTTCCCCTCTCTTCCATCTGTATCCATTTATATTTCTTCGAATTATATTATATTATATTTATTTAATTTTGTACCATTTAATCTTCAGGTAGGATTCAATATGAGGAAATTAACAAAAGGAAATGTCACAATAAAGTTGTGGGATCTTGGAGGTCAACCTAGATTTCGCAGCATGTGGGAGCGATACTGTCGTGCAGTCTCTGCTATTGTGTATGGATTTACTTCTCTGTTTAATTTGACTCTTAATAAGAAATTTATTTGCCATGTTGCTTTTAGCACTTGGAAGATGAATAATTGGTGAATGTTTTTCTATGAGACCACAAATAATCTATGCTGTTTAAATCTTATCAAGATCATGCTCTTTAGCTGTTCATTTTCTTCTTCTGCAGTGGGAATGAAATTCATTTCAGGTTTTTATGGGATAGTTACTGTGTGCAAGTCAATTTACATATAAATACCACATATTGCTGAAAATTTTCATTGTCATATATTTTATCACTAAATTTCAACTTTGGATGTTGGTGAGTTGTAAAGAGTTATGGCCGGCATTTCTTTCGGTAGAAGTCTAAGTTTGCATATCTCATTTAATATCTTTCCACTTCTTGTATTAAGTTTCTAATTCACATGTTTCATTTATGTCATAAAGTGTGTTCATTATTTCGGTTGGACAAAAACTTAAGGGTTTCCATGTCATGTATAACTCAGTTTCCCTCCTTTGGTCTTCTTGGGGATTTGCAGCTTCTTGCAATGGTCCTGGCCTCTCTGTATACAGTTAACTTTGGCAAGTCTAGAAATTTGAAAACAATGTTTATGATAAAAGTACAGTGGTTCTTCATGAATAGAAGGCGCTGCATTTTTAAATTTCTCTTGTGTTGAAACTTGAAAGCTATCAAATCTATTAGTAATTAAGATTACTTGTTTTTCCAGGTTGAATCCTATGTTTTTGAACTGGAGGAAATTACTAACTTCAACAGGTCTATTAGACCCCACGGAATGAGCTCTTCCCATTCTAAATACTGAACCTTCCACCTAGGGGCAGATTCAGGATATAATTTCAGGAAGGAGGAGGAAAGAGGTGGGGTTTTGGGGGGTTGGACTTGCACATCCTATTGACTGTTAAAATTCAGGGGGCAGTGCGGACGAGTCTCTCTTTATGAGTGGCAGCAATAACAAAAGTAGCACATATGTCCATTGAAATTTTAGTGTAGCAGTGGGGGCAAGTGCCCCTGTTGCCCCTGATGTACGTCTGCCCCTGCTTCCACCGATAGTAAAATTTTGATTAAATCAGGAATAAATCAAGCAAAACCTTTTTCAAAGAACAATGTCTTATCAAGGTTTAATATATTATGAGTCCATCACTTTTGTGATTTGAGAATCTCAGGACAGAGTGAATGCCACAGCTAGGAAATAGGTTTCCAATTCAGTTAACATATTGTGTCTTGAAGAAATTTCAGCCTGCAGCTTGCTTTATAACTGTTGAGTTTCTTTATTTCATTTGACACAAATTGGCTGGAAGTTGTAATGATTATCTTGCTTCTGTAGTTTTTGCATTGGTGATGATGTAAAATTGGACAAACTGTTGCCAAAGATGATTTGCAGGTCTAATTTTTAATCTTAAAGTTTTGGGTGAAATATTCTGGATCATGGATCCGGCTTCCATGTCCGTCCATAGTTATTGTGTTCTAATTTCTAAATATTTGTTAGTCAGTTCAATCACTGTTTTCTTAATTAGATGATGACTTTTATTTGATTGCTGCAGTTATGTTGTTGATGCTGCTGATCCTGATAACCTGGGTATTTCAAGAAGTGAACTTCATGATTTGTTGAGTAAGCCATCACTGCATGGTATCCCATTGTTGGTGCTAGGGAACAAGATTGACAAGCCAGGAGCTCTGTCGAAGCAAGCTTTGACAGATGAAATGTATGATATTGCAATATACACCATTCCGCAAATGTTGATTCTTTTAAATTTTGCTGAATTCAGATATATTCAATGTTCTGACGGTGAAAATGGGCTTGTACTTCGCAGGGGTTTGACGTCGATTACTAACAGAGAAGTTTGCTGTTTCATGATCTCTTGCAAGAATTCAACCAACATAGATTCAGTTATTGATTGGCTTGTAAAGCACTCGAAGTCTAAGAGTTAAGTCTTGTTGTATGTCATTATTTAAAGGTCCATATGCTGGCCCATTGACTCAGATAATTAACTAACTTTTCTATCTTAATTGTTTTAATTAGTCTTTCTTCCTTCTGAGCTATCTGTACTGTATATTATGATTATACCGTTTCTAGTGAAGCATGCCCGGGTTTTCATTGTTCCCTATGGCTGAGTTGCGCTTCGCTCTTCTAGTTGATATAATGATAATTCTTATTTTTTGATTTCTCACTTCAAAATCTAATTTTAGGTTTTTAGCTAAAATTTGTTTTTTATTTTATTATAAAATAAGAAAATAATTTTATTTAATTTTTATGATTGAAATTCACAAGTTATTTTTATAGCACATACACCCCTTAATAAAACTATAGCGATTTTGTGTATGTGCGCTGTGGTACCAGGAAAATAGCATATATTAAAAGTTAATATAAAAATTTAGTTGTTAAATATAATAATCAAGACAATAAAATAGAATTAATTAATAAAATTATTTCTAAAATTTTTATGTATACATTAATTTAAAATTAATTATAAAATATTATAGTTTATATGTAATTCAATAAAGAGAAAATAAAAAAACTAAGTAAACATCGAACAACAGCTTAGCGTTGGCCAAAACCCACGGCCTATACTGATAATATACCAGACTAAAAAACATCAGCTTTAGCCACTCCAGTTCTCTCCGCTAACATTTCTCTCCTTCACTTCCAATGATGGAAGCTCCAATGGCTCCTTCCTCTTCTGTCCCAACACCGAAATTCGAACCCAACATAGAAGCCATCAAACAGAGACTCTTAAAGAAAGGCGTGTATCCAACTCCCAAAATAATTCGAGCTCTCCGCAAGAAACAAATTCAAAAACACAATCGCAAACTCAACAAAATGGCACAAACGCAACAAGCTCCACTTCTCACTCCCTCCCAAAAGCAAGCCCTGGCCGAGGAAACGCATTTTCAAATCCTAAAACGTGAGTACAGAAAATTCAACAAGGCAATAAAAGCGGAGACAGGGTCTGGAAATGGCGGTTTGTTGGTGGGAAAACCTTGGGAGAGAATAGAGAGAGTGAGTTTGAGAGAGCTTGCAAGTGGAAGTAAAGAATTTAATGGAGACGCGTTAAAGAAGGAGAATTTGAGAGAGTTGAAGGAAGTTTTTGAGGAAGGTTTGAATTGGGTTTTGGATAATGATATTGAAGTGGAAAATGATGATTGGTTGAGAAAGGATAATCAATGGCAATGGGATCCGACCAAACGGAGACGCAGTGATAAGGAGGCAATTCGGTTTCTTGTTGATAAGTGCGTGATTATGATTAATTTATTATTAATTCTTTAAAATTATTGTTGTCACTTTTGTATTATTTTCAATTTTGCGAATTTTATTTTTGGGTTTTTAGATTAAGTGAAAGAAAGGTTACTGTGAGAGATTGGAAGTTAGCAAAGATAATGAAGCAGTCAGGGTTGTGGTTTCACGAAGGGCAGCTGCTGAAAATTGTGGAAGGGCTTGGAGACAAAGGAAAGTGGGAACAAGCTATGCAAGTTGTGGAATGGGTATATAATGATAAGGAGCGTAGAGATTGTAAAAGCAGGTGATTATTTTTCCGCTTTGTTTCAAGAATTTGGGTTTGCAGATTTAACATTACCTTCAAACAATTTTTGAACCAATTTATTTGTAGGTTTGTTTACACAAAATTGTTGTCAGTGCTCAGGAAAACAAAGAGGCCCCAGGAAGCTCTTCGCATTTTTAATTTGATGCGTGTAATTTTCTTTGAACTTTTTATTTCATTCATTATGGTTCTTTTATTTCTCTATTGTTTACCTTTCTTATTTTGCTGGATTGATTCTTACTCCTAAGCAATTCAGAAGGACCGCAATATGTATCCTGATATGGCTGCATATCACATCATTTCTGTTACACTTGGACAAGCTGGTGATTTGAAAGAGTTGCTTAAGATTATTGAATCCATGAGGCAGAAACCTTCTAAGGGACACAACAAGAACTGGCACCCTGTCCTTGAACCAGATGTGGTTATATATAATGCTGTAAGAAAACATCACCATTTCCTCTATTCAAATTGCCTAGGTACGTTAAACTGCATTCTAGCAACAGAATAATTTTATCTTTTTCCAATTTGCTTGCTAGGTATTAAATGCCTGTGTTCCATCCAAGCAGTGGAAAGGTGTGTCATGGGTGTTTCAGCAGTTGAGAAAGAGTGGTCTTAAGCCCAATGGTGCAACATATGGATTAGCGATGGAGGTAATTTCTTGATCATAACTTATGTTTTTCCTCAAATTATATTTGTATTCAAGTCTTACAGGAGGTGCTTTTTAAAGGTAATGTTGCATTCTGGCAAGTATGACCTTGTCCATCTGTTATTTAAGAAAATGAACAAAAGTGGAGAAGCTCCAAAAGCGCTTACATATAAAGGTAGTTTATTTAGTCTGTTTTCTGCAGCAGGTAGTGATATTTGTTGTCTAATGCATCATTTTGCAACTCCAGTTCTCGTAAATGCTCTTTGGGAGGAAGGTAAAGTCAATGAAGCTGTGGAAGCAGTGAGAGATATGGAACAAAGAGGAGTTGTTGGAACAGCTAGTGTATATTATGAATTAGCTTGCTGCCTTTGCAACAATGGAAGGTGGCAAGAAGCTTTGCTAGAGGTTAGTTTTTTTAGATAGGTTTTTTCTTCTTTGTTGTTGTAACTTCTATGGGTGTGTGAAAGCTAAAATTTTGAAGGCTCAGAAAGTTTCATCTTTTTTTTTTTTTTTTTTTTTTTTTTTGAGTTGGTTGGACAGCTATGTATATTATGATTAAGCTTGCTGCCTTTGCAACAATGATAGGTGGCAAGAAAGCTTTGCTTATGAGGTTAGTTTTTTTTTAGATCGGTTTTTCTTCTTTGTTGTTATGTAACTTCTATGGGTGTGTGGAAAGCCTAAAATTTGAGAGGCTCGAAAGTTTTCATCTTTTTTTTTTTTTTTTTTTTTTTTGGGTTATATGTCTGCTATGGTTAAGAAGATGAAAAAAATTCGTCATAGTAAACATTGGAGGTTACTTTCATCTGGCATGATAATGTCTTCCTTTGAATGGTGGGGTATCTCAATGATTTGCATCTTCTAATCTTTGAGTACAGTAAAAGCCCAAATTTGCATCCCTCAACATAGGGACCATAAATACTTAGTCCCCTGAAAAGTTTATGGCCAGAATGATTTTGTTCTCTGAAGCTAAGGAGTTATTGAGAAATGAAAGGAGCCATTGGTGCTTTTAACGTCTATCGTTCCATGTTTTTTTTTTTTTTTTTTTTTTTTTTGGGTTATATGTCTGCAGGTTAAGAAGATGAAAAAACTTCGTCATAGTAAACCATTGGAGGTTACTTTCACTGGCATGATAATGTCTTCCTTGGATGGTGGGTATCTCAATGATTGCATCTCTATCTTTGAGTACATGAAAGCCCATTGCATCCCCAACATAGGGACCATAAATATTATGCTGAAAGTTTATGGCCAGAATGATTTGTTCTCTGAAGCTAAGGAGTTATTTGAGGAAATGAAAGGAGCCATTGGTGCTTTTACGTCTATCGTTCCAGATGAGTACACGTATAGCTCAATGCTCAAGGCATCTGCTAGTGCACTTCAATGGGAGTACTTTGAACTTGTGTACAAAGAGATGGCTTTCTCTGGGTATCAACTAGATCAACGCAAGCATGCATCGCTACTTGTGGAAGCATCCAGAGCTGGGAAGGTGGTTATTGATTCACATCTTTGATCTTTGAAGTTATGTCATTTAATTTTTCAAGTCATTGGTAATGTAGACCTTTTATCTTAAATTATGTCAGGAGCTCAACGCAAGCAGATATTTAATCTGCTTGTTTTGTTCTTAATGCAGGGTCATCTTCTGGAGCATGCATTTGAGTCAACTTTGGAAGCTGGAGAAATTCCTCATCCTTCATTGTTCATTGAAATGATATTTCAAGCAACGGCTCAACAAAATTATGAAAGAGCTGTGATCTTGGTCAACACCGTGGCTCATGCCCCATTTCGAATCAGTGAAAGGCAGTGGCTAGATCTTTTCAAGAAGAATAGGGATAAAATTGCTGAGGGTAGTTTAGAAAAGCTGTTAGATGCACTTGCTAATTGCAATGTTGTAGCAGAGCCAACGGTCATAAACTTGTCAAGATCACTGCAAGCTCTATGTAGATATGGCACGTCAACTTACTTATCAAGTTCAATTGCTTCAGCCATTGAAGACATAGATAGTTCCCATTTGGATCCTGACAGAGAGGATACCATCAGTAATAAGACAATGGAGATGCCAGTTTCTTATGCAAATACAGTAAATGGAAATCTGGAGATGCACGATAATGCTCTTGTTAATGAAACTGATGTCACATATATCGAGTCCAGTGTTACAGATGGTGATGATGATAGTGATACTGATGAAGTCTCTAGCCTGCAAAACCATAGTAGTGACCAAGATGGAATACACACTGAAATGGAGGCTTCTATTAATGATGTGACGTCTGGTAGGTTTAGTGGTTGTTTGGATGGAACGTTGAAAGATTTGAACGACGTGGAATTTGAAATACCCATGAACCAGGTTGATGATTCTAATGAATCTAAATTACCCTCAGCAGCTGATATACTGGAAGCCTGGAAGAAAAGCAGGAAACAAGGAAGGATATTCTCCCCCTTTGAATTCGGGCATAAGAACTAAGAAGCAGCTATAAGCAGATCATATATGTATATAGATTAAGCAGCTCCTTAGGACATATGGAGACACATAGTGATTAATGGATATTTTTTTTCTTTTTAGCAGAAATAATCAGATTTATTATATTATTTTAGAGATTTTTGCAACATTAGGTCATCCATCATATTCTAAACCAATGAAAGAAGCATGCATAAATCATTTGAATGTAAAAATTGAAAATTTATTACTTCATTTATTAATTGACTGAAATAATAAACTATAAATTTCCATGCTATGAAATCCATTGAGAGACTACTATATTATATATTAAATTAATATCGTAATTATCAATTTCTCACTGATTTAAATATGAGATTATTCTTATTTTATTTTAAGATTGGTGATTCATTAATTTTCTGGTCTCACTAGTGTTTTTTAAATTATTATTAAAAAATATATTTTTAATATCTATTCTGTTTGGATCTTTATAAATTAAATTATTAAATGTGTATAGGTTTTTTTTTAACCCTTGCATTTCTTGTTCAGAACCCTAGCTTAGTTTCTTAACAGTACCAGTTGTCCTCGACATACTCCAATATGTTTTCATAAACCCTCTCAAAATCTCGACAAGAATGCACTCCATAGCCGTAAAAATGCACAGTAAAACCCTAATCAGACTCCTCAACTTCACGTCAAAACCCATTTCTCGTTCTCTTTGTACCGCCTCCACAACCTCCTCCGTCTCCGAAACTCAAACGCAGAAACTCGAGCGCATCGCCGATCAGCTCCTTGATCTCAATAAGATCGAGAGGCATGACTACGCAGTTCTCTTTCGGCACAAAATGGGCTTCCATCGCCATTCCCCCGCTCTCTCTGGTGCCGTTTTATCCGGCTCAGCTGCCGCTGGATCCGGGCCGGCTGCTGCCAAGCCGGCGGAGGAGAAGACAGCATTCGATATTAAGCTGGAAAAGTTCGATGCCGCAGCGAAGATCAAGATTATAAAAGAAGTTAGGACCTTTACAGATTTGGGTTTAAAGGAGGCTAAGGACTTAGTAGAGAAAGTGCCTGTCGTTTTGAAGAAGGGAGTCACTAAAGAGGAGGCAAATCCCATTATTGAGAAGCTCAAAGAATTAGGAGCTACTGTGGTACTGGAATGAATTTCTTGCTCTCCTCCTCTCTTTTTTATTAAATGTTTTTGTAATTTTTTGTTCCGATGTAGAATAACAGAATCTCTCTAGCATAGTTGAAAAATGGAAATCATCATTGGAGATAAGATTGATTAAACTGTTCTCCTCAAATGGTTTTTTTTTTTTTAATTGCTGAGGATGTTAAAATTTTAATCTTTTGGTACATACGTGATTAACTGCTTCATGTTTAGTTTTGGTATTGACTGGTAATGAGAATTGGCATTTAATATCCATGAGGAGACAATGGTTTCTGCATTTCATATGTGCTATAACTGATATTGATATGTTTATTTTCAAATTGAGATTGATATATGAAATTTATATCGCTTGTTAAAATATACTTATGAACCCTAGAAGCTGTTGGAGTTGCAGAGCTGAAAGAAATACTATTTTGAATTATTTGTAGTAATTGACTATGTTAGGATGTCAGGTATACATTTTGATATGATCCAACTGTGAGGACAAATATTCACTTCATATAAAACTACTGAGTCCCTCGTTTACTGTTCTTGTTCCATCTGTGTGAGGACATTTTACTATTGAGAAAGCAAATAATATATTTTGTAGTCAACCCAACCCAAGTCTTAATTCCAACTAGTTGAGTCGGCTATGCGGACATGTTTCCTCCATTCCACTCAGTTTAGAGCTAAGTCATTTCTTTGTGCTTCCTTCCATCTCATATTAGCTTTGCCCCAAACTTATCATTTACACTTCAATATGCTCAATATTCTGTACTATATAGTATTTGCTAATCTAAAATGCACAAACATAAGCTATTTCAATATTCCTTCTCTCAATTGTTCCTTAATAAGTTGCTTTTGCCGTTGTATGAATCCATTTGTTCCTTATCCAATCACTTATTGTGTTTCTGCTGTTCTATCTCAGCCTTCTCATTTCTGTTGCACTGAAATTCTGTATGTTTCTTGCCAATGCCTCCAGTAGTTGATTTGATGACACTTTGCCCTCAGGCCTGTCATTTCATAAGCTATTTGTCATTTCACATTCTTTGGTTTACTTCTTGCTTGCCTAAAGTTTTTGTATGCTAGAGGTTGGATATTTGAAATGTGTGTTGCATTGGACTCCTACATCATCTGAAATAACTAGTTGTTTCATAAACTAAAATGCTTGCTTTATCCTCCAAGTTCTAGCTATGATTAATTTGCTGGCTCGTGAAAGTGGGATGCAGGAAAGGGTGCAGTTTGTAATTCCATGTTTTTAATTGCTGAAGAGATGGGGAGATTAGCCTGTTTGCAAAACAAAGTCAGTCAAATACAATTGGCTTTGGGTTAGCTATAGTCGTTTTCTAACAAAACCATAATCAAACTGACCTATGTTGATTGGATTTCGTTAGGTGTTTCCAAAAATTCTGTCACCAATTGGTTTGGTGAGAAAAAACATTTGGTTTCTAATTTGCTTACATATATGATTAACCTATTTATTTTTACGTCCATAAGAGCTTATCATTTGCAGAATGATTGAACCCAAACTGAGCTTATCATTTGCAGAATGATTGAACCCAAACTGAGCGAAACTGATTCAGTTCGAGTTCATTTGTTTTTTTTATACTATTTGGTTTTGGACTAAAAATGCATTTGGTTGGATCGAAGTTGAGCTTATTTGGTTTGGTTCAGCTGAGTTAACCCAACGCTCATCAATTTGATTATGTTTGAGGATTTTGTATTTCTTCAAGTTCATTTATAATGTATATGGAAGGATTCTAGCCAGCACATTTCATAAATTCACTCACAAGTCAAGGATTTCTCTCCATTTCTCATCATTTAATAAATTTATTATGGATAAAATTTCTTTTATATAAAATAGATAGGTATCTGCCTTGCGTTAGGTCGTAAAATAACTAAATAGGGCGTATTTTTTAAAGAAAAAGAGAATTAAACCGGCCGGATTAGATTGGTATTTATCCGTACCGGCCTCATTTATAAACGGATCTAGTTTTATCCTGTGAACTCGGGCCGGTTTCGATCAGATTGAGTCGGATGGGGTGAAAATGGACATCCTTACCAACATGAGAATTGATAAACAGAGGCGTTGCTTATTTAGGGTTTCTAAGCATCCTCTTGAAGAACATCTGTTAAAATAATTTATTCTGAACTGCCTCGGTCAAAGTTCCATTCACAAACACACACACAAACACACATATATATACAGATAGAGAGAGAAACTCAAAAACACTCTTCCACTAGATTGACTAACCATCGAAAAGGTGCACATAATTGATATAACTTAAGCCAATCTAGCGTCCTATTCGGCTATTTCTGATTCTATCACCGGTATCTACTCTTTTACCTCATTATAAAGTTTCAAAATAAAAAAAACCCTATATGTTCCCAACCAAAAGGAACATGATTTCATGGTTCAATATTTGCATTCCCAGATTTTACAAGACTAACCACATTTACAGTTATGGACATGATGGAACTTTCATACAGCTGCACCACTTCAGTCCATTGCATGTTTCCCGCCCAAAGTCCATTTCAAGAACTCAAACATCTGCAAAATTATAACAATAAGATTAACAACAATCAGAAATACTAATAAAACAAACTGTATTTGTAAGCTCATAACATATGCCATCAAATCAGAGTTTTCCATATTCCATCCCCGTTCTCTTAAAACCCAAAGGAAAAAGGAAAACGAGAATAAGGTACTATACACTGTAGCATTGAAAATATGTAAAGACAGGTGTCAAGAAAACCTAGATATGAGAAATAGAGTATCAAAAGCTCATTTGAAGGAAAAATCCTCATTGAACAACCACATCAAGTAAAGTGACTAGACCTGCAACACATATGGGGTGTGCCAAAAAAATGGCTAAACCTGAAAAGTTTCAACGGAGAAAATAGGAAATTGTTCTTGGAACAGCAGACCACGTTCTTCCTAACATTCATCATCGACAAGTTCATACCCAGAATGTTGAAAAGGTTGGATATTGCCGACAGATTAGAAATAAAGTAAAATTACCTCGATTGCTGGATGAAATTATGTGAAGTTCAGCATATTTTCTATGAAAAATTAGTTCAATAGAGAGAGAGAGAGAATTAAACTCAAAGCTCTGCAAAAATGGTTAACTGCTCAAATTTATTCACATTCTTAGCGAAGAACCTGAACCTTCATTGCATTGGGTTCCCATAAAAAGGAAAGAAAAATGCAAATATTTTTTACACTAAAGAATCGTTTATAGCTTTTAGTAGATATAGACCTATATACCTTTAGGAAGACTTGCTGACAACAGCATTTAATAGATGGCGAGTCCGATACTTGAATGCCTTCATTGCTGCTTTTGCAAAAACTTGTGCTGCTTCTGCTTCAGCTTCCGCTGCCTCAGCCTCCCTTGCTGCCTCCTCAGCTTCTGCAATTGCAGCTTCTGCCTCTGCAACTGCCTTTGCAGCAGCTGCAGCTGCCTCAAGGGCAGTCATGCCCTTAATCTTTGACAGCTCTTGATCAACCTGGGATTTAGTCAGGATTTTGGTGGTATTCATCTCAGTTTTCGAAGAATCCTTCTGCTTTCCTTCTACAAGTAAGTGTGGAGAATTTCTTCTTCCTTCAGAAACTGCCAAGTGTTGAGAGTTTCTTCTTCCATCAGAAACTGCTGAACTAGGTGCAAGTCTGTACTTATGCTTTACCTGTAATACAATTCTAAAAATGAATTTGAAACAATAATAACAAGGAACTAATTATTACTTTGCAGTTAGTGGATACCAACTCAATTAGCTTCATATGGTTAATACATGCAACTTTTTATGAAACTAAGCAAAGCGATTAAGATGGACAGCGTTGAGAAGAGAGAAGGTGATATATGGAAAAATATCCTTATGCATACAGGTCTCTAGGATCAAAATAATAAAATGATTTTATCATCAAAATTATAGCGAAAAATAATTAAGTAATTCTTTGGACTTAAAAATCAATAGGATTAAATTTCAACTGCTGTCAGGTAGGCTAAAATTTATTAGTATCAATTCTATTAACTACCAAAGTACCAATAGTCTTGAGAAATAAAATTTATTCTAACTTCGAAGGACACTTTTTCTTAGCCTACAAATTTGCTTACATTCCCAGAAACAGAAACGATAACCTTTTTTTGTTCAGCCATGATAGAGCTGCAGCATCAGATTACCTTGACCAATTTTCCATTTGCAGTCAGAAGCTTTAATTTTCCTGCCAATAGCTTCCTGAGATTTGAGGGTGCCCGGTATTTTTCCTACAAATTTGAAAAATGATCAAGGTTTAAATCAGTTTGAACAGATAAGCAAATCAGACAGTTTCGAATTTCTTCTATTTTTAAATTCAAGAAACAAACTCTGGTTTGCAATATTTCCACGGATAGTTAACAAGAAGGCAGGTGGAAAGAGCAAACAAGCATGAGCACACTCAAGAGAGAGAACGAAAGCAAAAGAGGAGAGAATAGACATCTTCACAGTATCTTATCAATCAAATATTACAAGAATTAAATACATCATGTAGTTACATTTTCTTTGATTTTTCTTACTGCAGAGTATCAACATACAAGCTTCCCCAAATTAGAACTAAAAGATATATATGTGACTCACCTCAATGTATGAAGCAATCGAAGCCCTGTCAGAACCACTTGGCTCCTTCAATGTGGTAATAGCTTCTAATATTAGATTATCTATCCTACAACCACAGAAAGTAGTCGCAATAGACTAGCTCATTAATCATATCAAGCTAAAAAACCGTCAGCATGGCTTCCAATACAATGATATAATGACCTTGACCTACCAAAATTCTTCCAACTTATCTTCAAAGCAAGATGCAGGGAAATGTAGCTTCCTTTTCCTAAATATATAAATCATTTGTGGACCATAGAATAATCTAGATTACAAGTGTTACCAGTTGTACTGTCAATAATCACTGCTGCCATTTTCTACATCAGAAAAAAAGAAGTTCTATTTCCTCAATCACCAAGTAAAATATCTTGTATAAAAAATATGCTGTTCTATTACCTCAAATGAGATGGACCCAATTAACAAATATAAATAAGTACAAGTGTCTGTTGACCCTAGTCATCATATGAAATGTCTAGAGCAATAAATGAGCAAGCTGCTCAAGGGTCGGCTCGAAACAATTCGTTCAAGCTTGTTCAATAAATTTAACAAGTTGTGCTCGAGCTTGCTTATCGAGCAAATTTAATAAATGAGCCAAGTTCAAGCCTAAAAGGGGTCAAGATTTTTTTTCCCAACTACAAATTGTAAACGAGCAGAGCTCGAGCCCGAGTATACCTTCATCAAGCCAAGCTCAAGCTCAATAGTACTCAACTCGGCTTGGCTCATTTACTGCCCTATCAGTGTCACAAGTTGGTTTATAACCTTAGGCATCAAAGAGACTGGAGAAAGAGAGAGTGGCAGGAAAAAACATGGCAAAAGAAGCAGATGCCATGTTTTCAGACAGCCAGTTATATCCCAGGCTACAACAAAGAGGCATTTAAGCAACAATTTTTTTATATTTAAAATAACATCCACGAGGTGACCTGGTTGATATATACTGGCCCCATGTAAGCTAAATTTTTGCAGCATATGGTTCTGTCAAGTGAATTCATGACGTTATAAATCAGAGTATCAAAAATAAGAAAGGCCTATAAAGCTATGAAAACTTCATGCAAGGGGACTCTCACAAGTGAAACTTAATATTTAGCTGAACTAGCATGCACATTGCTTTGCCAGAAAAAGAACCAAAAGATCTCACACCAACAATGACACATAGTCTCATGCCCAAATCTAGTTTAGATAGCCATTTTTTCCCATTCACCTTCATCCAGATGAAACTTCAATTTAATGATAGAACTCGTGCTGATTTTATTTTTTAATAAAAGGCAGTTTATTATGTTGTTGCTTGCCTAACCATTCTTTGCTTTACAGGCTTAGGGCAGCTAACCTACTCCCCTTCTTGTGCATGTAAAAATATGATCACAACTAGGCTGCACCGATCAAAATGTATAATATATGAACATATAACATGATTCCTTTTAAGATATCAAAACAAAATGTTCAATTGCAATCCACTATCAAAGATTCATCCATGTGCAGTAAAACAATAATGTGGAAATATCACATAGTCGAAGAAAAAGCAACCTTGCAAGTAGTTCTTTTGAACCAATATTCTTTGGTGTTCCACTAGATATTGCTAAAGGCTTAGCATCAACAATTTCTTCATTTCCCTGAACTACAATGCTCAAAGCCTTGGGATTATCATCATGTTTAGGGGTCTGTGGAGTCTTTTTAAGTGCAAGTTTCGCCTTCTGCCTGGAGCCCCATATTGCAGTCACATTTATATTTCTCCATTTATCCTGTCCATAATTGGACAACAAGGTTTATATACAATAACAACACAGCATGCTAAAGCCTAATAAGCTCTACTTTTATATTTATAAAAAGTGAACAAACAGAAACAAACAAATGAAAATTGTTGGTATTTAACCAGTACAAAAATCCATGGTGCTTTATTTTTTCCTATCCTGAGCAAACATGCCAAATGTTTATCACAAATACCTTCAAATCAACATTAGACCGTAGACGCAAAATTGCACTAAACTCAGGATCCATAAGTATTGTTCGCCATTTGCCAGTCCCATGCTTAAGCACTCCAGCTTTGAGGGCTGCCTCTTCTTCTGCTGTCCACTTTTGCTTCGGAGCACCCATCAAGGGAGGTTCAATGCCCTGAAAGAAAATTGAACGAACCACCTTTTAGTAAATCCACCTAAATAAAGATAATCAGACACTACAGCACCTCAACTTTGCACATAGTCCTACAAGCCAAACACCCGACAATGCACACTAAACAGAAATACGTAAATCGCCAGGCAAAACAATAGCCAAACGATTGCCTGGCAAGTTAAACCTCTAAAGGAAGTAATAATTCTAACCATTGAATTTACAGATGCATTCCAGCATAAAGAAGCATATAAAATTGTAATTTCCCTACTCTTTTAGTGCCAAATTGGAAATGATAGTTTTTCTTGCAGCTAACTATAAATTTTTTAGCTTAAACTGATACAGCAAAAATTTTCTGACAATACCCATTTCAATAATGAATTTTTACAATTGTGTCAGATTAGGTCAAATTACGCCTTCCCTCTTTACCCATCAGATAAAAAAAACATAAAATATAGAAAAGCTTATCACATAGAATTAAGAGAAACCCAATAAGGCAAGAACTCATATTTATCTGTAGATAGGCCTGATTCAGTTAAATTCTTCGAAAATTTAGTACAGATCAAACGGAAAATATATAAATTCAGCTCAGAAATTGAAAAAACAATAAAACAGATCATAATTTCTTTATAGAAAGAAGGAATAAATTTAAAAACCAAAATCGTGTGAGGTTTTTGGGGTGTGTGAATACCTGATCAAAGGAACCAACAAGAAGTTGGCAGAGAATGTGAAAGACGTGGAGAATTCATATGGCGATCATTGGATTATAATCTTGGAAAATTTTTACGTTTGGAGGATTTGCAGACAAGAAAGTGAAAATATTACATGAATTATATGTACTTTTATTTTTGGCCGTGGAAATGAAAATGTACTATAATCTGTGTCTCTTTGGTTCTTCCCTTGAAAGTCTGTAGTATATGTTTATACACGTTGGCCCCTGAAGTTTTATGAAATTAGAAAGAAGCACCAAAACTGCTAGGATAAAATACAAATATACCTAAATTGCTCAAAGTTAAAAATCCAATTTTATTGAAGTAAATTTGATGTGCTTAACCTGTTTTTTTTCTTGTTTATTTATAAAAAACAGTAATTTGAATTTTTTTAAATAAATTTAATTATTATCATTCATGAATTTTATCATTGTATTAGCCAATCAAATTAAAGAGTTTTCACAACAATGTGCTGAGTAAGAAATATTGAATTCAAAAATTTTTTATTAATTTTATAAGTTAAAGAAAAAAATGAAATATCCCAAAATAACTTCTCTAAAGAGAAAGTGTTATTAGAATATCACTTTTTTGTTTTGAAGGAATATTTGAATATTATTTTAAAGATCAAGACATAGAATTGCCAATGATTTTATTTGAATACTACTATTAGTCTAGACCTGGACACAAGCGTGTGTAAAAAAAATATTTTATCTTATTTACTTATTTTTTCATTAGACCTCATTTATTTTAAAATTAATTTATAGTGCATTTTATTATATATCTTAAACTAGAAGGGCATTTCTGCAAAGTTCGGGTACAGGTAAACAATTTTTATTAACTATTGTGTTTTATCATAAAAAAAAAATGTTAGTGACTTATTGTTACATTGTTACGCCATTACCTCCCACAACTCCAACAAAGCTAAAACGATCGCACCCAAAATTGTTACTAGTTGTTTTGAGTCAAGATGGCGAGCTCTCTGCAAAGAGTCTGGAGCCATGGTCGCGCACTTGGCACAAAAATGGGCACATTCTCGAGACCATTTTCTGCGTCAGCGGACGCATTGGTGGAGGCAGAGGTGAAGCCCGGCGAGATCGGAATGGTCTCTGGAATCCCCGACGAGCACCTTCGCAGGAGGGTATCGCCCTTATCTCATTCTCTACATTCAGTTTGACTGACTCTTGAAGGATTATTCTTTTTTTGTTTCCTAAATTTCGCATTTTAGGGATCAGGTGGTTGGGTTCTATGTCAATTTTTAGTTTGATTTGATAGATTAGGGTTTTTGATGTTTTGCATTTTGGTCTTAATGAACTTAGCTGTATTTTTATGGGCTGCTTTTCTGGGATTTCATTTCTAGAAAAGAGCAGTATATAATTGTTAAATTGTCATATTTTCCATACACCTTGTGTCTCTTTTAGGTAATTCTTGAGATAGTATTTTATTAAGGTCTGGAAAAAGATTTCTTTGTTTATCTTTTGCAAGTGAAAGTTATTAATATGGAAAGCATGTTGCTTATTTTTATTTGGTTTGTTGTTGGGCTAGCTAGTTGTTTACTGATTTTGAGAATATGAGATTACCCGTTGAATCTTTCATGACAAAGTGCTTGTGCTGACATTTAGTTGATGAACATTGATGTTTGCTTTGGTTTTCCATTCTTGCAAGCCACCATTGCTGGATTAGCGTTGATTTTTTATCATGCTTTATGCACCCTTTGATGTGTTGGTTAGTGTTTTAGTTTCTGACTTTGATCACAGGTGGTGATTTACTCACCAGCCAGAACTGCTACTCAACAAGGATCTGGAAAAATTGGAAGGTGGAAAATCAATTTTATGTCAACACAAAAGTATGTTCAGTCTTCCAAGAATTTGCATTCATTCTTCTGTCCACATTTTTCTGCGGAAGATTAAACTTTCAGAAATGGTTATAGTGACTAGGCAAACTCTTTCTGGAATGCATTATAATGGATCAAAACATTGTTGAATAATCATCTCTTCATACTGAATCTTGGAGATGCTGAAACTTCCATATTTATCCCAAGTGAAAAAATAAATAAATGAAAAGATAACTGTCAGATTATCCAAGACTTTCTATCTGAAAAATGGAACCAAACTTTTCTTGTTATCATTCCATTATTGATTATTCTGTGTTTTGTGAATACTGATTAGTTCTTTTACTACTGGCAAACTTTATTTAACTGAAAAGTATTTGACCTTGAAAATCTATTACAGTCATCTGATTAACTGTCTTATAGGATTTGGACTATGAATACATGCTTTATGAAGTAAAGGATACATTTTCTGATTGCTCAAGTGATTTATAAATTGGGATAGCTACCCTGTGGACGTGATTGATTGTTATCTATCTCCATTTATCCAGGTGGGAAAATCCACTGATGGGTTGGACATCAACAGGAGATCCATATGCCAATGTTGGTGATTCTGCACTCAGTTTTGACAGTGAAGAAGATGCGAAGGCATTTGCTGAGCGACATGGTTGGGAATATGTGGTATGTGATTATTCTTTAATTTTCTCAAAATTTACAACTGAAGCAATTTTTTATTTTTTGAACTTCTTTTTTGGCCTCTCTGATGCTTTCCAATCTAGTCATTTCTCAGTTATTTTTTAAGTTTTGTTCGATCATGCTTTTCAACGCTTCTACTAATTTATGCTCGTGGTATATGGTTCATTTTCCATTTTTCAAAATTATAAATAATTAGGATGGAAGACTGATGAAGGACTATAGGGTGAGATTTTGCTATTGTATCTCTTTGTGAAATGTTCTGTGACAATACTTCTTTTAGGCATGGGAAGAGAATGTGCTGTTTATCATCTAAGTTCCTTAGTTGAACAAATTTATCTTATTAATTTCCTAGCTCTCTTATTTCCTCCTTGAATGTTTCAAAGTTGGCAAAGGTATTCCAAATTCTGAACGAGTTTCAGGTCTGTTTTTATGATGTATTATAATAGGCTGTAAGCATTACTATTTTCAGTCATTAACATTAGATGGCCCATCGATTATGTTCTAACTGGTTGATCTTCTTGTTGTCACTATGTATCGTACCAACTAACACAAATATGGATTTCCATGTTACCTGCTTTTGATATATTTCTTTTATGGGAAATTATTTGCAGGTTAAAAAGCGCCATACACCATTATTGAAGGTTTGAGAATCCTCTTTACTATTTTCTTCTCGACTGTGGACTAGACTAGTAGCAAAATTTCATTTCTTCCAACTTTAGTTTCATTGGTATTTTATGGATTAAGGTTAATCTAGGTTGCATGGAATTTTGATTCATTACAGTTCTAGGTTCCAATTGCTGATGAAGTCATAGACTGCACAATCTGATGGAAGGTTTTCTTGGTTCATTTCCCAATTTTTGGTGTCTTATTTTCTGGACTACGACATTTTTTCATGTCTGATGCTCATATAACTTTTGTTTATACACATGCATTGCCGTCAAATATACGATCATTAGAGCATTTGACATTAGGAGTGCAATTGCTGGTGGCTTAGATGCTGTTGTTATGAACCTAACAAATTGATTGGAGATATGGTTGCATAGTTGTTGAAGGTGATAGAATATGTGCTCCAAGTTAATGATGATGTGCTATAAATTTAAAATTCTGTCAATTTTTATTGGAGGCAATATATTGGTTTGAAAGAAGAATTGCACCATATGCTTGAAGAATTTTTTATTCTTAAGCTGGTGGTAAACTTGATGCCTCAACTGTTAGCCATAGGTTGGTTTTTACTGATATTTATTCATGCATTTCCATTTCTTGTGTAAAAAGTTGCATATATTTATAGCTCTTATCATTTGGAACCAATTTTATTTTGCTTCCAGGTGAAGTCATATGCAGATAATTTCAAGTTTAAGGGTTTTCCAAAATCTGAGGGCAATTGATTGTATTTTTCATCTACTTCGGTTCTACAAGATTGAAGTTGTGCAAAATGGTTTGTAGTTTTCTTCCCTGCAAATTTTCTGCATGCGGCAGCAGTATACTCTTGAGAAAACATTTGTGCCAAGTTAACTCTTTATTGTAATAAAGTGGACATGTACCCTTTTTGCAAATTTTCTTTGAATACTGAGCTACAATAAATTATGGGTAAATATAACTCGATTCCTAAATTATATCTAAGTAAACACTTATTAAGTTCTATGTTTGAGAAATGACTACAATGTCCATTACTTATGCTTTCTCTTATTATTAGGTCTTTTCGTATAAAAAATGCACATATTCTGTCCATAAAGTGAATATATTTATGTCTAAAAAGTGTCTTGCGCATTTTTTAGATGGAAGAGCACAATAAATAAGTTAATGACATTATAGTTATTTTTTAAAAAAGGACATTAAGTGTTAAACAAGGACATCAAGTGTTAAGTTTACCATAATTTTTATTTTACCCATAAACTAATGTTACAATTTCTTTTCTTTTAGTTTTCACGGAGGGAACAAAGATCAATATACCCTTGAAGTTAAACTTGAGGGGAAAAGTGCCAAAAATGAGCATTTGGGTCATTTACAACTGAAATACTCGATCAACACAAGAAAAATAGAACTGATCCTAGACTAGTTAAAGCACGTGGATATCACATATAACTAGAAGCAGAGTGACCTTTTCCCTCTGCTCTAATGCTACACTTCCCAGAAATTTTTGCAGGAAGCCAATAAAATTTCGCAGCAACATTCAGTTCATGTTCTGAACTAATTTGAACAAATATAGGGAAAATTGAAACTCAACTTGATATATTCTGTGATCAAGCAAAAGTGAAATTGAACTTGAGAATTTAAAATGATGATCAAGTTAAAGAAAGTAAAAGCAAAATTAAATTGGGGAAAGGTAAAGGTAAACGCAACATTATCATTCACAATCATCTAATATCTTATTAGCCAAACCTCTTGTTGTATTCTCGTGTTTTAAATTCACTAACCACAAATGAAGATAATTTCGCGATCAAAGCACTCATCTTTTGCCAGACCTTTAACAGGATCGTGAGAAAAATCATAAGTTTCCTTCTTCACGGCCTCAAATCCATCAGATTCCTTTTCAATTGAACAAACATATGGATATTAGTTCTTCATCAAACCTTGTCCCATTGTAGAAGGAACGGTGTATGATAGAGAGGAAGAAACCTCGATGCTGAAAGTGGGATCAAGACCACTATTGCAAACTATAAATAAGGAGACAGACACACTTCTCATCTTCATCTTCCCTTTTCTCTTAGGTTCTAGACGGGGCTTTGTAAAACTACCAATATTATTATAAAATTACCCAAACCATGTCTGGCTCTGATGCAGGGACGTTCTGATATCACATGACAAAGCTCAAGCTTTGAAGATTAAGCTCTTTTATATTTCATTGATATAAAACTTCCTAAAACTAATACAGCTACAATACTATTTACAATATTAAAACCCAGGGTTGGTTAATGTTACAATACAATTCCAACATGAAAACTAAAGCAAAGTTGGTGCAAACAACGTTTGAGGGCCTAGTCAGAATTGTCATGTTCTCCATTAAATGGGGGAAAGTTGACTAAAGAAGCCAAAAGTTATTTTTCTATCCTTTTAGGTACGTATTAATATATTATAATTTATAATGTTATAACTGAAATCAAGTTTCTAATCATCGCTAAACTATTCTCAAAACTACAAGAAAATTTTGAATTTGAATGGTACCTTTTATGCTGCATCAGTAAACAAACTTTACAAGATGACAAAACATTAGCTAAATGCTTTATTAACAGTTATTCCACTTGTATCAGGAAGCAACTTCTTCATATAATACTTAGATTTACGGGATAGATTGATCTTATTCCTCCTCTTCTCAGGTATCATTTCAATTGAACATTCTGAGAAGCCTCGCCTCTTGAACCTGTAAAACAAATGGATAATATTAATCCTCACAAATATTGACCCCAAATCATATTGCAGGTAGAATAAGAGTAAAATGATTTCAATGTTGGAAGTTCTAATATGCACAGTAATACGATCAGAAACCAATAATTACAATCAGCCATGAAATAGTTGACTGATTGCATTACAGATAACCACAATATTTAAAAACCAATTGTAGTTCAGAAGTGACAATCCAACAGCTACAGAGAAAATAACAGTGGTACTTAGCTTTCATAAGTTAAACAAGATCTAACTATGCATGTAAACGATTCAATCTTATAACCAAAAATCAGAATTGAACTACTATGTAAAAAAAAAAAAAAATTCCTTTACGTTAGGTCATTGTTAGTCTTAAAGACAAACCTCGTCATGTTGAAAACAATCCTATCGTTGAAGGCTAAAAGGGGAGAAAGTAAAACTAATACACAAACAAAGAAATGGTTCATAGTGACAAATTTGCCAACAGATAGACATAAGGCCTTCCCAGCTTTATGCCATTGAGTTACTGATATATCTTAGTCATGAAATTTAACAAATTATAATAATGCATATGGCATCAAAGGAAAGTGAAAATCCAGAATATAATAATCCTAAAGCAGAATAACCACTAGTCATCTCAAATATTTATTCAATATGCTTTTCTAAGATTTCAAGGGATGTAATATAGAAAACAAACCAGTCTGCAGTCCGGGTTGTAAGCAGAAAGAGCATTTCCAAGTTGAGGGAAGAGGCCTTTTTCTCGATAAAATCTAAGAATGTATCACCATAAATTCATCATTAATAATATGTTTTCAGAGTCTACATGCTAAAAATTGAATAAATATAAACAGAAAAACAATGGAATATAAAAGTGTCTGTTGTCTAATGGATATGATGGAGGTCTTCTACATATACAATTTTATACCTTGGACGAACCTAAATTCATTAAAAATATTTCTAGATCCCAATAAGCCCAGTGCCATATAGCTGTCCTATTTGTGAATCATGAGTATGTAAACCATTAACATTGCTAAAACTAAGCTGTTTGAGGTCTAGATGCCGCAAGGTACTCACTGTACTATTATGTTAATAACAAATGGGCTCAAATAGAATGGTTTGGAACTTTTACAGCATAAAACACCCATGTCAAAAAAGTTACTTGCATCTGCAAAAAACTACGAAAAGTGTCCCACATTATCATCAACCTTCTGTCCACAAAAGTGCTTTTTACTTATCTTTTGGATTATATTTAAGAACGTGTGTGCTGAATTCAGCAAGCTAAAGCTGATAAAATAACATGAGTCCAAACTATATCCCTTGCACAAGACTTTTATTAACTTTGGTATGTGAAAAAGGACATATAGTACTGCGTTCGGATTCAAATCTAAAATATTTGAAATCCTATCAGCAAAAACAATAAACATACACAAACATGACAAATCATGCCACAAAGAAACATCAGAAAACATACCAAGCAATTTGTCTCCTTGTCCTTGTCCACGGCATTCAGGAGACACTGCAATAGCAGCAACCTCTCCGCACTTCTCCTCAAAGAAAGGAAAAAGAGCAGCACAAGCAATGATTTGACCTTCTCTTTCCACAACAATGAATGCGTCCAATGTTTTAAGAAGCTATAAACACCGAAAAGAGAAAAAATTAAATCCAGTTCAAACAAAAAATAATGCCCAGCAGACCTTAGCCCTCTTTTCCTCTCTCCCATTGCACAATTGATTTTTGCAGTTGATCAAATTGAGAATTCAAACCTCTTCATCTGACCGTGGGACCAATACACCAGATTCTTCTAAAGGTTGTATGATTTGTCTTATTCCAGGAAGATCCGTCACCCTAGCCATCCGGGTACCTTCATAAACATCACTGAGCAAAAAAAAAAAAAAAAAAAAAATTCCAGGAAGACCGTGTCACCTAGCCAATTCGGGTACCTTCATAACAATCACTTGAGCAAAAAAAAAAAAAAAAAAAAAAAAGATATATATAAGTCAATGATGGAATGAACAGGATCTGAATTATTAGACAACATATTGTACCACAATATCACCGTTTGAACCAGCTATATAAAATTCAAATTATGGTTTCCTGATATCGGCAATAAGTCACTAATCTTCAAATTTATATAGTAGTTGCAAAAGATCTAATTCATGTCTAAATTCAAGATTGGACCTTAACACTAGCTAGTAGGTGACAACTGCATAAATCTAACTTCACAAGATAAACAGCTAGTACAATTTTGCAACATAATTCATCACTTCCCAGTTTTCTTATAACTTGTTTCACATGATAACCTGAAATACCAACAATCTGGTTGATCACATAATCAGACTACAGAATTATTAGATAATTGAAGATTTCATCAATACACATAGCATCTTTTGGATTAATAATAATATGTTAAAGAATAACCAAACAGTTCATGCTAATAGGTATAATGAATACAAAAATTTCAACTTCATCAATTATTCATAAATTGTCATTGGTAATAATTCAAACAATTTAGCGAAAGAGTGTCGAAATGTACATGTGAAATTATGTTTTCCTATTTTTCTCTATGCTAAAAAAAATAAAAAATAAAACTGAATTTTTTTATTTATTTTTCCATCCGAAAAAATTATAAATATTATTTTTCTGCAATGGTTGACAAATAATATTTTGTACTGCTCTTACTGCGTGGTTTTCGTGTGTACAATACTGCAGTCTCTGACTAAATTGATCATAATTGATAAGTGAGAGGATTGTACAAAATTTAAAGGCACACAAAGGTTAAGATTTTTTTTTTTTTTTTTATCAATTGCCCTACTTTAAAAGTGATTCTTTATTTGACATGTACAGAAAAGAATAAACTTCACCATTCAACTTTTGCTTCAGGAATAATATATGTGATGTCCCAGAAAAGGAGAAAGAAAAAACTTACAAAACAGAAGCAGAGGACTGGACTAAACAGGACAGGGGAAAGAAAATAAACCAATTTCTCATAATAGATTAACAAACGTTTCAAAGGAGAAATTCAATCAATCTATTATTCGCAGTATTTTAATGAAAACGCCATCTTTGCAGAATATAAGCAAACAAATTATGTGGGCTAACCCAACACTGATGACGAAAACCAAAAGGATTCAGGCCCAAATGAAGGATATGAATCTGTAAATCACTCAACTATATAGGCTACAGAATCAATTCATCTATAAAGAGGCATTACTCTTAAAGAGCTATAAAAAGTATGGTTTCAACTTTCAACATGTAGTTAGAAGATACCACATCGAAAACAGTAGATATTCAAATAAAATATCGAAAAAGGTTCCCAAAAAAGAACACAAAACATGGAAATCTAATAATTTAAACACTATGTGCATCAAAGACAGGAATATCTCAATATGGAGTAAAATGATGTTCAAATTATTGTCATCAAATAGTTAAATGAGCAATGGTCATCAAAAATCAATTGAAATGAAAATGGTCATATACCTAGCAACCATTGTCCCCATTCCATCTCTTTTAAACAGTTCCAATAATAGAACTCCACTAATTGTGCCATCTAAAAGATGTACTCTTTGTACACCTCCCTGAAAAAAAAAATATTGAAGTTAAAAGAAACCAGAATACTATCATCTAAAAAGAACTAGAGACTAGAAAATCTGAAAAAGCCATTTCTTAGAAAAAGTCAATAGTTAATACCACGCTGAGACACTCATTGCAAATTCACAATGCATGGATTGACAAAACCATAATGGCACAAAACTAAACCAAATTTCAAACCCAAAAAAAAAAAGTAATAAAAATACAGTAAGAAAAAAATATGGCACTCGCTCTACCTAAGGTGGACAATTTTTGGCAACTTGCTGAACCTTATCTAAACTATTTACAAGAACAGTCAAAATACCAAGGGAAGAAAAAGTTCACACTTCAAACAAATGTCTCTATGTAACTTATTTTCATCTCAACCCAAACTATATTTTGATATTAACCGACAACCAATAACCATAACCACATAATATGGCTAAATAAACTTTCAGATCCCCATTAAGAACAAGGACTATAGGAAGAAAAGTAAAGATTACTAAAACAGGATTTTCCAAGTTAAATGTCAAGACATCTAAAATTCTTATCACAAATTTAGATTCAAGACATAAAACACAATATCTAAGACATCAGTCTTCACTCAATACCAACCTTGGGCATTTTATAGCTAATTGAAGTTTAACAATGACATGATAAATAAAATTGAAGGCTGAACAGGATAGTTGATTTCAGGAAAGACAAAGGTATCTCACAGATTTTTGTATCAGATAATATAATTGAAACCGCTGTGCATTCCTTTCTTTCTTTCTTCTTTTTTTTTTTTTCCACCTTTTCTGTTAGCTATTCTTTCTTCATTTTTTTTAATATTCAAGTGGAATTTTTTTTATAGCAAATTAATTACAAATGTTAATTTTTGCAAAACCCAAAAAGGGACTACTCAAGACCCATTTATGCCTAATACAACAGAGTGTCCAAGTTCTTCACTTTACAAAAGTTGCATAACATACAAGAGGAAAAGGGAGCATGAAGGGGGAGAAGATTATGCTATGAGATCACATTGTAATTGCATGAATTTCATATTCTCATTAATTCAAAAATGTCTTAATATGTCAAAAAGGCAGGAACAAGAATAATTCATTAACACATTGTCATGAACTTACCTTACAAACAAAAGCGGCAGCAGCTAATTCTGACAGGTAACCATTTAGTCGACTTTGCCGTTCATGACCTCCAATAGCAAATCCTTGTTCTCCAGAAAATAACCCATTCCCATTGTCAAAACCAACACCATTTTGGAAGGCTGCACTATGCCTTCCATTAAGAGGCTTCCCATTCTGTGATGGAGTGAGTCTAACAGAATCATCGTGTTCCAAAGAAGTGAAATCTTCTTTGCCAACAGCTTTCACATAGTTAGCAGCAATCTCACTTTGTTTAGCGCGCTTACGAATCAACATGTCTGCTTCTTCAATAGCCAAGTAACGAATAAGATGCCCACTCTCGTCCAGAATTGGACCATCTATGATACATATAAGCTTATCTGCCCCAATAGCCAGGGCACATGCTGTAGCAACTTCGTATGTACTGAAAATATGAAACCATAAAACATTGTGCAAAAAGACTTCAGGCACAGACAAATTTTGTTGCCAAAAGAAAGAATAAATAGTGATTATCCACTGCAAATTTAAGTCAACTTATTGAAGAATTAGGTTCGATCAACTTTAAGATTCAAAATCACATATGAGACAGTTTGTGGGGTTCACTCAAATTACAAATCCATTAAAATGGTGATGGAGAGAGAGTACCATACTTGCAATTTAAAACTTCTCCAGAGCTGGAGTAGCCAAGGTTGCTCAATAAAACTATACAACCACCATCAAGCCTTTCACGCATGCGAGTAACATCTACTTTCTTTACTTCACCAGTTGCTCCAAAGTCAACACCTTTGACGACTCCTCTCCTCTGCAAGGGACAAACAGACCGGTAAATAAATGTTGAGTATGTGAACTATGTGAAAGACACTAAACATCTTACTGAAATACTCGCATAAAGTAAGGAAAACGAAAGCTTTCTATTAGACTCTGAATGAAAATAAACAATAATACCTTGGCTGCAAGAAAGTTACCACTGGCAACACTGACACCAACATCATGCAAACGACTATTGTCACCATGTCGACGGATATTACATATGGAAGGCCCAGGTGAGAGTTTTGCTTCTAACAACATTCGAATCTTCCCTGCTGCTTCCATTGATGCAGCTAGAGCTTCAGGGTCAGTAATTCTGTACGGACCAACATACTTAGGCTCATGTCCTGCAATAAAATAACTGCCACTCACTAGGTGCTACCTAAGCAATTCATATGCAGATAAATACATCCATCATCAACAGCCAGTTCAAAAGAAGGATCAAACCAAATAATTCAATTGAGTAAATCAATAATCACTAACCATATAGGGGGCTAAGAAAAAATTAAAAATCCAGAATTTCCAACGATAAAGCAAAAATGAAAACTTTCAGTTACCTCTCTCGGCCAAAAGGTTATCGATTTGAACATGGGTACCTGGGACGAGCACAAACCGGATTCCCAGGTGATGAAGGAATGCTATATCCTGCAGAAACAAAAAAAAATTAAAAAAATTATATGCATATCTTATTCAGTTTATATTTCAATGCCAAAATTTGACTACACCCAAGAAAATTTTTTACTACAGGTCAATTCTACCACTAGTTCAAGCACATAACAAATAAATGAATAAATACTTGCCTTCAGAATAGGATCCAAGGACGGACTATCGACAATCTCACCAGAAATAATAACTACAAAAGTGCTACCTCTATGAGCCCACAGATATGGCCAGGCCTCGCGAAACCACCGGACGAATAGCTTGTCTTCGACGGAATTATAAGTCTCTTCTTCGAATTCAGAGCCACTTTCTGCGTCATTAAACACATTGCGCTTAACTGAATTTCCCTTCCTTCCCACGTTATAAACCAAAGTTGAGGGGTTTGGAGGCGGCGATTGACGGCGGAATTGAAATTTTCCTTTACTTCCTTCGATTTTAAAGGCGTGGCAAGGTGGGAAGAGAGTAAGAGATAATTCTTGGTGGTTTTGTAGAGAAATGCAGTGACTTGAAAAAGGAACGGCCATAAAACGACCAGAAAAAGGACTCTAAACAGAGGCGAGTTTGATATCAGGATATGGAAGCAGATTCAAAGACAGAAGCAAATGACAAGAGTTTGTATATTCTATAAACTAAAGAGGCAGAAAAATACAAATGGGAAGCGGCGAGAGAGACTGATACAGAGGTGGGGCTGAAAACTAATGAGAGCCTGCCATGGCTGACGGTGAGAAGAGTGTGGGACCGCTAAGGGAAATTACAAATGGGATAATCACTCTTTAGTGCTATTGTTGTACTGTTTGACTTGAATTCATACAAAAATTTTATCATTTGAATTGATATGTAAAAACTGTTCATACCATAAACATCCAAACAATCCCATTCAAAAAAGCTGTCCTGCCTCCTTTAGCACGAAAATCTCAAACTCCGGCAAGCAACCAGAACTTAGCGGTCTATATCACAACATGAATCATAACTGTAGAAGAAGCAAATGCCTGCCATATGGCTATCATTGATGGTGAACGGCGCAGAAGAAAGGGGAAGGTGCGAGTGAAAGAGATTGGGAGTTGGTGAGGCAGTAAAATAAAAATTGAGCTAGGTCCAACTACGTCAAAAAAATAGGTCTTTTAGATATTTTTGTCTTTTTATTAATACTTAATAACTAAAATAAAATTATTTAATTTAATAAAATAATAATAAAATATTATTATCAATCAATTATAGTCTAATTAGTCTACTCAAATCCCCTTCAAAAAAAATCAAATAGTGTAAAGCAAGTGAATATCAAGAGAAACGCTTGAAAGATTTCACTACATTCAGTGCACGAGCTCACCTATGCACTAAATATAATACAAAAACGAAAGTAAATTTTAACCATAAATAAAAGTTCATAAAAAAAAAACCATACATAAAAGATTTCACCGTGTTATTCCAAAATAGAGCGTAGACTTAGCTCACTACTAATAATAAATTTGTCTAAACTAAATTCATCGACGGTTTATAGATCAAATAAATAAAATTAAGATTTTTTTTTAAAATGTTTCTATTTTCATTTTCTTAAGATTTTTTTAAAAAAATGTTTCTATTTTCATTTTTTTAATATATAATTATAAATATTATCGTTTCAATAAAAATAATAAATTTTGTTAGTTGTAATTGGAAAAAGTTAAGCAGAATTGGATGTGCAAGTGCAGTCAGAATTGAAACCTCTTCGAGGGAGGCATACCTTAAGCAAGTCTTCAAAGCAGCGGCTATCAATGAGTTCACCAGACAACACTAGAACAAATGTAGAACCTCTATACAAGAAAATATGAGGTTGAACTTCCCTCAACACCTTCAAAAATATCTTACCATCCTCTGGAATTTCATAAGAATGACAGTAATTCTTTTCACCATTAACACATGATTTGCAGCTTTTCACCACTAACAACTCTTTCTTTCCCAAATTTCTCTGCTTTCTCAGCCGGGTGTAAGCGAGGAGATTTGATTGAGGGTGAAAGGAAGAGCTGCTGTTATTTTCTAGTGGAGGAACGCATGAATATGAACTGAAGGTGGTGGCCATTGACAATATCAGAGACAGCCATGTGGAGGAGTATTATAGATGAACAAACGCCGCTCAAAGGAAGAGCTAAGAAAATCAGATGAATAAAGCTATCTGCAGAAAAAGGACAAAGTGAAAATAAGTCAGTTCGGGAATCTGAGCACACTTGTTCTTTCAATAATGCTACCTGTCCCTACTCCGAGTCAGGACTTTTCATAATTCTACAGTTTCTCATCTTTTTATTTCCTATTTTCTTATATTTTTATCCTGAGACGACAGTGTTGTCTCTTTTTTTAGATCTTCAATATATCGGGGAGTCGAGTCCCATAGACGGAAACAAGGGTGAAAATATGTCACACGAGCAAGAGCATATGCAGGCATGTTGACTTGCCTCCTAACCCAAATCAATTCACAAGATGGTATTTGAGAAAGCAGTTGTTTAATCTCTTCTAGCACTGGTGCCCAATCTGAATAAGATTCAAAACCAGCTGTTACAGCTTGAACCAGTCGCAAGCAATCGGTTTCCACTAGAACCCTACCATGAGATCTCGTGAGCAACCAAGACAATACTTCCCTAAGACCGATGGCCTCTGCGATGTGAGGTTTCAACACCCCTGCAAATGACCCGTGCAAGCTGCTACGAATTGCCTAGCTTCATTTCGGATTAGGCCAGCATACGATGAACGAATCTCAGCCGTATGGACAGCAGCATCAATATTACACTTTATGACATATCCATTCGGAACCTAAATATGAAAATTTTTAAATACGGAGAAGAAAGCACTTTGCTATATTTTAATATTATCTATTACTTCATATACATCTGTACATCAGACTAGTAGGCTTCGATATAATTCTAAAGAAAAAACTCATCTAAGTAAATTTAGAATTTTCATACAAATTTATAAAAGTGTCTAATGCAATAGCGAGCAATTTTTGTTTTTTTTTTTTTTTCCTATATTTAAAAAATTTATTGGACTCTTACAACATCGGGTTCGAATACCGTAAGATCTATACGGTACCTCATTGTCAGCGTACAAAGGATGGCGTTTCTCTCCAACCAAACACCCCCCACAAAGATGGTACAATAATAATTTGCAAGTGGAATTATGCTATACTATATATGAAAATATTCCTTAGCATATAAGTATGTGCTTCTTAATCAATTGGAATCTATACTAAATATTTCATTGGACTACATTAACTCTTCCATTGTTTTTAATGTCAAAAAAAAAAAAACTCTTCCATTGTTTTTCTCGATTGTTTGTCCTCTCCTATTTTCTTGATTCTTCCAGGAAAATATTAAGCTGTATAAATCTTTGTGTTCAATGCAATTATTTTGAATGGTATAGATTTCATCTCCAACATTGTGATGTGCTCATATTTTTTGGGTACGAGATTATTCTTGCCTCTGGATGCGGGTCTACTAAAGGTAGTTTGCTTGCAGGGCTATGAATCTATAATAAATAGACAGGGAAAAGGAAATGAAAAGTGCAAACAAACAAACTCTTTTTATTTTTTGGCAAGTTGAATAAACTCAGTGTAATGACTCGGTAGGTATTACTGAGTCTGAGCTAGCTACCGAGTCTGAGCGCATGGTTGGTTGACGCTTGGCCTCTGCCAAGAGTCATCGCATCGCTAATTATTTTACAGTAACTAAACCAACATATAATTACAAAGTTTATTCAGTAATGATGAATTTATTTTTCTTAATCAAATTTTGAGTAAGCTTAAGATTGCAGTTGGCAATCTCATAATCCTGAATGTATTTCTGATACTATCTGTAAAAAGCTTTTTCTTTTTTTCTTTTTCCTCGAAAAGAATCTGTAGAGAACTTATTAAAACATGTAAATATGCTCATGAGGCTTATACAGTTTTTTGGACTGAAGAATTGAAGTTCTGGATTACTTGGCGTCTTGGCCCATAATATAAAGACAGACTATTCTGGAGTAGAGGAAGATTAAACAACTTTTTAGGTATCGGAGATCCGAAAAGTCCAACTAGAAATCGAATAGACAAACGAGGCCCAAGAAAATGCTTTTTCTTAACCTAAATTGGGACTCATTATTCAGGGCATGATAGGATTATAGAGTAAGTTGCTCGATTTGGAAAGTTCACCAACTCAAGATGGCATCCACCACGGCAGCCTAATTGCCTGTTGTCTTGCCACTAGTCGTTTACTCCTGTTATTCATTCAATGCTTTTAGTTCTCGACAGGCGTGCGTAAATAATAAAAAAGAGGCTCCAATGTCATTTATAGAATATAAGGGCCATAGGACTTTTATGCGTAACTTCACGTAATTAATGTATTCAGCCATTAAAAACAAGTAGAGGGGAAAAAACATATACCAAAAACTGATGAGTTTTACATTAACAGGAAATTGGAAAATAATACAAATGATTTTACATTAACAGGAAATTGGAAAATAATACAATTCTTCAACAAAATAAATGGCATCCATCCAAATACATGTCATTTCTAACTGAATTACAAAGTATCAATCTCATGGCCTGATTAGAAGAAGAGAAGAATTATGAAGCCTCAGAATCAGAAGCAAGCATCCAAAAGGCAACAACAGCAGAGTGCCGCTAAGCTGCAAAAATCAACCACAACAACGAGAACAAGTTAAGCACCCAAAACTTTTCCTTCTTTTAATATATCTCAAGAGCTACTTTAAAACTTAGATCTAACTTCACACAACTTGAGATGAGAAGATGAACTCCGAATCTAATCCAGGGAAACAAACATAGCCATCCCTCTAAGGTATAAGATATCATTTACTAAATGATAATTAATTTCATATGAATTTTGATTTCTTGCCTCTAATCTAATGTATTAGAAAGAGAGAGTAGAACACATACCATCCTTCAAGAAAACCAGACTCTTGTTGTCTAGGAGGAGGCTGTGCATACCCTTGCGGAGGGTACCCCTGAGGATAACCTTGAACAGGGTAGCCAGGCGGTGGATATGCATCTTTGGTTGGATATCCTAAAAAATCAACAAATTTTCAAATTAAAAGAAAGAAAAGAAGTAAAGAACTCGTAACCAAGAAAAGATCATCATTAACATAATATACCTTGTGGCGGAGGAACACCAATCGGTGGCTGCTGCTGGTTGTAATAACTCATGTTTATCTCCTTGTGGAAACCGGAATGAAAGAAAAGAGAATTAACCAGGGTGTTTTTATAGAGGAAGAGAGAGTGAGGAGAGGAAGAGTTCTTTCCTTCGGAGAGAAGAAATGAATACCGACGTGTATAAGTAAAAACGACCAAACGCGGTGTATATAAAGCGTTTATGGAAAGAAGAGAAGATAATTAGATAAAGTCGTCATCCACTCAAGGAATGGAATTCAATACAAAAGAATATTGGGTTGGCACTGTGAATCTTAGTGGAAGTCTAGAGAAGCTTTTGGCAGCCGCAATTATTCGCTGCCCCGGTGTGCTTTTGCGTTCCGCGTTTTACTTATGTCGTTCCAACTCTAGAAGCTTACACAGGAAACAAGTCATCGAATCGGATCCATTGTTATTTATTTATTTATTCTAATTTTAGTTTAAGAGAGTGTTTGGTTTGCATAAATTACATATATAGTAATTTAGAGAGCGGAGCATTCCTGAAAATTGACCTGCATGGCAGAAAACAAAAATTAAACCAAAAGTCTTTAAAGAAATTAAGAAAATGATAGAAAAAGGGAAAAAGTGAAGATGCCATATCTTAAAGGCTCTCCAAAAAGTCAAAAGTAATCAATTTGTTTCCAACAAAATTTATGGCATTATTTGACAAAATTTTAAAACTTAGGATAAATTATTGAAATGTTGCACAACAACATGCTCACCCTTCTTTTGTCAGATTTTGTTGACAAGGTTGAACATTTTTCTAATAATGAAGTATAATGATTTTTTTTTTAAAAAGTCATATAAGATTCATGATTGACTACGTTGAAATTTTTTTAAAAAAGAAAAAAGTTCTAATTGATAAACAAGAAATTAATCCTATGATACTGTTATTTTACACTCGTTTAATATTCTTTCCTGTCCATTAAAAAAATAATTAATTTTTTTAAATTATTAAATTACATATATAGTAATTTAGAGAGCGGAGCATTCCTGAAAATTGACCTGCATGGCAGAAAACAAAAATTAAACCAAAAGTCTTTAAAGAAATTAAGAAAATGATAGAAAAAGGGAAAAAGTGAAGATGCCATATCTTAAAGGCTCTCCAAAAAGTCAAAAGTAATCAATTTGTTTCCAACAAAATTTATGGCATTATTTGACAAAATTTTAAAACTTAGGATAAATTATTGAAATGTTGCACAACAACATGCTCACCCTTCTTTTGTCAGATTTTGTTGACAAGGTTGAACATTTTTCTAATAATGAAGTATAATGATTTTTTTTTTAAAAAGTCATATAAGATTCATGATTGACTACGTTGAAATTTTTTTAAAAAAGAAAAAAGTTCTAATTGATAAACAAGAAATTAATCCTATGATACTGTTATTTTACACTCGTTTAATATTCTTTCCTGTCCATTAAAAAAATAATTAATTTTTTTAAATTATAATAAAATATTATTCATTTAAATAAATTATTTTCTCTATTTCACTTTAATAGCAACATTTGTTCTTTTTATAAAAATTAAGAAAATAATTAAAATTTATTAATTTTCTAAAAATACATAATAAAATGTCTAAATTGCTCTTCTTAAAAGTAAGTACGAAAATAAATGATATCTAATAAATAATGATAAATTAATATAATCTCAAAATTCTAAATGAGTATAATAAAATAAAATGTCTTTTTATTGTTATTAAAGTGGGATGAAGGGAACGCTGTTTATCTCACATCATTAACTATTAATATTTTAATATATATGAAAGTAAATTTTTTAAAAAATTATTAATCACTCTATAATATTTTTAAAATGATTTATATTTATAAACAATAGAAGTATTTTATAAGTCCCGTGTGTAACGGTGAAGGTAAAGGGTTGCTCAACTCATCTCAAATTATTAAGCCCAATAAAAAACCCGTACGAATGCATATAAATATAAGTATTTTATAAGTCACGTATGGAACGGTCAAAGTAAAAATTTGCTCAACTCATCTCAAATCATTAAGCCCAATAAATTACCCGTACGAATGCATTATTGTCAGTCAATTTCTTGTTGCAAAACCAAGGTCCGAGGACAGTTTAGTTTCAACAAGATTGAAAATGGGGCAGCTCGGGTATTCACATTTCTTGCCTAATGTGTAGGGAGATGCATTCAGCATGTCAAAAAAGACAAAAACCAGAAAGACAATCTTCAATTGCTTTCAATTAGAATTTGGCCTTGAAGGCTGAAACATACACCAACATTCAATGAAAAATAAGGCAACAATAGCTCACACTTGCAAAATCCACTTTAGCATGTTTCTATTTTCTTTGAAATTTCTTAAAGAAAAGCAGATGGATGTTATGATCTAAAAACATTTCCATTGCCAGATCTAACAAAACCGATGATACAAATTCAATGTATTTACTTACAATCAGCTCAGTGTTAGTAGATTTACAATATGATCTTGCACAAAAAAAAAAAAAAAATATGATCTGCACAAAAAAAAAAAAAAAAATGGCACAATTGCCAATATGTTGACCGGTTAGTAGGAAAAAAAAAAAAAAAAACCATTTTGATGACTGGAGTTAGTAAATCCTATACTACAGGTGGTTTTTGAGTTAGTAAAAACCCTTCCGTCCTCCTCCACCCACTATTAAGTACCACATTCATCCGTTCGTGACTTAGCTTGAAACTACAGGATATCCTTAGTCGATGTGCGCTGCTGCATCACTCCCTCATGCATGTGTGGCTTTCAGCATTTCGCAGGGCAAATAATCCCATAAAAAAAAAAAAAAAATGGCACAATTGCCAAATGTTGAGTTAGTAGAAAAAAAAAAAAAAAAACCATGATGACTTGGAGTTAGTAAATCCTACTCAGGTGTTTTTGAGTTAGTAAACCCTCGCGACTCCTTAGAACCAAAGGAACCACTTCCGTCGTGACTTGCTAGAACTACAAGTACTAGTCGATTTGGGTGATACAGTGATTCTTTCAGCATTTGCAGCAACCCATTTACTGAAATCAGGAGAGGAAACGAGTTCTCTAACAGCTTTTTGTGTTGTGTCTCTGGTGAACTTATCCCAGGCATCTTTTGAGAATTTTCTCCTTTCTGGGGTGGAATGGAAGCTTGAAGGGTACCTGTCTGAATCTGACAGCTGATGACTTGGAGTCCTACTACAACCTGAAGAAGTGGCCGATAGCATATTTAAAAGCTCATATCTAGTACAACAAATGCCACTCCTAATTTTTCCTACATTAAATAAGAAGGTGAGGCCATCAGACAAACCTTGTATTGGTGAAATGGTGAACCGTTTGGGCCGACGCCATTCCTGAGGAGACTTCAACGTATATTCATCATGAGAATTTCCAAATGGTGATAAATCAGGAACTTCAGATTGGATCTGGATGTTTCTGATGAATTTAAGAAACTTCCTGCAAAGTTGATTCCAGAAATGTAATGGAACTTGAAATCTAAAGGAAATGAATTCAGATTGAAAAAATTGGAAATTGAAAATAAGAGAGTTGGAGACACAAACAAAGATCCTGCAGAAAATAGGAACTTATACTGAAAAACTTCATGGGCTCAAGAACTGGAAGAACGAATGTGTTTTAGCCAGATCAAAGTTAGGTTTGTGATTGCTGGAATACACAGATAGAATCCCTTCATAATAGGGGAGGAACAGACACTAAAAATTATAAATTATTGCACAGGGTTTTTCGATTCATGTACACATACAAAGGCCATATACTAAAAAATTCGCTTGTTTGTTCTCCAATAAAATTGAAGATTTCTCTCGTTGCCAGTAAAAGATGAAGAAGCTTAGGAATGAGAAATGCAGACTTACTTATAGACTCGAAGCAAAAATCTCAATCTAAAAACTTTCTGCAATACTGATGAGAGCACTACTCCAGACATTAATGCTTCAATTGCCAGCAGGGGATCCAAAGAACTCTGGAAACATTGTATCCATCATCAAATTTGTAATACAACAGGAAACTAGATCTTAAAAAAAGTGATTATAAACAGCAGAACAATCTTTATTACACATCAAAGAATGTGAAAAGTTCTATGATTTAAGGAGAAAGTATAACTACCTGAAGAATCATAATGATAGCCAAAATCCGGATGGACCAGGCAACAAAATGAGCTGTGCTTATATCAACTGATCCATCTTCTGTCAAAACAAGTTTGCGGACAGCCCAGAAACCCATCCATGCTCCAGCCAAAACCACAAAAGCCAACATAAAAATGGCCAACTGCAGTTTACACAATGGGGACTTTGTGAGCATATTGTTGAAATTTAGAAGCAGATATTAATTGCAAATCTACAAAAGCATTATAGTAACATTTGGATGGCTATTGTAATATTAACCCCTATAGCTGAACAAATATTTTGAGAACATCAAAGGTAACAGGGATATTTGTAGTGATGATTGTTCATGAGACTTTCAATTATATAAATAAATGATATAGGCAATGCATCTGAAGCTGGCATAAGAAGCATGTTTCAGACGATTGAGCTGTCAACAGACCAAACCATCAACCAACAAGCTCACTTGTCCGTTTAATGATACGTAAAGAAAAAATGACAACCAACAAGCTCACAACTGCAGCTTTTGATGATACAAAATGCCTTACCAATTCATGGTTGATTAATTACCATAAAACTAAATAGTTTTCCATCTAGCGTGACTAGCACTCAATGAGAAAATTCTAGATTCAGAAATACAAAGCTATATTTATTTTCAGAACAGAGTCACAAGCATAAATACATAACATCAATAACTTACATACAGGATAATACATGTCTTCACTGATGCCTATCTCCATAAGTAATAAACGCAATAGTCCTGGCAAGTAGCGAAGAAGAAAGGATCCTAAGCCAACCTGAACAAAATGATGAAAAGACGAGCATAAATTATATCATGATGTCAACAAAAACCATATTATTAGAAGTGAGATGAAAAGATTGACACTCACTAGAGATGAGTATATAAAGATTGCAAGCGAGTTCTTTCGACCAGTAGGCAGAAGCTTCATACCCTGTCAATAACCCACAATCTTTTTCAATTGCATATGTCATTGATGATAAGCATAATATAAAAGAAATTATAACTCGTGCAAAATAGTCAAGAAATCCAAGCGCAGTCAAGTATCTACTGAAATTATTGAAACAAATATAACAACAATTGAATATCAGAGAAGAAAAAAAAAAGCTCATACAAAGAACCAATTATGAGCATTAAGCATTGGATGAAACGTAACTTCAACTACCAGTAGTCAATGGTGCTCAACATTCAAAAGTGAAAACAGTAAACAAATAGGATCCAAGTCATTCTGTTAGGTTTAATGAAATGTTGACACTTGACAGCAATTATTAGCAAATAATTACAAACACACTTCACGTTTCTAAAAAATAAAGGATGAGAAAACTGCACCTGAAAAAGGACCACCAATATTACAAGGAGTATTCCAATCGCCATGGAGCTACTGTAATAAAAAGCTAATGACTTGCTCAAAGAGGATGCCACACTCAACATGAAAATGCCCAAGAATAAGAAAACCACACGATATAAGAAGAATTCTGCAAAACAATGGAACGGATTGAGGGAACAAGTTGCTAATATTAAATTTAATCAAAAGAAAATTTGAGTTCATACAATATTATCACAAACAAAAGCAAAGAAAAATTACCTTCTTCAATGGACAATTCAAGGGTTTCCAAGGATGAACCAGCCATCCTTATATCTAATATCTTGTGGTCAAAAGGTGACATGGCTCGAGCCCATGAACCCTTATCAACCTTCTCCCACTTGCCTTGTGGGCACATCCCAATCCCAAGGGAAGCATTCCTGCAAAGGAAACATAACACTCTGAGTGAACAAGGAGAAGCTTTAAAACCAGAAAAAGTATCCATCAGTTGCCACCATTTGTTCAACCAATTGTTGCAGTAACAAACGATGTACTAAATTCTGAAACAGAAAGACACTCGAAATGAGCAACTACTGCGGAAACTTTGGCTGAAATAACTGCAGAAAAACCCACCTGTGGAAACAAACCTCAACATTTGGCCACCGAAAGCTTGAACTTGAATGTGAAACATTCACTTTTAATGAATGGGAAAACTTTTTCAAGTTTTTGAGCCTGGACAATCCATGGATATGAACCCTTTCACAAAGCACAGAAGTGCCAAGCTTAGTACCTGGTGACTTAACCACCTGCAAACTTGGTGATAGCTGCAATTTACTGGACTCACCAACCACTACAAAACCAAGAACATAAATCTATATCACCAATCAGTAAGCAAAACCGTTTAATGCTTCCAAAGATAAGTTATTCCACATTTAGATATAAACATATCATTACTAAGGCATTGAAAAGAAAAATCAAAGCAATATTGAAAAAATAACGATACTTAAAACAATTCGTGTTATATAATTAATACAGAACAGCTTTTTCCCTCTCTTTTTATGGGTTTTCTAGGGAACCAAACAGAAAACTCATATGCTAATTTCAACCAAAAAAAAAAGTTATAATTAGCTAAATGGTAAGGGAAAAAAAACCCTAAATGCAAGCATTCATGGCCAATTTAAAAACATGGAAAAAAAAAGTAAAGAAAAAAGAAAATAGCGAGAAAGACAGAGTACCTAACGAGCGTTCATGTGCAGAGACAACAGAGCAAAAAATTGAAAACGTGAGTAACAGAATCCGACGAATGTTGATGGATCTCCGACAAGTTTTCACAGTACCCATTGGTGTCCGGATTTGGTGATTGACAGAAAAGGCGCGAGTTTAAAACAGAGAATATTTCCGAGGCTCAATGGGCCAAACCCTTGTTTGGGCTCACCTCTGGACTTCAAGTGATACCTGTTATCATTTCTAAGCCCAAATACTCCATAAATTAGAATTAATAATTGTCCTTGCAGGGTTGGGGTTGAGCGCTAATTCTCTTTAGGTTAGTATTTTCATTTTCCTTTGATTAATTAAGCGTCATTAAACGCGGATTCCTTAAACGCAAGTATTTTCCTTAATCGCGTTAACTGTGAACTGTATATTCAAGTGGAGCAAGAAAGATATCTATTAGTTTCTAAATTCTTATCAATATATGATTCCTTTTGCGTTTGGATTAGTAGTGGCGGTAACATATAAATTGCCATCTTCAACTCAGATTACTCACTTCAAAAAGAAACGCACAGATCACCCGAGGATCCCCGCTAAGCATCCATGGCTGAGCGGGAGTAGGGGTTCACACTTTTAGTCTTTTATTTCCAAGCTAAGCCTCTGGAGTGGCATTTCCAGTTGCTTTTCTCTTTCCTGGGGAAAAAGTTACAGTTGGTGGGCTAAATTACCATCAAGCATCAACCATAATGCAACTTCGTCTCTTCAAGCTTCTCAGCAGACAAAACAGTCAATTAGCTGTTAATCATATCGCTTCATCGTCTTCAAGCAATCCCAATACTAATACGATCATTCTTGAAGTCAATCTGATATCAGCTCAGAACCTGCCTCAAACCAAATGCTCCAAGATCGAAACCTTCGTTGTTGCATATATAAACCCTAAGCAGAAGCTTATATCGAGGGTTGATACAACTGGTAACTTCAACCCAACGTGGAATGATAAATTGATGTTTAAAATTGATTCTTCTTTGATTTCGAAGAGACCAAATGCATGCATGGTTTTTGAAATCTATCGAGCAAGATCATCTTCTGGTCATCTATTATCCAAGAAAAAAGAAGAAAAGATTGGGGTTGCTAATGTGTTATTGCAAAACCTGATATGTGAGGATAAATTTACTGATTTGAAGGCCATTAATGTTCATACTGCTTCTGATCAGGCAAAGTGCTTTGCTTTTAAAGTTGATGATGATTCTGCATACAGCGATGAGCCTCAAGCAATCTTGAATATCGGAGTGGTTAGATTGGATGGTAAATTTTTGAATATTATTAGTGGTTTGGATTATAGAAAATTAATGGGTAGTAATGAAAAGTGAATTGTTTTTCTTTTTTTTTTTTTTTTTCCCATTATTGTTAATCAGAACTGTTACTTCTTCATTAATCAATTTTTTACTGCTTGATTTCTTGAATTGATATCATGTATTGACAGAATCAACAAAATACAAAGAAATGCCTTGTTAAAGTATATGTGTTTTCAGGACGAAGAATTAATTAATCAATTTCAAAACAAATTACAACATTAAACTAAGGTTATTGCTAATCTTTGATATAAGCTCTCTTAATTAATCAGTGTTGGATGATTGCTTAATTAGACCATTCTCAACCATAGTTAATTAATGAACCATATCAAATATCAATATGTCATTTCTTCCACCTGAAGACATCATAATCAAATCCTTAATGCTCTCACTGTGTATGGATGCTATTGTTTTCACTCTTAGGTTAGATGTGGTGTTTTACCAAACTATTTTCATTTTTCAGGTCAAATTAACATTATTGTTTTGTTAATAAATGGATAGGAATTTTTTTGACTATAAATTTCATACGTAAAGATTAAACTCATTTTCGAGTGATTGTAAAATTGCATTTTTCTAAATTGACCTAATTATTCGAGTGATTTCGAATTTAGATTTATTAATTGAAAGTTATTTTATGAAAAAATTGCACCAAAGTTTTTTTACGTGAACCGTACGGACGCGGCTATACACACTTGTGGATAGATAATAAAAGAAGACGAAATCTCTCTTGGGCCCACGGTCTCGCTCATAATTTGGTCAATATTACAATATCTGTGGATTATGGACCTTCAATTAAAAGTCCAGAGGCTCCATCCTAGCACTTCTGTTGTTATTTTCCTTTACTAAAGCCCATGCGTGAATTGTCATTCTGCATATAATCATTGATCAACAAGCAATGGTGGATTTATCATTTAGGGTCAGCATTCAGTTTGACCGAGCCGGTTCTGTCATTTCGATTTCCAATTAATCATTTTGGATGTAAAATGAAGCCTATTAGACACTATATAAAACCGAAACTAAATAAAAAATACGATCAATTTTCTCTATTAAAACTTGAATTGAGACCTACTCATTAAGATACTTAATTTTCTAGATTGGTTCGATCCAGCTTTTGGTTACTTAAATTAATGCCCATCTTTAATTTCATTTGAAAAATTGAGCAAGACTAAAATAATGAGAAACAGTCAATCAGGTGGTGGTCTGGTTGGTTTTCTCACTTATACGAGAAGTTCGCTTTTGGTTACTTAAATTAATGCCCATCTTTAATTTCATTTGAAAAATTGAGCAAGACTAAAATAATGAGAAACAGTCAATCAGGTGGTGGTCTGGTTGGTTTTCTCACTTATACGAGAAGTTCGCTTTTGGTTACTTAAATTAATGCCCATCTTTAATTTCATTTGAAAAATTGAGCAAGACTAAAATAATGAGAAACAGTCAATCAGGTGGTGGTCTGGTTGGTTTTCTCACTTATACGAGAAGTTCGCTTTTGGTTACTTAAATTAATGCCCATCTTTAATTTCATTTGAAAAATTGAGCAAGACTAAAATAATGAGAAACAGTCAATCAGGTGGTGGTCTGGTTGGTTTTCTCACTTATACGAGAAGTTCGCTTTTGGTTACTTAAATTAATGCCCATCTTTAATTTCATTTGAAAAATTGAGCAAGACTAAAATAATGAGAAACAGTCAATCAGGTGGTGGTCTGGTTGGTTTTCTCACTTATACGAGAAGTTCGCTTTTTTGCCCTATCATTATCCATAAAGAAAACATCCATTCACACTCTAACGCTAAGACACTGCTTTGAGTTAAGGGGACAAATATTATATGTTATACATATATTCAGTTGATGCTAAACTACTTGATCTCCTAAATCAAATATGTTTAAGGAAAATAAATAAGTTCTCACATTGATTTTATCTCAAGTACAATAATTGATCTGAACAAACTCTGATAAAAAAAAAAACCCACCTTTAACTTATGAAATCTACAACTCTTAAACTGGCCCTACACTAATTTTGGCCTTGTCCAGAGGAAACTTCATGTAATTTCAGCTAAAGCACGCAAAACAGTAACCTGATGTCAGTATCAAAAATAATAATAATATTAATATCAAAAATGCTAAAACTAAATAAATGCTGAACCTTAATGCTTTAATTTTTAGTTTCCATTAGAGATACTGTCATCTACAACATGTCTGTGTCTCCTGTTAACTTGTACTGCAATGAAGCAGTGAATGAAGTTGCTTCCTTACAAGTTGACAGTAACCAAGTTCAAACTCTTTCTTCAAATTTATCAGTTGATGACGAGAGTTACATTGATAGTATTTTTCTTTCTGAAGTTCATCAAATGCCTCAAACCCACTTAGTTACTCGATTAATTGAGCTTCCAGATATTATTTCTGCTCGTAGAGATGTAGTGAATTGGATGTTAAAGGTGAGGCTATCAGTCTTTTTTTATGTCTATCTTTGCTTGTTATTCTTTTAGTTAGTTAATAATGCTAGCATCCATTTTGCAGATACAAGCTCACTACCAGTTTAGACCTGAAACTGCAAATCTCTCTGTTAATTATTTGGATCGATTCCTCTTGTTTCACACTCTGCCGGTAATTTAATGTTTATTTTCTCTTTGTAGTCTTATTTTGTCATTTCATAGTTGCTGTCATTTGAAAGAAAATGTCAAATTCTGGTGCTGTTGTTATATACAGGAAGGGAAAGGATGGCCTCTGCAGCTATTAGCAGTAGCATGTCTATCAATAGCAGCAAAAATGGAAGAAACAAGTGTCCCTCTTCTCTTAGACTTGCAAATATTAGAACCCAGATTTTTGTTTAAGTCAAGAACAGTTCAAAGAATGGAACTTTTGGTTATGGCCAGACTCAAGTGGAGATTACACCTCATAACACCTTTCCATTTCTTGAATTATTTCATTGCAAAGCTTTCAACTTTTAGTTGTAATAATAATAATAATCTCAGCTCTGTTTTTTCGCGGTCGTCTGATATTATTATCAACTTACTTAGAGGTAATGTCATTAATTCAAATAGTGTTCCTTATTTTCTTTAATCTTTCTTTACAAAAGAAAATACTTACAGCTTTTGTTTCTTCAACAGTGGTCAATTTCTTGGATTTTAACCCATCTGCAATAGCAGCAGCTTCAGTGTTATGGGTGACAAATCAAACTATTGAGGACTCAAAATTGGAGTGCTTTCACGAAAGGTTGAACAGAGTAAGTCCAAATTATATATTTTTATTTGAAGTGAGAGACTAAGGAAAATGAAAAATGAATTCTTTTTTATATGAAGCAACCAACCTCATTACAAGAATTGGGTGCAGGATATGGTGAAAAGATGCTATGACCTTATCAAGAAGAATATATCTAAACTGTCACATAATAAAGCGCTTAATTTTAAAGGCACTATCCCTGCAAGATGCAAAGCAAAAAAGTTTTGTTATAAGGAGTTCAAGTCGAGCCATAGTTCACCTACAAATAAGTGCTAAATAAACTTTTGTAAGTTGAAAGTTTTATCATAAGGTTGAGAGTGCATTTTTTTTTTTTTTTTTTTTTTTTTTGGCGTCTTAAGTATTCTATGAGCTTACTGAATATCATTCATGACAGATCCTAGCATAGGTTAAAAAATAGAGAGTTTATTTGTTAGTGGGAGGAGTTCAAGTCCGGAGCGCATTAGTGGTGTACAAATAAGTGCTTTATAACTATTCTGCTACGTTGAACGTTTTATAATAAGGTTGAGAGTGCATTGTTTTATTTTTTTTACTCTGTTTTGCCAATTTTTCTTTGTAGTATAAGCGGCTTCTTTTTTTCTATTTTCTTTTCCTTTGTTGTGTGAGTGTGGAGTGGGTCAATGTGCTGGACCAATTATCGGCCTTTTTTTTTTTTTTTTTCCTTTGGTGTGTGGAGTGTGGAGTGTATGTGTGGCCATTATCAAGGCAATTGTGAGGATGTTTTTGTTCATGAACAAGAAATAATCCTTTTTTTTTGTTCGTATTTCAAATAATATTATATTAATTTTGATTAATATTTTTTTTTTTTTTTTTTTGGTTTTCTCCCCTTTCGCCTTGGCAAATGACCAATGAATGCCATCCATTGAACGGTCAAAGAATTGTTTTTATGTAGATGATTGCAAAAAATATTAAAGCATATATTGCAATAAAAGACAGAAATAGGAAGAAGCATAGGTGCTTGCAAGGGGGGCCATCAATCTCACTGAAATACTGAACAAAGAGACCAAAAAGGCCCTTTTAGTTGTTCTTGGTTCAACTTCTCTGGTTTAAAAATCAGTAGGACCCTGCAGGCATATATAAGATCACAAGCAATGATGTGAAAAACGAAGTTTCTCTTATTATTATTGATCGAGAAATTATTAAGAATTAATTGAGGGTTAGGTTACTCAATTATTTTAAAATATATAACGCTCAGTTAAAAATTTGCATTTATTATACATTTAAGGTCCCAGATTCTTGCTTGATATTAAGGTTCGAGATTTTCACTCGATAGTTTTTTTTTTTTTTTTTTTTTTTTTTTTTGTCTCTTGTTTAGACAAGAACAATGGTAAAGAGTAAAATCTATGAACGCTTATACCCAAAACTTATATGACACATTACAATCTCTCACATTTTCTGATTCAAGTACAATTCTTATATTCCATTTTCATTACTATGAATTATGATTATTATTATTATTATATAAAAATACTTCTTTGGCATCCTAGGTCGCTTGTGGAGAGCGTATATAAAGAATATATAGCTTAGTATATCTTGACAAAATTGAAATGACTTTATTAAGAGTTGTCAGTTGTCGCCTATGTGTATATTCTCGTGATGTTACATGCTATTTTATAAATATAACAATGCACGAAAATGATTTTATTAAGAGGTATGAATTGTCATTATATATACGTTCTCTCGTGATGGATGTATTCTATTTTATAAATGTAACGGTGGACTGTGAGAGCTTGTGGCTTTCCTATATGATATGTCTGTTACACAATTAAAATGCTCCAACCTTTTTCTTATTGTTGATCCCTTAGTAATCATCAATATTTGGCAACTAGAATGTGATGAAATGTTCATAAAACTAAAAATGTTGACTATTTGAGTTATTTTAAGTTTACAATAATAAGAAACAAACGGTATATCCATTCAAACCTTAAAAAATAATTGATAAATGATTTTTGTTTTTCTTTGTAATATTGTTTTTGTTTTTTATTCAAAATGATTTTCTAGGCAAGACAAGCACAAGGATTCTTTTTATGGTTGACACAGTGAAATTCAACTTCCAGAAAATACGTTTATCTCCAATTGGTAAACCAAGGCCTCTTTCAAATAAAAAGATTCGAAATGCTCAGATAAATCCACAGGACCAAGTCAAGACAATTTGCATATCGGAGTTTGAGATAACCATTTTGGTTTAGATGGTAAGCAACAGAGAACTAACTTTCTTTGAAGCATAACTACAAACACTTAGGTGGCGAAACCAGAGATAAGGACACTCTAACGAGCTGCAATTACAGTGTTACCAGAATATGGAAGCTCCGTTCAATTTCAATTTGAAATGGGAATTATGGACCCATACACATACCCATTGCCCTCTACCCGATTGACCAAAGTGGCAATATTAGGGTTGAATGGATCTCGGTGGCCGCAACTTTGTATCGGGGAATGGGGATTGAAGTGTCCACTTTTTGCTAATTGCTAGTTCATCATTTGGGCTTGTGATTGAATTCAAATTTTTAGCCTTATAAATGAGAAGGAATAAGGAAAACAGAATTATTTAGTATACAAATGTAAAAAATGTATTTAATTTTTACCATCAAATAAGTTTTACATTGTGATAATAATATTATTGTTTTAATTACTACATAATGATTTTTTTTTCTTATGTGAACTCAGTATAGTGAAGATGATTAATATTTGTTTCCTTTTCATACTTTTTTTTCTATTAATCAAACTGCATGCAATAGTAATTTTACCAAAATTCCTCTTTTTGGATGTTTTTATGATTATTATTATAAATAATCAATAGTAAAAATTCAAAAATTTTTACATAAAAAATTTCTAAATTTATTTTATGTTATGAAAGTTATGTATAATTTTTGTGAAATTAAATTAAAATATGATTTTTTATTGTTATCAAGTGAATCTATTTCCTATATTGTGTTTTCTAGCTTTCATTTTCTAAGACAATTGTTTTGTGTAAGTAATCGCATCCTTAGATCTTCTTCTTCTTTGTAATTTATGTCATAACTTCCTATTTAAGGGAGACACTTCTTTCCTATTAAATATGATATATCTATCACAATTCAATTTATAGTAATTTTAAAAAAATATTAAATATTTTCTTATATGTTGTTGGTGTCCAAATGTCACGACCCGTTTCCGTGGGCCGGACCGGCACTAGGACCCAGGTAAGCTTAAGGCTCCCGAGACCCGTAGTAAGCCTAAATCTCAATTAACACATAATATACATAACATTTAATTTATAGTGTAGTGCTAACAATAAGTCCAATAGTAATACACAACCCTATAACTGCGGAGTTCAATAATAATTTGATAATAGAGTAACATTTAATTTATAGTGTTGAGTGCTAACAATAAGTCCAATAGTAATACACACCATAACTGCGAGTTCAATAAGTAATTTGAAATAGAGTAACTATTTCTATACATCCAAAATTAAATAAACAGAAATATAAAGTATTACATTTATAAAACTCTACGGAGAAGATTTGATTAGGAGCTTCAGATCGAATCATGCTTGCTTCCTAGATACCTGGGAGGTTATGGAGAGAAGGGGGAGTTTTGCAACTCAGTGAATAATAATAAATAATACCACCAACATACAGTCAAGGCAATGCATTCCTAGTATCTGAATTGAACACACAACAGTTCAATCATATGAAATTAAATCAGCACCCACAAACATATCACTTTTTCCAAATAATCAACATCACGATGGAAATTAGTCAGTGGAGTCCCGAACACCCCGATGAGCCTTCCTCCCATCATGGTCATCCTCTCACGTGTTGCACCAGGGAGCCGATCCCCCCAATACTGGCGACCGGGATCTAATCCTCACATTGACCAGGCCCTCTCATTGTTTTCCATTCTCTTTATTCTTTTCCATACCAACAGGAGGCAACCGGTGGTCTCCATACCAATCTAGACATCAGGCACTCACAACAGGAGGACCCACCCTGCGGGCTGCGATCAGATCTAGACTATCAGTGTGAATCGAACGCGAGAGGCCATCCTGTGGTTACTCCAGGTAACCGGTAACGGTAGGTGCACACTGGGGCGTCGATCTCCCATTTACCCGGCTAACGGTAATCATCATAAATTTGGAGTCCATAATAACGGGGTCAACGGTTCTTCACAACCAATAGTGACCCACTTTCTCCTCAATTCCACAGAAACAAAAACATCAGCTAATAGATCCACAGCACAAATAATCAGCCATTCATTTCATCAAGATACACCCAATTTCATCCAACATGCCACCAATATATATAAGTATAATTCTCATATGATCCATAAACATAATAGAATATGTAAAAATACTTTATAATTATTATCGTTAAACTATTGTGAATAAAAAAATATAATGTTTATAAAATAAATGTTATGAAATAAATGTTATGCAAATGCAGTGTTGATATGCATTATTTATTATTACTCACAGTGATGGAGAGCGAAGTTCTAGCTTTGATTCTGTCCTGGAGGGGCACTAGATGGACCCGGGCGATCCAAGAAATTTAAGAATGACACAAAACAAAAGTAACTATATCAGATAAAGTATTTCTTTACCACTCTTAGAATTTTATTTTATACTCCTAATTTTTCTACGTAATCTAATCTCGATATTAATTTCTTTTCTATAATAAATTTTATTTCTCTACCGAACTCTCTTTTATTTATTTTCTTCCGAAATCTATTTTATTTTCTATTAGTTTCTACTCTCTATAAATAATTAAATTTCTATAATGAATTTTATTTGCTACCGAAATTCATTTTATATTTTCTACCGAATTTCAGCAACATCTCCTCTAAAAAATTGGAATTATCCACCTGTTAAATATCAATCAATTATATCTAATAACTCCAAACCACACAGCCTCATCCATGGACAATCAATCAATTTCATTTTCTCATCCTCCATTCCGATAATCAATATCAACATTACTTAATTCTCAATTCTTTCCATTTCTTTCCAATTCATAGATATTATGCATCATAAAATTCCTCAATAAATTTTTTAATCAAGGATTTAAGTGAATCAACATTTTTTATTAAATCAATACCTGGAAAATTAAATTAACTTAATTTAACTAGTCACAATAATTTAACTACTCACAATTACTAAATTAAATTAACTAAATTAATTAACTACAATAATAAAATTAATTTAAGTAACTAAAATTATTAACATTAATTTCGTTACCCCAAAATATAAATTTTGTCGAAATTGCGCTAGATCAAGGATTCTTACGCGTGTCGGATCGAAGTACGCACGCTGCGACTGTCAAGCGGTGGCCGGAGATGCGCTGGAGCAGCGGCAGAGATGCTGTGACGTGGAGTGGTGGCGATCGGCGACGGTGGCGCGCGGTGGTGGTCTGTGGAGGATCGCGCCTGCTGGTGTTGGCTGGACCCAACGCAGACGCAGTCACAGCAAGAAAGAAAGAAGAGAGGAAGAAAAGAGAGAGGAAGAAGAAAGGGAAGAAAGAAAGAAAGAAAGAAGAAAGAAGAAGAAGAAGAAGAGAGGAGGTGGCAGTGGTGGCGCGGTGGTGCCGCTGGAGGTGTTGCAGAAATGGTGAGGGAGAGGGAAGGGGATGAGCGTGGAGATAAAAAGAAAGAGGGTTTCTAGAAGGTTTGGGCTGGTTCGATTCAATTCTGGTTCGATTCAGCCCAAATCTTGGGTTTTCGTTTGATTTTTTTGATTTTTAATTGGTTTTCGACTCGGTTCATCACTGTACAAATTTTTAAATTGCATTTAAATAGTTAACTTTATTTCCAGACTGTCGGTTTATTAAATTTAATTGTTAAATCTTTGAAAATAAAAATTCGGGTTATTTGAAAATAAAAATTCGGGTTATTTCACCAAAACATTTGGATTTTTTTTTTAAATTTATTTAGATAGGATTGTTATAATATTGTTATCTTTTTCTTACTACCTTTATCCTATAATATTTGTCACATTTGAGAAAATAATTTGTTCTAATATACTTGTCATATTTGTGATTTCGAGGAGTAATAAGTATTTTTTTTATATTTACTATTTATATATGACCAATAATTATTATTGCAATTTAATAATGATTTTCTTAGAGAATTAGTATTGACTTAAGGATAAAATAGTCAATTTATTCAATAATTTATTATAACTTATACTAGTTTAATTATTTTTTTAAGAGACGTGAAATTCTAAATGTGACAAGTATTATGGAACAAAAATAGTATAATGCAAAAAATATTATTAAGTAATTGACTGTTATGACTTATTTTTATCTTTTTTTTTTATTTTTTTATTTCTTTTATTATTGTGGATATATAATTAATTTGATTATATTAATTAATTTGATTACTATAGCAAAAATATATATCTATAATAATTATATATTAATCAGTCATGGACAGAAGGAAATAGTTATTAATTGCAAAAATATTATTAAATATATAATCACGTCATGGAACAGAAATAGTATAATGCAAAAAATATTATTAAATAATTGACTGTTATGACTTATTTTTATTTTTTTTTATTTTTTTATTTCTTTTATTATTGCGGATATATAATTAATTTGATCATATATATATATATATATATAATCACATCAAAATATCCACCAAATGTTAACGTGTGGATTTTAACTTCAAAAAAATGTTAACGTGGGGCTCTATGAATTTGTAACCAATCATATTCTTTACACCCTCTTTGGCTAAACGTTACCACCGCATGTATTGGTGGACCGGGTGGCACAAATACAATAAATGAAGTGGTATTCTCCGGTCAAGACTACTAGCTTAAAGGAAGGTAAACTCGACGAGAGTAAAAAATTTCCAATTCGAATTCTTTTTTTTTTTTCCGTTAAAAAAATTATCATCAATATAATAAATATTAAGAAAAATTATTTCTACTGTACAAAACATAATTTTTTTCGATCTATGAATCTCATACATTAAAAATTATTTTAATTTGTGAGTCTCTCATATATTAAGAAAAGAAAATAAACTTGGTCAATTAAAAGTTTAAAGTCAATATATATATGGATGTCACCAAATACGTATAAATAGAATTTTTTTTACCATGCCCCTCTCCCCCATCTCATAGAATTACAGTGGAGGTGAAAAATTAATATCATATATCCAAAACTTAAAATGATGAGAAGTGAAGGAAAAGAGGAGAATCCTTTACTAGATTTTGTTTGGCTTTCAAACAAGAAGAAAAGTGGAAAAGTAAATAGAGTAAAAATTAATTAATTATTTCTTTTATTGGAAATTTAGGGTCGAAACAATATCAATAAAGATGACTTTCATATTTATTCTTCAAATTAGTGAAAATTTTTATAATTGAGAGATCTCTAACATCAAAAGGCTAATAAGATCAATATCTATTTCTTTTTTAACAATATATTTTAAAGAGAGATTTTATTGCATTCTAATTCAGTGGATAACAAATAATTTTCAATTTCTAACAAGATGTAAATTTTTCTTTTTTTTAATCTATTTATATTAGATAATTCAATACTATCATGCAGTATTAATGACACGTCGATATTATAGTTGAAATAAAAATTTAATAAAAATAAATGAATTAAAACTAAAAATATTAAAATAGAAATGGTGGATGGAGAATGAATTAGATCCGTATTTAGGTTGTCTTTATTTTACGGGAAAATAATTATTTCGTCCTTAAAGTTTGCCATAATTATTTAAGTAATCCCCGACATTTATACAAATATTTATAACATCTTTGAGGTTTACTTCCGTCTCATTAATTGGTCATTTCATCCAAAAAACACACTTTTTCTGTTAATTTAATTTGCGAGAAAAAGACAAAATTATCCTTTATAAGTTTTCATTATTTCGTCTCTAAGGTTTGCCATAATTATTTAAGTAGTTTCTGACATATATATAAATATTTATAACATCCCTGGAGTTCCATAATATAATTATTTATACATTCCCTGGATTCACTTCCGTCCAAAAATACCATTTTTCTGTTAATTTTTAATAGAATGAACCAAACTACCTAAATCCTCTAATTAACATATCTTCTTTTTCAACTCATTATGCTTTTCTTTCACTTCGCTGATCATCATAAAAGGCTGTTATACGTTACACACCTAACAACTCATCCATTGAGCTCAATAGAGTAGATATATGGTATATCAACTATTCTTACTTTGAGCAGTTCAAACCATCGTGTTCCAGTTGTAGTCCGCGTTTCAAATCTTTGTATTTTTTGCATTCAACTGTTTACTTTGCTCAAGTGAACCTGCAGCAATATAATCTCAGGAAACAGTACCTATGCAAAATTCTGCCAAAAATAAGGACCAAATATGCAAAGCAAAAATTTACACAGCACATTTAGCTTACTATTGTCTCACTTGAAATCCGACATCACCAATTAACAAAGTGGCATGTAATTATAAAATCGTTAAATATATAAACTAAATTTTAAAGTATCACTCAGTTTGATTTAACCAAAATTGAACAGCAATTAGAATTTATGAAATTTTACTTCAAAAATTCAGATTAAAAATTCTTAAATTTTAGGTAAATTTAGAGGATTTAGGGGTTGTTGAAAGGAGGATTATGTTTAATTTTAGAGGATTAGGATAAGTTGGTCAATTCTATTAAAATTTAATAGAAAACGTGTGTTTAATGAACAACATCTACTTGAGCATCAAACATGTTCATGTACTTAATCTTTGTATTTGCATCCAATGTATTACTTTGCTCAATAACCTCAGCAATTAATCTCAGAAACAGTAACCATATGCAAAATCTGCCAAAAATAAGACCAATATAGCAAAGCAAAAATTTACACAGCACATTTAGCTTACTATTGTTCACTTGAAATCCGACATCACCATTAACAAATGCCCATGTAAATTTTAAATCGTAAATTATAAACTAAATTTAAAGTAATCACTCAGTTTGATTTAAACCCAAAATTGAACAAGCAAATTAGAAATTTAGAAATTTACTCAAAATTCAGATTAAAATTTCTAAATTTTAGGTAAATTTAGAGGATTTAGGGTAGTTGAAAGGGAGGATATGTTAATTAGAGGATTTAGGATAGTTTGGTCATTCTATTAAAAATTAATAGAAAAACGTGTGTTTTTTGGACGGAAGTGAACCACATGGATGTCATAAATATTTATATTAATGTCAGGGACTACTTAAATAATTATGGCAAACTTCAAGGGACAAAATAATGAAAACTTATAAAGTATAATTTCATTTTTTCTTCTCAAAAATTAACGGAAAAAGTGTGTTTTTTTGACGGAATGACCAATTAATAAGAAGGAAATAAACCTCAGAAATATTATAAATATTTGTATAAATATCGAAAACTACTTAAATAATTATGACAAATTTCAGGAACGAAATAATTATTTTCTCTTCTTTTTATTTATGTAATTTACATTTAATAGGTACTTTCTTTTGGCCGAATTGTAAACTATATAATAATAATAATATTATTATTATTATTTTGAGTAAAGAAAAGTCATGTGTAACTCAAATAAGATAGCTTGGTGGTAAGAAGTACTTACAACGTTAATTACTATGACTTTAAGTTTCCTTCGAATCAATTCCTTCGCCTCCAAAGGTAAATAGAGATGAATCAGATTTATGGACAGTATATCTTGTGCTAGTATATATATAAAAAAAGAAATTCCGCGTGTATGATTGCTTTTGCATAATTAAAAAATAGACCACGCTCACTCACAACGTAAAATATCTCCAAACCTTTAAAAATAATTAAATATTAACATTTATAAAAGTCGTACCAAATCCGGAAAGCACTTGTCATTTAAATGCTCACCGAAGCCATCTTTGGCATCTCCGCATCTCCTTACCGGCATCAGCGTCTCTCTCTCCCTTTCTTCCATCTCTATCTGGCCTTAAAATTAGAACTCACGTCATCGCTGAGGTCTAAGTTTTCCTCGTCTGTGTAATTTTGTTGCAATCTGCAAATGCGTTTCGAATTTGTTAGCGTTTAGTGGTTATATTTTTCTTGTTCTTTGTTCCCATATTTTGGTTTTTTATCAATTTAATTCAATTTTTCCTGGTTTCGCTCGTCAATCCGTTTGTCGCGTTTGACCGCTGCTCTGTTTATATCCGCCTGGAAGTTTGTTATATATCTTTTCTATCTGAAGAATCGCCACCTGGGTTTTCTCTCTCTCATTTGGTGGTTCTTCAATTTCAGGTATTGTTCTTCTGTTTCCTCTTCTGGTTATTGCCTACGTTTTTCTTTGGTTTCTTTCAATCAATTGGATGCATGAGCAATTAACTGCTAACATTTGATTGAGGTTCCCTTAAAAAATGTAAAATAAAGAAAGATCAAAAATTCGTTTTAGAATTTTTGTTGAAAAAATTTGTGGATATATTATTTTTAAATAGAATTCAAGAATCATTGCATATTGGATTAGATGATTCTACAATTTGGGTTCTCATTTTTTTTGCCTAGTTTTAAATTCAGGGATTGGTGTTTGTGTTTTCACAGATGATGAATACTGAAAAGGAAAGCTGTGAAGGCACAAAGATTGTGTCTGAAACAACGGAGAAACATCAAGTGAGCATTTCAAAGGAGGGGAAAGGGAAGAGGTTGTGGAAGAAAGTCAAGTACCAGCTAGTGGAATATCATTCCTTGCCTGGTTATTTGAGAGACAATGAGTACATTATTGGCCATTACAGATCTGAATGGCCATTGAAGCAGGTTTTACTAAGCATCTTCAGTATCCACAACGAGACATTAAATGTTTGGACGTAAGTTTTCTTTTTCTTTTTTTAATGCAATCAATATATTTGTTTTTCATGAAGTTTTTACATCCCCTTCCATTTTTTCTGACCTTTTGTGTACATTTAAGAGATGTAGGCCATATATGGATTTATTGGTTCTGTGCTGTCTATATAATGTTGCTTGCCCCATTTCTTGGTTAACTTTTATTAGTGGTAGGTGTATGTAGCACAGCTGTAATGCTTGCTTTGCTGATTTAAAATAAAGTTAAAAAACTTAACAGTTGATATTAAAAATTTTTGTTATTTGAACGTCTGATTTCAAAATGTTTGAGTAGCATGTGAAATGTCGGTCAAGGTGCAAGCAGATTGTTCTTCAGTATATGAGCAGAGTTTTGATTTTAAGTCAAGAACTTTGATTTTATTTATTTGGAGAACTGAGCATTCTTATATCTAAAACCTGAAGGGCAGTAATGAGATTAGTTAAGGTGCAATTCGTTAAGTGGAAGTTATAGTTGAGGAGAAAGAAAATCAAATGGAATGCATGTAGAGGCAAAAACAAATGAACAGAGCTTTTAATCTGACATAAAGTTCAGACGGTAGACAAGGGCGGACCTAGAAATTTGGGTCTTGAATATAAATAATGTCATTATCTTGTATAATTCCACCATGATCATAGTCTTAATTTTCTTGATATTTATTTTTTTAATACATTGGAGGTAACAAACTATTGAAAAAATTGAAATATAAGTGCTAGCTCATAGACAGTCCTTCCTGAAAAAAAAAAAAACACTCATAGATAGTCAAATTGAAGTACTAATTTCTTTTTTTCTTTTCATAAAATTCTGAATAATGTTAAAGATGTCACTTCCAATATACATAAGTACACAATCATATTACTAATACCTAAAAATAATGAAAGATCTTTTGCTAAAAAAAGTTGTGATAGACATGTGAAAATAATAAAATAACAAAAAACAAAGTTTTATAGTCTATTTATTTTTTAACAATAGAAGTCACAAACTAAGTTAACTAGCTATAGTTGTATAATGGATAGAAAATCAATGATCTAATTAGTCTCAAGTTAAACAATTAAAGAAAACTATATATGTGAGAGCAAGTCCATCCGTGACTATAGATTTATTAGATACTAAAACATTATATATGTTATATTAACACTAAATGGAACCGAGTTGCTGTGCAGTGTCCTGTTGGATCACTTGGTCTAAGGATAATGATCCATTGGTGATGGATGGCTACTCATGTAAGAATATGTTACAAGGTGTTGCTGCTGCAAAAATTGATATTTCTTTGAAAAATTAGTCTTTTATGGGCTAGAAAAATTTCCTGGCTATGTATAAGTGGTTACATTTGGGAATACGGGTGTTCAAAATGTTCTGTCAGATTATATGTTCAAAAAGGAAAACATTCTGCTTTCATTTGGCTTGTCTTTTAACAATAATATATTGTTAATTGCAGGCATTTGATTGGATTCTTCCTTTTTCTTTCCCTCACTGTATACACTGCCATGAAAGTTCCAAAGGTCGTTGATCTTCATTCTCTACAACTTCCAGATGTGTTGAAAGCTGATTTACACAAACTGCACGAGTGCCTCCCTTCTTTACCTGCCATGCTTAGTATGCACAGACTGAGGGAGGAATTGAAAACGACATTGCCTTCAATGGATTTGCTTCCATCACTTTCAGGATGGCACATCATGGATCTTCTATATAATTGTTTGCCAGATCGATTCTCCAGTGGCAACCACACCGACGTATGTGTTTTGGTAATGCACTTCTTCTTTAATGCATTTTGAAATGTTAATTTTATAAATTCTCTTTGACATGCTGGATGATTTTACAATTAATTCATCAGCATTATTGTGTGGGCAGCCTTTCAACTTATCTATGCCTTGGTCATTTTTTGCTCCGCTTGTGAAGAGTTGCTTTTTCTGATGCTATTGTGCATTTGCTGCCCAGGTGTTTTTCATAATCTTGGTTGCTACCTATGACCTTTGACCCAATTAAATTGACATACCTCACAAAACTTGTCGGTTACCTTGATCAGATTAAAATTGATAAATCTTGCCAAATCTTCCATTTTGGCGCTCTGATATTTCCCTAGCATTGAATTGGAGAAATTGGCCAAGGAAAATTGTTTTATAATTTCATTTTTTAACCGTAACTTCCTTGAGTTCTTGGTTAAAACTAATTAGCTTTGAGAAAAAAAAAAAACAGGGCTTGTATGCATGGAACTTCTAGACTTTGCATGTTAGATGCATATGTATTGTCTGTCTGATGAGGTGTCGAAGAGAGCAATTGATAATGATAAAGAAAATGACATCTTGAAAATTCATAGACATTTAATTTAAATTTATACATTTTGAAGGGAAACGGTGGCAATCAAGTTAGAAGCACCTAACTTCATTAATGTGATGCTAAGATGCATGAGTTAATTACTTTTCAGAATGTGGGTTGTTTGGTTATATATATGATGCAATTGGGTTATGGTTGAAACTAGATGAACGATTTGACTGTTGAGAATAGCACTGAAATTGCATTTGGAGATATAGGCATTTAATATGGAATAATTTAAACTTCATATGACTCTTTTGGTATTTGTGATAGTTATATTTTCTTTTTGAATGAAGTCCAAAAGCATGGATATGGAAGGGGAATATATTTTTTGATGTTAATTTCAAGACCTCATAAAATTTCGTTAAAAAAAAATTTCTAAAAAGATATAATTTCATGTTTAGACATCGCCATCTGTATTTCTGGCTTTTTAGCATATATGAAACTAGTCAATATTGGGTATTGTACAACAATACTTAGATTAAATTAAACACTGAATAATTGTTGTGATCTTATCTCTACTTGCAAAATGCTGGGTATACCTCATATTGGGTATTGGTGCTGATATTATTTAGCCTGTCCTTGTGTAACATAGGTCCCAGTTTAATTTGAGACTTGCAGCATAAACTATTTGATAATGATGTTGACCAGCTCTTATTTAATGCAGCCACTTTGCCAATTGTTAGTTTGCCACATCATATCACTCATGATCCATGAATATGTGGTTGTGATTTGTTCCTTAAGAAAAATTTCACTTCTCAATGTCAATTTGAGAGAAAATATTTCTTTAGACACTAAAACCGCGAACATTTCCATAGCTTCTTGAGGGTGTCTTTTAAAGAGCTGATATCTGTACTTTACTGCAAGAGTGGCACACATTGGTGACATGATGGTTTATTTTCTGATTGGGAAAATTACTATCATGTACCTATGTTATGCAAAATTAATCACTATGTCATCGCTTTATGAAAAAGACACTACTTTATCCCTAATGTTTGAGAGAGGGTATTTTTGTCTTTCGCAAGACATTTAATGGCAAAGAGCTCAAAAAGTGAATGGAATGATTAAATAGTTGACGGAGCCAAATAATAGGAATAAAGTAGTGTAATTCTTAAAAGCAAGGATGGAGTGATTAATTTTGTCATAATATAGGGGCATAATAGTAATTTTCCTTCCTAGCTTTATAGTTAGCATTTTGTCTGTTTGTTTCACATTAAATTTCTGCCACTAATGCCCAGTTCTCTTACTAAATGCAGCGTAGCATGAAGGAGGATGTGGCAAACATGATAGCTCCCCTGATGGTGAGGCCTATAACCCGATGGCCATTTTTCGCTTTTCTGGGTGGTGCCATGTTTTGCTTGCTAGCCAGCAGCACATGTCATCTCCTCTCTTGCCACTCTGAGCGATTGTCATACATTATGCTTAGGCTTGACTATGCTGGAATTGCAGCCCTCATAGCTACCTCCTTTTACCCTCCTGTTTACTACTCCTTCATGTGCAACCCATTCTTCTGCAACCTCTACTTGGGATTCATAACCATCTTGGGAATTGCCACAATCTTGGTTTCTCTCTTGCCAATGTTTCAATCACCTGAGTTCCGCACCATTCGAGCAGCTCTCTTCTCTGGCATGGGCTTGTCTGGGATAGCACCAATACTGCATAAGCTTATCTTGTTCTGGCATCAGCCGGAGGCACTCCACACAACTGGCTATGAAGTTCTGATGGGAGTTTTATATGGGATTGGAGCATTGGTTTATGCTACAAGGATTCCAGAACGATGGATGCCTGGAAAATTTGATATTGCAGGGCACAGTCACCAACTTTTCCATATATTTGTAGTGGCTGGAGCTTATACTCATTATCATGCAGGTTTGGTTTATCTCAAGTGGCGAGACCTGGAAGGATGCTAGAGAAAAAGCATCCTGAAACTTAAAAATAATCAATTGGCAGATGAGATAGTATAATAAGTAGGTCTAAGTAGGACTAGATATATGAATGCAGCGAGAAAGTAGATTGCTTTGTCCTCCATTGCATGTTTTATAATTTGTGCGTAAGTATTTGAAGCAGCATATTAAAAAATTGACGAATGTTGTCCTTAATGGCACGGACAAGAGCTCTTCATTCGTTAATGGCTAGATCAAGTTCATGGGCTGGGCCTGAAGTTTTCGAAGATGTAACCCGGCACAATATGCAGTTATTTTATGCCAGTCCATAAACAGGTCTACTTGTGTAATTGGATGCTTAGGATGAGGCTAAATGCATATCAAAATAGCCCAAAGTTTAGGAGCTTCTGCAATTTCATCCTATTTTGGTCTTTTTAATTTTAACTTTTTGTAGTAATAGCACATTCAATTGCAATTAAGGATGAAATTGTAAATAAAAAATTATTTCCATAAATTTTTAGATATTATATCACATTTAAAAAAGGTTAAAAATAAAATTTTTTAAAAAAATCATTAGTCTGACAAGTTAAATTTTCAAAATAAAAAATTGCTACTTAATAATTGAATGACATAAATTTTTATAACTTACTAAAAATTATAAAACATGACATAAAAATTAAATTGATAAAATGTAATTTTCTCGATTATATATTTTATTTTCCTATTATCTATATGTTAAAAAAAAAAAATCCTAATTATTTTAATTACACGTTACAAATATTATATGTCACTTACTGTGGATGCAATTTAATATTCAAAGGATAATTAAAATTTTATTTTCATTATTAACTTTTTTATTTGTAATTTCATCCTTGATTGTAATTGAAGAAGTTACTGTGGTTGAAATTCCGGTTAAATTGACACAGATTAAAATAAAGTGAAATTGCAAAAAAGAAAAACTCATTAAAATGTTTTAATTGAGAGTCAAAGATGCTCTAACTATGAAAGCAATAGCAAAATACCTTTGAAACCTACTTCATTACCGAGATCACTTCAGTTGTTACCTTGTTAGTTCCTGCTGTACGACGGAATTGGGCCACTATATGTCAGACGATCACATGAGAAATGGACCCAAGTGTGTTGTGAGCCATAACTGTCCACGGAACAACAGGCCTTTCCAAATACTCCACCATGTGATTAAAATTGACTCTTCACTGTGACTCATATTACCACTCTGCCAGTTTGATTTCAAAAGGCCCATTTCCACTTGCCCCCTTTCTGTCTATTATTTTTAATTTCGTCCTTGTTTGCTCATTATAATCAAGTAATGTGCACCCCTAGACATTTGCCTCAAATTAAACATATAATGAATACTCTACTTCATTCATAAATATATATTTTGGCATTTTTAGTATAGATTAATTTCATTTTCGGATTTATAATCAATTTTTTCCGATTTTGCAAAGATGATCACATGAATTTTAAGCGTGCTTATCATTTTAAATAATAATAGATATAGTCTGATTGATATTTTCGGGTGCATTATATATTACCTCCGGTCATGGTTAAGTCCGTTGGGCTTTGAATGAATAAATAAAAATTATATTGTTTTGAGTTAATTTGAGTGTGACTGGCCCAAAAGCTAATAATTTTAAAATATTAGTAAAAACAAATTGAAGTTAGGAATAAGTCAGTGGAATTGGAACGAAAATCGACAAAATTAACGCAAAAAACGCAGATTATGGAGGGAAAATCTAGCGCATTGAAAAGTGTCGGTACACTTACACTCTCTCACGTGTCATAGTCAACGTGCCATCCATATATAATGACACCTCAAATATTTAGATTGGGCCCCATAATTCCGCAGTTCATGCCTTGTCTCGATTTAATAAACAAACACAAAACTACGCTCAGCTTTCATCTCTCCTCCTCCTGTCTCATTCTCCTCCTATCATTTTTCCGATTGCAAAACTTGGAAATTAATTATTATTTCTGTTTGGCATCTAGATTTAGCAAACGATGTGCGTATTACAAGCTTCAGAATTACATCGCCCCTGCTAGCCAAAAAACGACACCATAACTTCTCTTTTAACTCTATCTTCTCCTTAAAATGGTCACGCCAGACCTTTCCAAGTCCCAATACTCCCCCATGGCTAAATCTGGTTCTAGAAATAAACCTTCTTCGTGTTTTACTGATATTTTTCGCTATCTTGGTGGTGGCTTGCTTGCATTTTTACTTGTTTGGTCTCTTTGGTCTTATGCCGGTCCTGATATTAGCAGTAGCTTTGAACCTATAATCACTGATTACAGATCAAAAGTTTCCCTACAGGAAGAACCTGCCGTTAATCTCCGCTACGACCCGCCTGATAGAACCTTCTACGACGATCCAGAGCTGAGATATTCTATTGAGAGTAAGGTTAAAGACTGGGATGAGAAGAGAAAAGAGTGGCTCAAGCACCATCCTTCTTTCGCTGCCGGTGCGCGTGATAGGGTTGTGATGGTTACCGGATCGCAGTCTAGCCCGTGTAAAAACCCCATCGGAGACCATTTTCTTTTACGATTTTTTAAGAACAAAGTGGATTACTGTAGAATCCACGGTTATGACATTTTCTACAACAACTTGTTGCTCCACCCGAAAATGACAAGTTTCTGGGCGAAACTGCCTGTGGTGAGAGCCGCGATGCTGGCTCATCCGGAGGCGGAGTGGATCTGGTGGGTGGATTCCGATGCCATGTTCACCGACATGGAATTCAAACTCCCCTTGCGCCGTTACGATTACAAGAACCATAACCTGGTGGTTCACGGCTGGGCTAAGCTCATATATGGAGCCAAGAGCTGGACGGCGTTAAACGCCGGCGTTTTCTTGATCAGAAACTGTCAATGGTCGATGGATTTCATAGACACGTGGGCCAGTATGGGTCCCATGAGCCCGGACGTCGAAAAGTGGGGTCAGATTCAACGGTCATTATTCAAAGACAAGCTTTTCCCTGGTTCTGATGATCAATCGGCACTGATTTATTTACTGTACAAGGATAAAAGTTTAATGGACAAGATTTATTTAGAAGGGGAGTATTACTTCGAGGGGTATTGGTCAGAGATACTCCCGACGTACGATAACATCACCGACAAGTACACGGAAATAGAAAAAGAGGATCCGAAATTAAGGAGAAGACATGCGGAGAAAGTGAGCGAGCAATACGCAGCATTTAGGGAGCCACACTTGAGGGAAGCAGGGAACGGAAAAGGAAGTTGGAGACGGCCGTTTATCACACATTTCACGGGGTGCCAGCCGTGTAGCGGGGACCACAACAAGATGTATGAAGGGGACAGTTGTTGGAAGGGGATGGTGAAAGCCTTGAATTTCGCAGATAACCAGGTGCTCCGGAAGTATGGGTTCGTGCATCCGGATTTGCTTGATTCTAAAACGGTCGTAGAGACGCCGTTTGATTACCCGGAGGAGGGGCCGTGGTAAAAGTGATGAAAAAAAAAAAGAAAGAGTAAAAAGGTAAAAATTGTTAGAGTGGGTAAGGGAGGCCTATTATTGGTATTTCCTTTTGAATCAATTTAGTAATATTGAAATCATAATTGGAAGATTGTGAGTTTGTGATAACCCAAATCAGAGACCAATTAAGAAAAAAACGAAGGGGGTTAAGAGCATTGTGATAAAGTTTTATGAGTTGGGCAACCCAATAAATATTTACTATTTAGAACTTTTTTTTTTTTGTATATATTTTTTGGCAGAAATAGAAACAAAGGAGGATTTTATTTAATTAATATAATATGAAAATGGCAGCATAAATAAAAACTAGTATAAGATTCTCAATATAGTGGTAGAAATGAGACTATTTAATGATGGCCATATTACGAAGATAGGTTAGCTATGATTTGTTGATGAATGATAAAAGAATTGTCATTATTATAAAAACATAAAAGAGTCAATAATTTGCATGAGTGTTGTCGTGATTACCTTCCTAAAAGCTTAGCTGCTTCTTGGTTGAAGGGTTTTTTGCAGTTGCAACATGAAATTTTAGTGAATGGAAGATACGTATCTCAAGGCAAGGCGGCTTTATTCTATTAAGATGCTTTTTCTTTTTGACTGTTTCCTTTCTTTTCATATCTGCTTTTTTTTTTTTTTAACTTTTTAGTTTATGCTTATGATAATAATAATAATAATAATAATAAACAAATTCCCTAATATTTTGGGCTTATAGGGCTCCAATTACGTGCATGATTGAAGGATGATATTCCACATGTCAACAACTTTTTCATGATGGAGATATCATGTTGTTGTCTGTTTAAAAGACTATATGGAGTCGCAGTCTTTCTTTTTCTTTTTCTTTTCCTTTTTCCTTTTTTATTTTTTTTTTTTACTAAATGATGGTTTTTTTTTTTTTTTTGTTTGAACTAATGAAAAATATTATACAGATTAAAATAAGGATTTCCATATTCGTGTTTTAAATATTTTCCATATTTTTTTTATTTGTTTTATAAGATTAAATTAATGAACGGTCAAGATTTAATATAATATTAATTGATTTATGTACAATAAACCATGGGTTATTCAAATCCAGTATCACGTCGTCACCTGATACAAGAACAAGTGAGTGATTCCTCTTCGAATAATATTCTGTAAATAACTAAACAGATCATACTAGTTATTAATAAATAAAGTACCGTTTTTTTTTTTTTTGGGTATAAAAAGAGGGCAATCTGAAATACGAAATCCCATAAATGTCATGAAAGTTCTGAAAAAAAAAAAAAAAAATAGTACCCCAAGAAGGTTGATCAAGATATTGAGTGCTAATATCAATGGTTCTACCAAAATTAGCAAGAAAATCAGCAGAAGCATTCACCTCTATGCACAATCTTACAGTTTTAATCCTACCGCAGCTGATTCTATATGGATATAATAAGACTTCTAAAATCCATCAATATTGATCGTATCCACAATCGACAACTTATCCCCAAGAATAAGCCAACTCGAGATCTTCATAGACTGCCCAAAGTTCTGTACATGGGACTGATCCCGAACCTGAATGAGATTAAAAAAAAAAAAAAAAAACTTTCACCCAAATTCCACTGCTGTTCCTGATTAGGATAGCTTGTGCAATAATTGGCCACTTCAAGTGAAAAAGTATTCCTATGAAAGAAAAGAAAAAATTCTGCCATCTGCCGGTTTAAATGATTGGATATAAAATTAACGAGGCACAAGAAACCAAGAAATTGTAAAACCACATCTCTAAGCAATCCTAATTAATGTTCTGTACAACACCTTGTCATGGCCTTAAGATTTTGACGGATAGTGATATGCAATTTAAGATGAGAATCTGCTAAAGATCAATTTCTTGATTCTCTCTATAAGAGGTTTGCCATATAAAATTACCATAATCCTACCAGACATTAAAATATTATTCCTCTATAGCTTGATCTAAACACTTATCTTCTGTACATGCATAAACAATTTTTTAAGTGTCTTGTAAGATTGGCATTCTCTGTATGACAAGTTACTCAATTTATAATAATTCATCGATTTTACACCAATTTCCATCACTGTAATGCCAGTCTTTCTCTGTGATACCTGTTTCTTCTGTTTATAGTTCTTATTTAACCATTGTAATGCGCAGTGCATATCCGAACTGTGAAACAACAGGATATCATTAAAATTTATTTTCCGACATTATTTCTAGGAGGATACATTTTCTTTTTTGACAGTATGCCAGAGGAGGATCCGGGATCGGCCTGGCCAAAAACGATCCCGTTCTAGTTTCAGCACAGTTCCAACCGGTTCAACATCTCTGGAAACAGGCCGAATGTTCTGACCGGTTCAAAATCGCTGGAAGCCAGCCATTTCTGGGACCAGCCTAATGGTCATACTTATGTCTGACCATAATGTTCAGGTGAGATCAATTTTTCAAATTGCAAATTTGGAGATTCCATAATCATGATAAATACAATCTGAATTCCAAATGGAACATCAGCTTTATCATATAATCTTTAGCTTAATTAACATTTACACAGCACAAAATCCTTTCAACCGTTTGAGGCCCTGTGGAGGCACCACATATCTTGCACAGGCAAACCATCACTACTTTTTATCCCAAATGATCCGCACTGAATTGCAGAATGGACTGAAATTTCCAGTCATATCAGTAAAGAAATCAACATTTGATTTTACAAACATCAGCATTCTGTTTTAAGAAACCAAAACATACTATAATGGGCATTCTACACTGGCGCAACTGCAACTCGGTCCAACAGATACATGATGCTGCAGCAGATTAAAAAAAGATAACAAATTCATTGCTGCACGTTGAAAATCACAGAGCTAAAACCATTTAAACATATCAAAATACGGTGACATGATTAGCTCATAAGAATGCCTATCATTGATTAACTAGAGAACAAGTACGAAATATCTTCATAAAAAATGTGTACTTTCAAAGAAGCATTGCATTGGCATCTTCGTCACCATCCCCTACTGGTGCTTCATTAAACATGTACTGGTTCTGATACTCCATCAAGTATTGTGTTGATCTCTTCACATCTAAAAACAGATTGTAAACTCGAGTTATGTCTTCACTCTCAACAAGCTTTCCTTTCCGCCTCTGGCATGCCAATGCTGCAGCAGTAATAAGATGGATAGCATATCTCAAGGATGTTTCTACGCCAATATGGGTCAACAATGCCTTTGCTTCATCAGACATCTCCACCTCTTCTTCTTGGCATCTGATGTCCACAATCTTGCGAATTTCATCCTTTGTATAAGGCTGAGTTGTGATGATCAGTAGGCGATCAAGGAGATCTATGGGAATCCCATGTGGAGATTTATAATTTGTACCTCGGATTGTAGTGATCCCCCGGTTGGTTGCAACAACTAATATTGGAGCCATCTCATTCTCGAGAGCACGATTCAAGAAAGAGAAGCATTCAATGTCGAGCATGTGCACCTCATCAATAAAGAGAACACCTGGTACAATATCTGCCTTTCCTTCCTCTCTCCATTCTGCAACCTTCGTGTCAATTTGTTCTCTCACTTCTGCACGGATTTCCCCAGTATCACCAGTGAAGAGAGCCAGAAATCCTTGTGTCCTGGAGAGGACAACATAGAGTTAGTAACAATTACACAATAAAAACATATTACAGCTATAGGCTTATTGCAAGGTTAGATATATTTGCCAGATCTGCATGAGGTGTGGCACCTAATAAATGGACGGAAGTCATGAATATATCATACTAACTAGTTTTGAGCTGTGCTAAATAAATTGATTTAATGTACAAAACATATTTTGGAAGATGACACAGGGATCAGAGTTTTAACCTTAGCATCGAGGGGTGGAAGTAGACTTATATAAATCTAAATGCTAGAATGCAATGTTTATTTATGGAGAAGTTGTAAATAACAAAAATAAGAAAAATATTTCCACCACAATGTGTAGCTTTATAGAATGGGAAATAATCTAGACATGCTTGCTGATTGATTTAAGAAAGATAGGACATGTCTACTGTCCTTCACTAACCACTAGTCAATCCTAATACTGTTGATGTAATTTCCATGTAAGGGACCAATCGAGGGTTGGGCCCTGGGCAATGAAGGAAATGAATCTAAAGTAAGGCCTATCTTTGCCTTAGAGAAATGTTAGACCGTTTGTGGAAATATTCCCTCCAGTGGGATGCAAAATGAAAGTCACAGAAATAGAGATGACTTTATCAGCAGAAGAAGCAGGAAGACGCTATCCACTTCCCTCTCCATTTGGAACCTTCCTCCACTAAAATGCTTAGAAACAAAAATGTTGCTTTCCAAAAAGATGCCATACTAAAAAGTTATCTTATTTGTTAGACTCAGATCCCAGGCCCAAGTTTTCTCATTTTGGCATGGGTACTCTAGCAGAAACTGCTGAGACCAAGCAACATTGACTTAGATTGACAGGAAAAGATCTCATAAAGACCAGGCTCAAACAAATATAAGACTAAGTTCTGCAGAAACTTAGGATCAATATCTTTATTTAGAAAGGAAAAAGAAACAATGCCAGGAAGAGATCTGTAAAATGATATTTAACTTAGAAAAATGAAAGATTCCATAAGATGATGTTTAACTTAGAAAATAAAAGATTCCAAAGTAGAAAAATGATATATTAGAGTGACCAATTATCACGGAAATGCCACTCATAATTCCAGCCTATTTTAAATTTTTCCAAGTTCTTTCTACGTATCTCAAGTTGCTAATGCTGTTCTTCTATCCATTTGTCAAATTTGAAATAAAATTGCCTATATTCTCATTTTTGTCCATTCTTATTGTTTCAGCAAGAATACATTAACCTTATCCTCCCAACTACAGATATTTCATCTCTCTATCTCATAAGTTTGAGCTGAAAGTATGATAAAACATATTCACCTACAAGCATTGATACAAAGTGTACTTTTAATGTAATTGCATTCAGTACTTCTGCCAACATCTTATCAGCTCACTATCTAAAATACTCGAGTCAAAACTAATCTTATCACGTCATCAAACTAACTTATCGAGTCAGCTCACTTCTAAGAAACTCGAGTTAAAAATAATCTTATCACATCATCAAATAAATTAAATAAACCATTTGGTACTACTGCCAATAGGATTGCTATAGTGCTTCGAACTTTTTTCTAAGTCCTGCTATACAAGAATGTTAACATTCACAACCAAATTTACTTCCATGACCAGGTGATCTAAATTCTCCTGCAACTGTGGGCATTTCCACATAACCTGATTCAGCACTAAGATTTGGTTTCAGCAATAAAAGGACCTTGTAACAGGGTCACCAACTAGAAAAAGGCTGTAAAAATAAAATAGTTACCAAAGGCATTTTGGATAAGATACCATTTTGAAAATTGAACTGAAAATCAGTGTAAAGTTCTTCCGTCTAATTTGCAGGACGTTAAACTAAAAAGTGGAAAAGATAAGCCTCAAGTAATTGGTGCATAATCACAAAAAATTGCAAGTTCGAAAGCAATTTAATGGCTCAAGTAGATGAAAATTCTTCAGAAAATAACAGGGATCATAAAATGATATATTGCTTCATGAGATGTAACATAATAATATTATGATGTACCTCTGTCCTGGATTAGTAATATGTATATGTACCTTTCTTGTCTTATGGGAATTTAAGTTATTAGTTGACACTATATTTAAAGCCAAGACAAATGCTAAAGATGCAGGTTTTTCGTTCTATACAGCTTCAAACTGTTGATGCTCCAAAGTTCAGTACTTTATAGCTTAAGCAGCGGGGCAATTTCAAAATCATCAAAAAGGCACAAATAGTTTACCTGCTATTAATGACATCAATCTCGTGAAGAGTCACACAATGCACCACCTCTTTCCTTTTCTGCAGCTCACCATCAGGACACTGAACAAACTTCACCTGTGGCCCCATGGCATCGTAGTCCCTTGACCGTGAAAAGGACCTACCAAGCTTTGTAATCTTTCCAGATGCTTTATCAATAGCAATCACGTCCCCACTTTGCACCTTTTCCTTTCCTAATGCCTCTATCATCTTTGCACCTAAATCATAAACCGTCTCCATTTCCGTTGTTTTTAGTGTCAATTTACCTGTCTTTGATGCCGCACCAGCCACTGCTGGTCTATCGATTTGTACTTCAACAACTTCACCTTCGATTATTTCAGTTTCTTCTTTAATTCTTACACCGATTGCTTTTCGAAAGGCTTGCATTAAAGCTTCTGTCTTTGACATCTCTAATGAGAAGATTTCGCTGCCAGAGATCATCGCAAATGGGGTTTCGAGGCCAAGGGATTTGGCCATGCCCATTGCAATTGCTGTTTTTCCTGTGCCCGGTTGCCCAGCCAAAAGTACGGCCCGACCGGCGATTTTTCCATCCTTTATCATTTGGAGGATGACGCCGGCGGCTTTACGAGCTGCTGTTTGTCCCACCATGCCCTCAGAGACGGCGCGAGGTTCGAGGGCGGAATCGAGGCCAAGTCCACGGATGTGGGAGTGGGCTCCTATACGCTCTATTCGGGTTAGGTCTCTGCTTTCGGAGAGCTTGAGTTCCGCCATGGTGTTGGTGATGGAGATTAGTGAGGGAAAATTTGTGAGAGAGAGAGATGATTAGGGTTTAGGGTTTTTTTCAGTTTTCCTTATACGTTGCGAGTAGTGAGTGGTGCGAGCGAGCGAGCGAGCGAGCAAGCCCGGGTGAAGCCAAAGACAACTAGACAAGTCAAGGAGCAGTGTTCTGATAATTTTGGGGTTTTAGTTGGATGAAAAGGGAAATAACAATGTACTTTAGCCGACGTGTCGTTTACAAAATAAAAATAAAAAAACGACGACGACTGCACACAGGTCTAATCAAAATCCGGCGAAAAAAAAAAAGATTGGAGCTGTTCACCTGATCTAGAGCTTGTTCAAACTTGAATGTCAAAACTAACTTGATATAATAAGCTAACGACTTTACATTTTTCTGGTAACACGTAAACTACTAATTATCAATACAAGGTTGATTATCCTTTTCACATATCTCTATATTGGAGGCCTCCAAGTTTTGATTTTGAACACAATTTTCAACACCAGAAAGCTTCAAACTTTCCCTTGCCAATCTCTTTGCCATCCTCCTCTGCTTTAGCTTTCTCTGCTTGCTTGAAGAACCTTGTGTATCATAATCATTTTGTCGATCACCTGGAGTGCATTCTTCGGCTGCATCCCCACCGCCGCATACACTACCACCTTCTCCGCTTAACGGAGGCAATAAAGGTCCAATAATTTGTTTTCGGCGCGGAACATCTTCCTTAAGCTTCTTCCTTCGAAGCCTCTTCCTCTGAGCCCTAGTTAGCTTCTGTTGCCCACATTCGCTTTCACCATCATCGTCACTCGTTGAGGATTTACTTTCTTGCAACCCATAGTCATCTGCATTTACAAACCTCAAATTCTCACATCAGAATTGTTAATTTTAAGGATTAACGTCTAAATGCCAAAATCAAAAAATAAAAGACATCAAACCTGGAATCAGATTCACATCAAAATCTTTCTTCGAAGCATTTGAAAGTTTTTCCTCGTCTTTCTCTTGGGGTTGTGGCGCTGGTGGATAGAGGGTGTTAAGCAAAGCTTCATGGAACTTGCGTCGTTTTTCTTCGCGGCGCATTAGATGAATAATTTTTGGCTCTTGGCTTGATTAGTTACTTTCTAGCGATCTCAAAGATTAACGGCAACGCATCTAGCTAGCTAATAGCAAAATGATGAGACAAGTTTTTGTCCGATAGAAAAGTCAATGATCTGGGTCAAATTTTAAATCTGTCGTTTTTGTGGATAATTTTATTGGTTTTATAAAGTTTGATTGTAGTTTAAAAGGATAATGTTATATTAGGATCTATAATTATAGGGCTATGGGCTTAATATCACATTCACCAAATAGCTAGTCTCATTTTGCAAAGGAATACTACGGTAGCTGCAGGATTATCAAGGCGTTCAGAAAGAACAGATTGCTCCAGCTCGACATCGTCGAGAATTCAAACATGACAGAATATTTATATTGCTCTCTGAAAGAAAGAAAATATTAAAAGGAATTATTTTGATTCAACTATCTTTTTTATATGACAATTTTTCTATGATATTAACTATTTTTGTCAACTTGATTCGATATTCTCAAGCTCTTAATAGTATCGAAAGGATAAGAGCTCTCAAATTTGAGTTCCTCCAATTGAAATGCATTTCTAAAAGTTTCAACTTCCAAGTGCTAGGACAAATATCTGATCTCCATTTTAGTTGGCATTTCCTTCATTTTATTGAAATAAAAAGAAAAAACTAGAAATTATGTTCTCAATCTTTTAACTAGTCATCACAATCACAGAGATTCTCCAGAAATCCACCTTTTGAACGTGGCAAAGCATTCCCTGGGCCTATACTCCGGAGGTGTGTGACCTCCTCCCTGCAACATTTTATCCATGAATTGTAACATTTTTTTCTGCTCAACTAATCAAATCAAATCACTAAAACTACAAAAAGCTCTTGCCTTGACAGTCACAAACATAAACTGGTTCGAAAATTCCATCAAGTAACTGCATAAGAAAAATAATTCAATAGAATAAATATTCTCAGAATAAACATTTATGAGTAAAGCATAGCTATAAGCATACCCCGCAACTTGACCATCAACTAGCCATGGCCGCCAATGTTCAACAATGGAAAGATTCATAGACTTGATCCATGAGAGAGTTCCCAAGTAAGGAATAATCATGTCATGATCCCCACTGCACAATATATTAGATTATAAAATAATTAAATACACTTGACAGCAAACTAATTTGAATTGCCAGCTAAAATATCTGATTAAGGCGTCTTAATCTAACAGTCCAGTTGAATATCTGCCACATAATATAGTGGAGCAAATAAAATATATGCAAGTAATTATTATGGTTGCAGAACCTGTATATTAAAGCTCGATAGCCTCTGGTATTGAGATACAGATGATGGCCTATAGTACTTTGGACATCATGCATATAATACAAGCTTTGATTGCATCTCATCCATTCTCTCAATTTTCCCTGAATTTAATCACAAAAATCACATTTATGTTTAAATTTCTTTTTATACTAGCATGCAAGAAAAGGCAATACCTTCGAAGCCTGAAGTGCTATTTGAACACTGGCATCATTAGCCCATATGTTGCAGAGCAAACTATTATAGTTCTGTAATATTTGTCAATTAATCACTGTAAAATTGTTTTCTTATGTCTATATATATTGGAATACTGAAGGAACTAGAGAAAGGCACGCGACGGAGTACTGACTCTACATCCAGGATGAGGAAAACGAGGAGGTATAAGCAAGAAATCTTCATTGTTATCTATAAGGTATCTTCGGAATTTGTCAATCTGGTTTAATAGTCTGAAAGTAATATTGCACTGGGGCTCCAGTATGTGCGTTATCTCTATTCTTGAAATGCACTACAAATTTAGAAGAAAAAAAAGTTCATTCAGAAATGCGAGACTTAAAATTATACTTTCAGTTTCAGATGAAAGAAACACATACCTCTGAGATAGATTGAAGATCGTTCTTGCACTTTATATTTTTATGATCAACATCAACATACTCTCCTTTGCAGTTCCTTTTCGCTGACTAAAAGAAAATCATAACCTAATAAGTTAGAACTAATCAAAATGGTAGGTGGTGGTACTACAATGGAAGTTCTGAAAGCGAGTCAAGTAACCTCATAGAGTTCATCGGAAATAAGTGCCATCCGATGAGCAAATGGGATTCTTGCATTTTCATCGAACTTGTAATCTGTTGCTGGATTACCAAGCAAATAACCCTGAACCAGACATAAGTCAATAAACTAAGGCCTAGTTTTGTATTATCATTGTGAATAACATATTTAGTTCAGAAGATGGAAGAACTCTTTTGAACAAAAATAAATTCTTGCAGATTTTCATGGGCTTGAAATGAATATGAACTCATAAAAACCAAAATGGGGAAAGCTACATCTAATAGGTCAACACAATCCCATTTTAACTTTTGAGCCAAAAACTTCTATTAGGAATACCAACGGCAAGCAAGCTTCAAGTGGCAAACACATTAGTAATCAATGATAATAACTTACTTTGAGGTTGATCTGAGGTTGCACTCCAAGTTCAATTCCTGCAGTAGTATGTGATGGGAAATGCAATTGATTCACATCAACAGGAAGGAAATAAAGCTTAAATTCCAAGCAAAAGGAAAGTTAAAGTTATTACCAATTGATATTTGCTTAGTAATGACTGGAACAACCATGCCAGAATATGAGTCTCCAGCAATATAGAGTGGATTTTTTATGAATTCTGGGTGAGAGAGTAGCCACTGCACAATGAGCCAATTAAAATTCGCCAAGAATAGAACTTTTTAGTCCATTATTATTGAATATGAAATTAGTTAATTAATTGGATTAACACGTTTTTGAACCTTTTTAAGAAAAGTGTAAGTGTGAATCGCTTGTATTGTATCTCCAGTCTCGGAACTATGATAGCTTCTTGAATATGAGAATCCAGTGCCAACAGGTGCATCCAAAAATATAATACTGGAGACCTAAATTAAGATGATTATTTCCAGAAACGAGATTAAACAAGAATAAAAGGAGAGAATTATTAAAACTTATAATTAATTAAATGGGATTCAATACCTTTGTCCAAGAATGTGGATTCAATTTCAAAGTGGGTAAACTCCCATTATACTCAACAATGTTAAATTGCAAAGGCCCTATTCATAATCACAGACATGTAATAAGAACTATGCTTTACATGATTGATGAGAACAAAATTGACAGAGAAACGACCAGAGAAAATGCAAAAATAAGTAGATGTTCTTGCTCCAGTACTAAGTGGCTTTAGTTTAATGGTAAAGTTAAAAGTAAGTTCAGCACTTAAAACAGATTTAGATAAAAAAAAAGAAAAGAAAAAAGAAAGAAGCACCTATTTCAAAAATAAGTCCAGAAAGAGAAGAGCAACCAGGGCCTCCAGTGAGCCAAAGAAGAAGAGGATCCTCTCTTGGGTTCCTTTCAGACTCAATGAAGTAGTAGAAAAGTTGCACATCTCCCTTCTTACCCACCTCCACATATCTGCATAATAACTATTACTTTAATAAATTAACATCAATTTTTAAAAAAAACAAATTGCAAATACATATTCCAAAATACCAAACTAACCCAGTTTCAAGTTTAAAAGGAAGAGGACCAGAAAATCCAGGCAGATTCTTGATGGTAGAAAACGAAGCAACAGTACTCTTCAAGAAAACCATCACAATTACTAGTGTTATTTGCAAATATACCCATTTCAGATTAGCAGATGGTGTTGACATTATGGTGCTCGTGTTTTTTAATTTTTCTGGAACAGATTACTGTGCTACTGTTGCTAAGGTGTGTTGAGACTCTCTAAGCATTTTGAAGTAAAGGGACACATGGCATCTTATGTGTCTTACAGTGGGTGCGTGTTGGTCCATCTAGATTCTAGGGCGCCGCACGATTTGGTTCGATTCAATTTGTGAGAGAAATTGAAATTATATTGAAGTTTTTGGTTTTTCATTTTTCCTCTAAACTTGATCATATATTTTATTAAAAAAAAATTTGATCATTTATTTAAACAGCTGAAAATTTAATTTTTTTTATCAATTTTTTCCGTAATTTAGAGAGAAAAAAAAAAACTCAAACCAAGAAATAAGAATGCTAGAAAATTTGAAAGTACAAGAGAACAAAGAAAGAGCATGTTAAGGAAATTAAACTAAAACTTTCCATTATATTTTACTAATAGTCCTTTTTCTTGTTTTTCCTTTTGGTTTATAACACTCTTGTAGTACTTCTTCTAGAAACAGCATAGCTCCTGCTTCTTGGAAATGCATCAGCTTTAACCTTGAAATCTTCTTCAAACTCGCATTCCTGTTCTTCATCAATTCTTCCAATACCAACACTGAAACTCCTAGGCATACTGCTTCGAGATTTTTGTCTTTGAAGAAGAAGATCTAGTTCAACTCTTCTGCTTAAATCCCTTGTAGAAGCAACCTTTAAAAGCTCTCTATAATCATCATCACGGTTGTTCGAATTTGTTGAACTCACACTATAACTTCTAGGCAAGTTATGAACTACTTGCCCAACAGGGCAACCGATGGCCGCGCCATAGCCGAGTTGGTCAGCGTACACGTTCATGCTCCTGATGTAGAAGTCTCTTGTCTTGATCAATACTTTAATGGGTATCTTTATCAATTTGCTGAGTTTGCTTTGCTTGCTGGTAGGCTTCTTGGTGTCCATTTGCTTCTTGCAGTTCAAGAAACTCTCAAAACAAACAAGAAATCAAGAACCCAGTATATATTTCGACAGGTATTACAAAAGAATTGTTGATATAATAGAAAACTCTGCTAAAATTCTTGAACTGATGGAGATAAATTCAAGAAAAGCTATGGAGGCAGGGAGGATTTGCTTATATTGTATATTATTGTTATTGTATAAGAGTTTGGTATATGTAGTAGTTTATATAGATATATTAAAGGTATGGAGGCAGTGATGGATTTGCTTAGGCCATTTAGGGACTAAGTTATTGGATAATTGTGTTGTGGGTGACTTTTTCAGAGTAATTAAAGGCCGGATGTATATATGTTAAAATTAAGATAATAAAATTAACAAGAAGACACAAAAGAAAATCCAATAATTATTTATATTTTTTAATCAAGAAGAAGAAAATTGGATTGGAAGAGTTCGTACAAGTGACTAAAGTAGGGGTCTATGGTCGTACTTGGTCTTTTATTCCAATTTGGAACCGTCCTCTTCTTTGTATTGTTCTCCAACAATTCGTCAATTTCAGTAAGACCTGAATCACTTTTCAATTCTCCAAAGACTAAAAGTTTAATCCAAATCTGTGACAAAACAGTTATCTAATTAATTGTTATTCTTTTTTAATTACTATTTAATTTTAATGTATCTCAAACGGAATTTTGCTTCCAATGTCTCTAAATTAGAGTATCCAATAAACAATAAATTGTATTAATTTTCTATTTAAATTTAAATTTCATTGGATAAACCAATAAATTATATTATATACTATATAAGGTATATTTAAAATATGATAATACATTCGGTTTCACATTTCTTACAATTGAAATCGATGTTTTTGAAAATGATATCATATAATAGAATATTAAATAAGATAAATATAAATATTATATGGTAATATACATATTATATGGCAATATTATTATATGGTAATATAATATAAATATGGTAATAGTATTATTTGATAGATACTAAATAAGGTATATATTAAATATGATGGTATATAATATAATATGGTAATAGTAATTGATAGATATCTAAATTAAGGTATTATAATAAATATGAATGAGTATAAAATATAATATTTTAATGTTATTGGTTAAAAAATAAAGATAATTTAATTTTTTGATGTAGAAAGTATATTATATATGTATAGTGAATCAATCGTTAAAAAATAAAGATAATTTAATTTTGATTGAATATATTATATAGTATATGATACACGTTAAATATGGTAAAAATATAATATCTTTAATTATTATTTTTAATGAATCTTTAATTTGATTTGTTATAATTATTTCATATACGTAACTTATTCTACAAAAATATGTAATTTATTATTATTTATTAAGGAATATATTAGAAGACTTATTGATTGATATAATAAATTGAAAGGATTTTTTCCTAAAAAGAGCAACGATAAAATTAATTATACACTCAAAGTAAAAGAAATAAAATAAAAAATACAAAAATTCTCACGTTCGGATAGTCGGCCCGGTATCAATTCTGCGGTTCTCGAACCGGACGTAATCAGATTCCAATAGAACTTTGCTGTTTTGGGTCTGGGCTTCAGAAGCCTGAACCTTGATGCCTTCGTTGGGCTTTCACTGTATAATATTTAGCCCTTAAGCTAACTGTGGCACTGGTTTAAGAACATGACCTGTCTCTGTCTTCAATTTTAATTATTTATATTTATTTTTTTTAATTCTCCTATAAAAATTATATGTTTTATTTATATAATATATATATTGGTTATTAATAAATTGCTAATTTTATTTAAAAATAAATTGTATTTAGCCCTACTGGAAAATTAACATGGCATCATTTGATCACCAAATCCAGTAGCTCCAATTGGAAAATTTTAACCAACAATTGAATTTGGGAATTATGTTTTATTTTTAAGCATTGGTTAGTGCAGTATATTTTTTTACCATAGTCTGGAATACTACAAGATCTGTAAGTTACAACTTATAATGTAAATTTTTGTATGCTCAATTTACACACACAACTATAAGTAATCTATAGTTTATAATAAAATAATATGATTATAAAAATTAACCTAATTTTTAAGCGATTTTGTTCTCCATTTTATTAATCGATAAGTCTAATTTTTACGACTAAAAGATAAATAAAATAACAATTAATAGCTCTCGAACAACTATCATAATTTATCATTTTTCATTTTTTTTTTAAGTATTCATTTTTCATATGTTTTTATATTTAATAATAAATTTTAAAAACATGCTAAATATTGTTAATTTGTTATATTCTTATATATTAAAAACTTTAATATTTTTTGATTAATTTTTATTATTGCAAGCAAATAATAGAAATGAGTTGTATAAAAAATATTTTGCTAAAATAAATTAACTTTTTCAGAAAGAAAAATGGAGTTTTAATTAAAGCCGCGTGATTGTTTCGTATCCACGACGGAAGTTTGGAAGCTAAACATGGTTTCTCACGTGTTGCATGTTTTGCTGGTGCAGAAAAATAAAATGAATCAGAAAGCCCAAATAAGTTGACTGTTTCCGCCTTACCATTGTGATTTTGCAATCTCATGGTTGATACGAGAACTTCTAATTTGCAACTAATTAACCTTAATAACACTTCTTCTTCAACCTCTATTAGGTCATGCTGTCTTTAAACGAGCCTTTATTTAGTTTAGAACGCAGCACTACTTAGTGCAGATTTGTAAACAAATTATGCTAAATTAAATGTGTTTACCAAAATAAAACTGTTGATGTAAAATAGTAAATTCAAGTAGCAGTTAGTTGTAAAAAATTATAAAAAGGAAATTATGAGGCAAAATTGAAAATAATATATTAATTGATTTAGAAAATATGAATCAAAAGAGTAAAATCAAAATCTCATCGAGTGAGAGGAGATGATAGTATTACTTTCTCCTTCAATTAGAGGCCTTGAATTCGAGTCTGAAGTATGGACTCCTTTTAAAGCACTCGAGAAAAAGAAGCTAGTTAGCTCGACAAATCGGATAGTTTAAGTCTCACTGCAAACATATGCATGCATGGAAGCACGTGAAAAGAGTGTTCAAGTATTAAAAAAATTGTACTTTAACTGTTTTTCTTTTCTACAGTTCTTAGAACTTGATTGAAAAATCTAAATCCACACAGGCACAAACCTTCTGCGGATCAGAAATTAAGTTGCTTGACGCGAGTGCTTACCAAATCAACAAATAAATAATTATTTTTAGATTCTGTGAAGATTTTGAATGCCTGCAACTTGTATATGTAAGACCAAAACCCTACTGAAAAATCATTTTAAATAAATTTCCCTATTGGAAAATATTTCTGAACACATCATCTTTTCGTTTATGTATTTCCCAATCCTAAGGTTCTTATTTGAAAATATGAATCTCTATATATGTCGAATTACAATTATTACATATAACCTAAAAACGAATTATTGTATAATGTTATTTTAATAAAATATGATATTTGAATAAAAAAATATTATTTTGACTGATATAGTTGTACTCAAAATTCAATGGAAAGTTCAGGAGAATTATTAATTGTAACCCTTATCCAATTAAAATTTAATTAAATAAATGCTTGTATCAACACCAACAATTATTGGAGTTCTCTTGGTATGATTCCTCGTTAGCATATTCAATAACATGATTAATTTAATTTTAATTGTATGTTTATTGAGATAATATTTATTTTTAAAAGATGATTGTTTACATATTTGTTTTTTTTATTTTAATTTTTAATAAAGAATGTTGTTTTTGTATTGACTGTATTCCTTTGAGCTTTGCTCTTTTTTTTTTTTTTTTTTTTTTTTTTTTTTTTATTTTTAATAAAGAATGTTGTTTTTGTATTGGACTGTATTTCCTTTGAGCTTTGCTCTTTTTTTATTTTTTTTTTTTTTTTTTTTTTAAAAAGAAAATCATGATTTGAATAAAGAATATCTTCTAACATAATATCATATGTGGGTTCTTAAAAAAAAAAAAAAGAAATAAGAGGAAAAATTCCAATTTAATGGTTTTTGGAAGATTGACCTTGAATATGGCATTTGCTTTCCTGGCGCTTTTTTTTTTTTTTTTTTTTTTTTTTTTTTTATAAAAGAAAATCATGATTTGAATAAAGAATATCTTCTAACATAATATCATATGTGGGTTCTTAAAAAAAAAAAAAGAAAATAAGAGAAAAATCCAATTTAATGGTTTTTGGAAGATTGACCTTGAATATGGCATTTGCTTTCATGCGCAAACAGCTACTACATCACCTTCTACCAATAAGGGTATGAGAGAAGTTAGTTGAAACAAAATTAATAACGAACAGCTGAATTACAAGGTTCAATGTATTGCTGCCTTGCTATCAAAGTTTCCGACAACAAATAATTGATATCATAGACAGTGATTGAGCCTGATTAAACATTTTCATAAATCCAATATTTAATGGGTTCAAAGCCATATTTGCTGTTGTAATAATTTTTCCATTTGTATTATAAATCAGTTTTCATGCATACATCTAAATCAAAAGGAAAAAATTATAAAATATTATCAAACCTTAGATGAATAGAAATCGACATATTTTCGAGTGAAATTTATTAATTATATTAAGGATTTAAAACATAAAAATACCTGCAAAAATAGATTGCATAACGGAATGTATCTTAAGTCAGGAATTCGAAATATAAAATCCCCAGTAATGAAAGAGTTTAAACTAAATACTAAATATCATGATTGAATGTCTAGAAAGCTGTTCTAATTTTTTTTTTTAAAAAAAGGAAAAAAACTCTGATTAATAAGATAAACAAATAAACTCAATAGTCTACCAAGAAGAACCCTTCTTGGGATCTACTATCATAATCATTTGAGACATATAGAGATGGGAGTTTTGGTCAAAAATTCAAAAAGAAAATTTTGTTTTATAAAATATTATAAACCACAAGAGTCCAACATAAGAGGCGGCTGGTCCACTTTTTCAGTTGGCGCCTCTCCGGGTTTCGGTCTGTTCTTCCATGGCTGGCTATTAAAATCACTTACATGAACATCACTCTCTCTGCAAATATTATGTTTCTAAAAAATATATCAAGAACCCAACCCATAAAACTAAAATAATCCATCAAAACAAATAGTTTAATGTATTAAAATAAATGGTCAATAATTCATCACTGGGCCCATAATTAATATTTGTATGTGTAAGCTTTCACTATCTCCCCGTCGGCTGATAGCAAACATACATATAATTAAATAATGATATGGATAATATTGAATTTATGTTTTCTCCTAACAGCTTTATTGCTTGGTCGTTGCCTTCTTCTTGTCTTTATGCACACATTTCAATTCATTCCAATATATAAAATAAATTTTTGATACTTAATTTCCGTCTATATATATAGATAGAATTTCTTTTCTTAGTACCATTTCTATATTCTTCATTTTTCAAGATCAAGAAAACATTTTTTATCAAACACTTATGGAACTTTATTCTTCTAACTCTTCTTCTTCTTCTTCGTCTTCTTCTTCTGCGCCAATGAACTTATCTAAATACCAACAAGAACAAAAGGGTGTTAAAATATCTCAATCCTTCCATTCCTCACTTCGTTCTACTCGTAAACCGCCAATGAAACCATGGAAGAAACCTATAGCTCCATTGCCACCAACTCCGCCAAAAGTATACAAAGTTGATCCTATGAACTTCAGGGATCTTGTGCAGAAGCTAACTGGAGCACCTGAACAGTCTTCGCAGAGGCTACAGCGAGTGGCGCCACCTCCTCTTGAGCTTGAGAAAGAAAAACCAGCTGCTGCATTGTTTAGCAGAGAAATTGCAGCAGCGGCAGCAGTTTCTTGTTCTCCAGTTAAAACCCCATTTTCTGGTTTATATCAGGACTTGATGCGTGATACGCCGGCTTCTGCAGATTCTAAAATGGCGTTGTGTTCGATTGAATTCGACTTATTGTCTCCATCTACTCATGCTTGGTGTTCTTATCCTCTTCTGAGTCCAGGAACACTTTCCAGTTTGGAGCAAAGCACAGTTCTTTAATCATTCTATTTTTGATTAATTAGGTCCTTCATACTGGATCCGAGTTCAAAAACTCCATCAGAACTGAACCAAAGCGCAGCTGTATAATTTACTTAATGAAGCAACGTAATTTTCCTTTTGCATTTCTTTAGTTGGATTTGAAAGAATGTATAATATACACACCAGCAATGTTGATATCAAAATATATTGGTGGTGATATGAATAAATGTAGAATTTGAGTTCTGATGTTTGAATATTTCCGTTTGACAATATTTATTACTATTTTGGTCTTTCAACTATATCTTCTTATATACTCACGTGGGTATGCCTGGAATTTGTTGACAGCAGACACATACATACAAATGTCTTTGATTTTATGTGTGCATTACGAGATTCATAAATAATGACGTGCCCACAATTTGACTTAATCCCCCTTAAAGTCAAACCCCCAACATAATTGCATTTGATTTCTGCCAATGACAAAAATCACCGATCGACCAAAAGTACTGTAGTCAAAAGCTTCTAATGAGGATGAATTATTTGAAGAATTTATATTATATAATGTACACCCATTTATTGAATATAAAATTTAAACGAGTCATATATATTTATGGCTCTAAAATGTAAATATCTGAAGTTCAGTTCCAAATATGATAAAGTCTCATTTTATTATTATGTAAATTGGTATTCAATTTTTTTTTTTTTTAAAAAAAATGAAATTTAGGCACGACAGAATGCGCTCGTTCTCATTTGTTTGTCAAAGCCAGTGAATTTTCTTACGAAAATTACAATCATACATGCACATAATTTTATAGAAAAAATTTATTAATTCGAATCATACTCAGACCCATATTTAATAAATTTTAAGATTTTGAACAATATGTCCACTGCTTAAATTTACCGGAAAGGATTGAATTCGATTTCAGTTCATTTATTAGTTTCAATAACACTTCAAAACAAAATTTGGCTACACTAAGCCATCCAAGTTGCATAGCAAATTTTCAAAGATTTTGCCAAATTTATCGAGTCTGGAAATAGAGAATAACAACGAAATATAGTGCTAAGTTCAGTGACTGAAGGTGAAAATTAGCAAGGCTCTATTATACCGTGCACACATTAATGGTATAAAAGTATATTCCTACATGAAAGTCCTATTTCTCTGATATATACTCACCAAATACTCCACAATATTTGACCCTAGAACTGACATAAAATAGAAATTCATACTCAAACCAACAGTAGTTTGACAAAGAAGAAAGACTAAAATGAAGTTCAATTCATTAAGAAGCAACTCTTCAGAAAATGTTCTTGGTCAAACTTCAAGAGTATTGATGATGGAACAGCAAGTGGTACAATACAAGTAACATCTACTCCTCTAGATGTGGGAAATTATTGAGCCTGACCAAAATTCATTGAATTCAATCAAATACCTCAGTTACAACATAGCAGATGATTTGACACATGCATATTTGATTCCTCAATCTACTTAAATGAGCAACTTGGAAATATAATATAAAGTTTAAGCATGTAAACATAATAGCATTTTCCATGACGTATATATATACAAGAGTCAGTATATATACAAATGAAGAACGTTACATCTAGTACATTGCAAGTTGTAGACCCCAGTTTTATTTTAACACAAACTTTCTTTAGAAGAATTAACATGTAGAAGGAAAAAATTGCGATTGGGTTGGAAAATGTAAACATATCAGGACATCTAAATACCTGGATTCTCATATATCATCCTTATAGTTAAATAAGTAGTTTTGACTTGACACATTTTATTGATCCCAGTAGTTCCTTAGCTGTGACATATGTAGAAGAAGTTCATCCCTGCCCAAGCCAGTGACGCTACTAGTCATGATCCATGGAGGATGTTCTCGGTAGTTTTGTCTGATCAATTCCTGGAAATTCCTAATGTTCTCATCAGGTCTTGTTCCCTTCCCCCCTTTCATTTTGTCACACTTGGTGAAAACAAAAGTTAACGGTATCTGAAATGCATGAAGTAGAAAACCATGAGATAACAAGAATTTTGCCTTATGCCAGTAAACTTACGCAGATTAAATAATGGAAGTTTTATATTAGGGTGAAACCTACATTATTGCGTCCAAGCCAACTAGCACAATCTAGGTCAATCTTTTGAGGAGGGACACTTGCATCGATAAGAAGTAGGACAGCAACTAGAGTTTCTCTGTTCAAAAAATAGCCTTTGGTGAATGAGGACCAATCTGTTCGTGCAGAATCTGGGGCCTTAGCAAACCTGCAAAGGGGAGATTTATTAACCTTGAAATATACTACATATTTACTGTCATCACTCACCACATACTGATTTCAAATTTATGAAATTACAGAGAGCAAAAATACAATTATTTTATACGATCATGAAAATATTAGTCGTTATGAAAAATTAAACTGGCACTAGCAGTTCATTAACTGAAGTACAGTCACATCAATAACAATTAATTTGATCACTGTGATCCACTATGACCTTTACGCCGTGATGAGAGAGATGTCGTCATATATGTTAGAAGCAATGAACCTGGATCAGTGGGAGATACTGGATCAATGGGAGATACTCCAAGATCTCTTGCAGGTAAAGAACCATTATTGGAGTATCTTCCATTGGTCCAGATTCCTCGCTTCTAAGAACATAAAGAAGTGATGCTTAATGATCCACAGGATATCCAGAATGTAGTGTGCTTCTTCCAAAATGCAATAAAGTCAAGTAATTCAATGCATATATGGTCATCAGCTCTACACCAATAAGCTAAGAAGAAGTACAACATGCCATTAGAATTTCATAAATTCACATAAAAACAGTAAAACCACAATTTAGCTAGATAAAATAAAGCCACAAGAATAAAATTGTCGAATGTTTAACCCCAGTTTCTTTACCTATCAATACTTCAGGCAGCATAGGATTTAATGCAAAAAACCAAATACCCAATGTTCAAACAATTAATTAGTACACACTACACAGGTAAGATGGTATAAAAGAGTTGCACATCTATGTTTAGATGTTAAAAAAGAAAAAAAGAAAAAAGAGAAGTATGCAAGCACCTCTAAATGGTTTTGAAAGAAATTGTAAGAAAAAAGGCTACAGTAACATTTGCACTATCAATATCATAGTTAGGTTGGCCAACCTGACAATTTCATGACTATCCAGTTCTAAAAACCTAGTGGTGAAATTCCGATAAGCAATGGATCATTATTAATTCTACTAGAGATTCGTCAAGTTTAAACTTCAATAATAAAATTAGGGTTGCGTTATTGCCAGAGGGCAAAATTATTAATGGCAAAGCATCAGTTTTTATTTGGAAAAAGTTAACCTTCCCTCATTACCTTTTCAATTAAAACCCTCTCTCTTTTTTTTTAGTTGAGAAAACTCTCTTTCTTATAAAGAACTGACATACAAATTCAATGAGGGAAAAATTGTAATAAGCATTAAATTTTCCATAGAACTATTGCTCTTATAATTAGTTTTCCTAAAATTTTTCAAAGATGTAGAATAAAAATTGAAGGTAACTACTATGGTAAAAGATAGAAAGGTGTCCTTGTTTATATAGTTCAGACTAGAAAACAAAATTAAATGTTATTAATTGTTAAATACTTCTCAAATGTTTCATTTCAACTGTGTACTATTGATAACTTCTTGAAATATAGATCCAGGATGACAAATAAAGGCAAACATGGAGGCCTAGCCAGCTAAAATGAAGGAGGCGACCATATTGAGAGCACATTAAATGAAGCTCATTAAATCAGTGCCAAAAAAAAGTTCCAAAGGAAGCCATGAGCGAATTATTCAAGAGCTCAGTTAAACCCATCAGTTGAAAAGCAGAACAAGCAACTCGAATGTGCTGCATAATAGAATCCATAAATTAAAGCAACAAAATTGTAAAAAGAAAATAAAATATGCTGTGAAGTAAAGATTAAAGAAGTAAAGATTAAAGTAAATAACCACAATTTTTGTTATGTGAGATATTGGAACTAATAAGGGTCAAATTTATTCTCAGGCATTAACAATATTTGCTCTGGTAATAATGCCAACAAAAAATTATCAATGTCACACCATAATTCCCAAATTATTACCCAAGGACGAAAAAAACTTAAATTACAATTTTAGAGGAAAACAGAACTGATCACATTTATGGAGAGCATAAAGGCCTCTTAGAGTAGAAAAGCTTAATAAGCAGCTCTGATAAATTTCTTCACGAAAACCATTCACACGCAGAAAAAAAGAAATCAATTCTGTTTCTCAATCTAGCTGATGACCAAATTGGTTATATTAAAAGCTCTAAAATATTTGAGCACAAGGATTGAAATTTCAAGCATATTAATACTTCAAAACCATTTGTATAGCCAGCAAACATCAAGCATTAACTAAAAGTTAGTTCTATAAAAGGAAGAAGCTTGTTTTGCTTACCCATAACCAGGCAAATCAACAATGTACCAGCTTTTATTCACCAAGAAATGATTTATCAACTGAGTCTTTCCTGCATAAAATCACAACCCATGATAAATTTAAAAAAAAAAAAAAAAAATCTCATTTACGATTTTTCAATAATTTCTAAACCTGGTTTCTTAGATGTGAGAGCAACTTCCTTTTTTCTAACCAAAGCATTAATAAGAGAAGACTTGCCCACATTGGACCGACCCAGAATGGCAAACTCGGGTCGGTCATCTCTCGGGCAATCTCTAGCCCTACTACTACTCTTAACGAACTCCACTTCCTTAATCTGTGAATGACCCGCGTAGGGTCCGACAACGATGTTCGACCCAGGCAAAACCATCTCCTCTGTCACCTCATCCAGGTCGACCCCTGGTGGAACGAAGAGAACTGTCCGAGCGAAGCGGGCGGAGTCGGAGATAGACGGTTTCGTGATCTTAGAAGCAGAAATATGGAAGTTCGACTTAGGGTTCGGGTTCAGAGATTTTTGGGTAAAGTAATTGAAAGAAAGGTTATATGGCAGAGATTTTAGTGAAGGTAGATGTAGAGATGGAATCGATAAGAGAGTGAATAAGCGACCTCGTAGTAACATTCTGCTGCGTTTAGCCCGCTGTAAGGTGTCCCTGTTGCTGAGCTTAATCGGGTACCAGTCTACTGGACGCTCTGTAGTCTGTTCAGATCAAAACGATGTCGTTTGTTCCCCAAATTCGGGCGGCAATAAACAACAAAGAGCCACTTCATTCCTACACTTTGTTCATACCTTAGAATTTTATGCATAACTTATTATTCATTTGATTTTTTAGATTTTGATAATATTGTATATTTTTTTATATTAATAATTTAGGAGTATAACTTTTATAACATGAATTAACAGTCAAAAAATATAAATAAAACAAATCTTTTAGACAAAATACAACTATTGAAAGAAAAACAAAATTAAACAAATGCAGAATGAGTTATTTTTATTATACTTGAGAAGTACAAAAGGCCGAAATAACGTTGTTGACTACATAACAGAGGTAGCTCTCTTCAAAATTGGAGAAAATTAGAACTCGACCTTTCACTCCTTACATCTTTAATGTGATGTGGAAGTCCAACCAGACCATACCTGATTGACATGCAAATAGGTTATTTGAAAAAGCCAAAATACACTAATGCAACGTATTTTGTTTTTTTCTCTTATCAAATTTAATTTATGTAATTAATTTTTTACTATTATTGTTATTATTGTTTTTTACAATATTGATATATAAATTTATATAATATATTTGAAACTGATCTAACCTAATTAATTATATTTTAAAGGTGGAACTAAATCGGATTATTTGCGAGTGGAATTGTAATAGATCATGTGTAACTCTACAATAACACTCTATTCCATACAATGCCATTTTTGTTCTTTAAAAATGTAACATGAGACAAATCTTTCATGAACTATTTGAAATTTGACTCAAAAAATGTTGGTTGCTGTACAGATAAGTTTAAATTCTTTTTTTTTTTTTTTTTTTTTTCAAAGGTGGCGAACTAAATCGGCGATTATCGAGGATTGGATGTAATAGATCATCTGGTGTTAACTCTTACCAATAACACTCTATTCCTATCACCAATTTGCCAATTTTTTGTTCTTTAAAAACTGTAACATGAGACAAAATCTTTCATAGAACTATTGAAATTTGACTCAAAAAAAATGTTGGTTGCTTAGTACAGGATAAGTTTAAATTCTTTTTTTTTTTTTTTTTTTTTTTTAACTCATTGGAGTCTTTTAAGAACTGAAATAATATTATGGACTATATAATAGGAGGCAGCTCCTTAACTTACCAAATTGATGAAAACAAATATGATCGAGAGGACTTGAACTTGAAACTTCCTGCTCCTCGCATTATGAGCTGAATTTATAATTTACACAATTATGTGTTGATTTTGCTTTTTATATATGTTTCTTATATTTGTTTCTTTTCAAATCCCCCAAATTGCTTTATTGAGTTTTAGCTTCACAGGTCAGCTTTTGATATTTTTCTTATATTTGTACAATTTGTTGTGTTGAAATAATCCCAATGCTAAATTTAAAAAAAAAAAAATCATCTTTTTATTATTCAAATATACTACCATAGCAGTGCCACTGAACAGCTGAATTGGTGATGCTCAAACAATTTTATAAAATTTACTTCATACATTCTTGCAATTTTCTTTTTTAAAATTTGCCCCTTAACTTTTAAAAAATTTTCTTTGATCCCAGCTTAACCTTGGATCATGGCTCCAAAAGTACTACATATCACTCAAACCATAGTCAAGTTTGCCCAAGAAGAAAATAGAAATAATTATTTATGAAATATAAATAAATATATATATATATATATATATATATATTATATATAAATACATTTCTTTATTAATATTAAAGAGTTTAAAAATAAAATTTGAAATTCTTTATTTTTTCTCATGAAATAGTTTTAGGAATTAATTAACTTCTTTGCACGCAAAACACCTGCAAAAAATGTTGATGGACATATATAAATACATTCTTATTAATATTAAAGAGTTTAAAATAAATGAAATTCTTATTTTTCTCATGAATAGTTTTAGAATTAATTAACTTCTTGCACGCAAAACACCTGCAAAAATGTTGATGGACGGCTGTGGTTTGTTGCAACAAAAATTCATATATTATTCTAGAATTAAAAGATCAACCAAGAAAATTAAAATCCTGTGTGAAAAATTTAGCAAGATTATGGTTGCAGCTTTCCTTTTTCCTTCTTTTTGCCTCAATCTTTAACCTTTTCATTTCCTTAACCTTTCACTTTTTCTAATTAGAAAAACTATACATATGATTCCGTTCACTTAATTCTCTTCTTGTAATTGCTTTATTGACAATGTCTTCTCCTTTAATTTCCTTCATGCATTTCACAATACTTTAATTTCTAGTTTCCATTCCAACTTCAATCTTTTTTTTCTCTTTGATTTGTGATTTTCGCTCTTTTTATTCTCATTTCTTTTGTTTTTAACTGTCATTTAAGTATTGTTTGATTGATCTTCTAATTTTCTCTAAAAATTTATAAAATTTTCTAAAAAGAGTGAAAAAAGAAATTTTTTACAATACCATTTTAGAAATCCAGCATTAATTAATAAAATAAAAAATAAATTCACTTATCCACAAATCACTAGTTGTGAATTCCCATATGGGAAAAAAAAAAACCTTCTTTTGTAACAGAAAGGTAACTTAACTTGTCCGCTTACAAGTCTTAACAAACCATCATTTTCCATGTACGAAACTTACGTTTCATAGAAATATATGTGTATAGCATTCTTTCATTTGTTTCTTAAACTTCTCTCCTACATATTGATATATATCCCACTGCACAACCATCTCTTGCTATCTTTCTGCAGCTAGCTAGCAATGGGCAATTGCTTTCCATGGCCGAACTTCAATATATTTAGAAAAAGAAAAAGTTTTGAAACTGATGGCAAAATCACGGAGTACAAAAAGCCTATGCTTGTTAAAGATATACTGATAAACTTCTCTGGTTATGGTGTCAGTATCTCAAAGAAGCCATTGCAAGCTCTTCCTTACAATTATAAATTAAAGATCGGTTATGTTTATTATCTATTTCCGGCGTCCGGTGTTAGTGATGGTGGTGATTCAGTTACGGCGGCCACTGGTACTACCACTGAGAGAATTAAACTGATCATAACAAAGCAAGAGCTTCAAGAATTACTGTCAAACAAAATATCAGCGGAGGAAATGTGCCTGTTGGGTGTTAATAACGAAGATGATGATAAATGGCGTGGAACTAACTCTTCATCAAGGTGGCGGCCGGTGCTTGAAACTATTCCTGAAGGAAGTTAATAGCAATAGGGCCCGATGGGCGATGACAAAGATGAATTTATGAAGTTAATTTTTTTAATTGTATTTAATTTTTTCTTTTAGCAATGATAACCTATGTTCAAGAACTGTTTAGCAATTATAATCACAATTATAACCTGAAAGTTAATGATATTTTAAATAATTTACTCAATAAAACCAATGTCTACGTTATTGGAATTACATATTCTTATTGTGATCTAATGAGAAATAATGATCCATAGAAAAAAATATTAAGAAGGTTTCAATAATTAATTCCCTAAAAATATGTTGAAGAAAAATTGATGTCCCTAAACCAAAGTCATAATATGTTTTTTTATATTCCAATTTTTAAAAATTTGCATTTGACCCATTAAGATTTAATTAAATCACAATGTGGTAAATTTCAACATTTTTTTCTTTTGGTACACAAATCACCACCCATGAGCCCTTATTGGAAGGGGCAATATTCAAAAAGGTTAATACAAGTATTTTATATTTTCATTTATGCACTAATCACGCCCCGTGTTGTAAAAAATTTCTCCCAATCAGTCTCAAATCCAAAGTAAAAATGAAAATTTTTTGATTTAATTTGTTCAATGGTATTATTTAATTGATTTATTTTGGTCATGAAAGCTAACTGTTCAAAACCAAATTAGTTATTTTAGGTAGGTTCCATTTTGAGCTAAATTTTAACATTTTGGCAAAATTAAACTCTATCTCTATGGTTCGGTAACATAACTTTTGTAAGACTAAACTTATAAAAATACCATCAACTTTATTATTAAAATAATTAATATTGTTAAATATATCCTTAGTACTTGCTACCCCTTAGTATTATCTATTTAATTAGTGTTTCATCAAAAATTAAAGGATTAAGGTTTCGAATATCAAGAGATAGTCCAGTGATAAGTGCATGTACGACTTTGCAATAGATCCAGATTCAAATCTTCTTCCCAATACTAAAAAAAAAAGAGTTTCATAAACTCTAAACATTCTATAAAAATGAACAATATAAATAATAAAGATATTGTTGTATTTTAACCTTAATTAAAAGGTTTAAGGATAAACACCACCTCAAAAGATAATATAAATAATCTATACACCACTCTAAACATGCAAATTTAGTTTTAGATAATTTTTTTCATTCCTTAAGAAAAATTGGGTAAGAACTTCTTTTTTTTTTTGACGGAATTTACAAATAATACTTAATGAATATGGTGGGGTGGCTGCCCAGTGAGCTAATGCGGAAATGCTAAGCATGGTGGCCTGGCCACCGGCCCTTGCCAAAATTTCAGTGTTTCAGTCTCCCATTAGCCCTTGTTTCTTTTATGGGAATTTCATTTTTTTCTTTTGTGCACATACTATTTATTAACTGAAAATCCACTAAAGCCAAATAGAAAAAGATAATTAATACAACACTTGTTATAAGGACAATCACTTTGATGGGCAGGTAATTGCAGCAGATCTGCTTAAATTGATTTAAAGTTTTTTGCCTTTGTCTTTTTCCCAAAAAAAAAAAAAAAAAAAGGAAAAAGAAAAAAAAAAGGCAAATAAGAATTGAAGAGAGCACCCTCAATAAGCTCATCTTCTTCATATAATCAACCCACTTATTTTGGAAAAATTAAACATTATAGACAAGAAAAAAAAAAAAAAAAAAAAAAGGCAAATAAAACTTTGAAGAAGCCCCTCATAATCTCATCTTTCTCATATAATCAACCACTTATTTTGAAAATAAACATAGAAAAGAAAAAATCAAGTATCCCTTTTGAAGCTTGATCCAGGATTTAAATCTAATCAGTAGTAAGTAGCCAAAGTTCTAACCTAACTGACGAGCCTCCAAGATTTTTTGATTTCAGGATCGACTGGCATCATGTTCTTCAAAATTTCTCTCGCTAATATTTACAAAATACAAATAAAATTCTAATATATAACACCTTTGCAAACGAGGGAAATATGAACTTAAATTCTAATCCAACTCTTTTACTTTGGTGAGAAAATATATAGTAGGGCAGTGTTATAAAGGAAAAGTAGAAAAAAAGAGTTCATATAGTTGCCTTTCTTTTTCGTCCATTGACCATGGATTTAGAATTGCATGTCTGGGAATTGAAGTCATTAACAACCGTATAATTCTTTAACAAAAACCTCCTCATTCGCCGGCTAAACGGCCCCACTCTTTAAACATAACAAAGAAAGTGGTATTGTCACTATAGTGACAAAAACACGGTCCACACAATAATATATACATAAACATTTCTTTCCGTGTATGAACAGTTTGAACTATCTATATATGCATAGGGCATCCACACCTACCAATAAAGATATGGCACCGCTTTTCTGTTTTATTTGTAAAATACAACTCCACCGATGATTCTTTTCCCTCCAGAACTTTCCCTTTCTCTTATTGTAAGTTCCTGATTATCAAAATAACTCTCCAGCATATGCAGAGAACACCCTCTATTCATTATTCAGTTTCATGGGAAATTGCCTCTTTGGAGGGGTAGGAGGAGAGGGTGGTGGCAGTGGCGGTGACCGAGGAGGAGTAATCAAAGTGATAGGCTCCAATGGTGGAGTAATGGAATTTTCAGGGCCAATAACAGCAGGTTGCATAACCCATGAGTTTCCAGGCCATGCAATATTTCCAAGTCAGGATCTTTTCTGGAGACCTCTTTCTCTAAATGAAGATCTTTTAGCAGGAAACTCATATTATTTGCTTCCAGTGAACAGCACAAAGATAGGTGGCCAAGTTGTAAGAGAAGGTCATGTGAGATCAAAAAGCACTCCCACATCTTCTGTTATTACTCCATATAGAATGTCTTTCGATTATCAAGGAATGCTAAAAAGGTCTTATACTGAAGCCTTCTCTAGTAGCAGGTATAGTAGTAATAATAGTCATGAGGGGTTTTGGAAAGTGAAGCTTGTGATTAGTCCAGATCAGCTTTTGGAAATACTTTCTCAAGAAAATCAAACTCACGAACTGATTGAAAACATGAGAGCTGTTGCTAAATGTGGAAATGGGATCTCATCTTCTGGCTCTGCTGCTGCTGGGTTTTCAGATCAGTGGAGTTTTTCTAGTAGCCAGTAGGAATGGTTGTTCTAAGAAAAATGGATTACTGTTGGATATTTTTGTCTTTGCCTAGTTTAATTTGTTTCTTTCTTTGTTGTGATTATATTGTATGTGAATGAATTATTAATTCAAGTTAAAAAGACATAATTATATATAGAGAGAGCTTTGTGATCATCTGCCATATATTTTTATAAATGGAAATGTTGATTTATCACATATAGGCAGATGATAAAATGAATAAAGAAAGAAAAAAGAAGAAATGGCTAGCGTAGTAGCGTGTGTGAAAGGAAAGCCAAGATTTACAACAAACGGGTAAGCAGCGATAAGCTACCGGTAGTTTTAATACTCAAAGACGGCAATTAGCCGCCACATTCCTTTTGAGTCGCATTGAAATCATTAAACTGACTTTTTGATTTAGATGGGGTTTAGTTAGAGAAATTCAAATTTTCTATGGATTTTTTTTTAAATAAACATTCTAGGAAAGTATTATAAAAAAAAAATAAATTATGGTGTTTATATTATAATAATAAAAATTTTCTGAAAAAAATAGTATGATAAAGAATAACAATAAATGTTATTATATAATTTAGTACTTCCTCCATCTCATTTTGTTTGTTTATTATTCATTTTTTGATGTTTCAAAATATTTGCAAGATTTCTAAATTTGCATATGTAAACAATAATTTTTCCAATGATAATCTTTATAATTGTTGATTGAACGAAGAACTTTTATTAATGTCTTAGTAAGTCAAGAGTAAAAAAAGGAAAAATAACTTTTGTTGACTAAATTCTTAGTATGCGTGTTTTGTCAAAGAGTATTTATTTTCTATAAGAATTGAATTTTTCCACCTTTATTTTTATTTTTATTGCATAAGATAATTTACATAATATCAAGAAAATTCTCAATGTCCTACATTTTGCATAATACATATATATATATATATATATATTATATATTATGTATATATATATATATATATATTTATGTATGAAAATCATATATATGTCTCATAAAACTTTGTTTTTTATTCATTAAATATCAATTAGGCTAAAATGATTTTAGGGACTAGGAGGGGTTGGTGTGGAGAACTTGAACCATGGCTCCACATTCTTAAAAAATGTGAAATTATTGATTACATTTAATCTATCATTATAGATGACATGTTACATGGCTCAATTTAAAAATTTATCCACATTTTTAGCGAAAAGTTGTATAACTTATTCAAAAAAAAAATTATATAACACGATTAACATATAAATTTATAAAATTACATTTATTAAATATTTAAATTTATAAAATCATTTTACAAAATACTCTAATTTATGAAATTATTATTAAATATTTATTAAATAATTAAAAAATAAAAAATTATTATTTCAAAAGTTGGACTATCAATTTTGATAGTAATTAGTAGGTTGTTTATTTTAAAAAGTTTAAGTTAATAATTGTAATCATATGGACTGCATTTTTGTATTATCTCTAATAGTAATAAAATATTATAACACTTCAACGAATGAGCTGTACATTACAAAATTATAGAAACTCGACCACGAAATTGTTCTACTAATAATTTAATTTCAAATTTACATAAAAATAACAAAATTTCTGCATAAATCTTAAATTTTTTTTTTTTTTTCGTGGAAGTTTATTATTTATTAATAATTATATGGTCCCTCCCTTGCCGTCAATAGGAACTCCAGATACACTCTCTGCAACTCATTTGTGTCTACTCAAATCCAAAGCTAAAAAAAAAAATGTCATGGCTGGCTAGGTCTATCGCCAACTCTCTCAAGCTTGAAGACGATGACGACGACAATGACCAATATAATAACAATACCCCTAACCCTAATGTCACTGATTCAAAATCACCCTCAAATCCACAATCCGATCACCAAACCCAATCACCATCACCGTCGTCGCCATCATCCACAACCTCCGCTACCACACCCCGTGGTGTCAAAGAAGATCTTTCTGAGCTCACTAAAACTCTGACCCGCCAATTTTGGGGCGTTGCTTCTTTCCTCGCTCCTTCGCCTGATCCTCCTTCCTCCTCTTCCTCTTCCCATTCTTCTCAGATCTCCAATGAACTATCCGATAATCCGCAACCTCACCTGCCGTCCGATCCAGAAGCATCCAATGAGGATTTGATTGCCGGGATTCGCAGTGACTTCGCCGAGATTGGCGGGAAATTCAAGTCTGGGATCTCCAAGCTGTCGACCAACGCTGCCGTATCGGAGATCACGAAGATGGCGTCGAACTTTCTGCAGCTTGGATCGGAAAATGATTTAACTGATGAGGATTTGATTGGTAGTGCGGTTGGTGTGACCGAGGAGGTTGTAGCCTTCGCGAGAGATATCTCTATGCATCCGGAGACTTGGCTTGACTTTCCTGTTACTGACGATGAAGAATTTGATGGTATATATTTTCTTTAATTCTCATCTCTGGTTTGATACTTCATGTAAATACCGGTAAATGCATTGACCTGAACTAAGATGGAAATTCGAGAGTTGTTTTTTTAATTGAAGCAATTTAGTAATGAGAAAACAGAATGTAGCTTCAGTGTGAATTTGCGTATGTTTGTTGACAATAGATTTTATGGAATGCATGTTTAAGCGTTTACCTTATAGCAATGAGGTACATTTCCAGTTTTAGCATTTTGAAATAATCAAATTTGGTGATAGACAGATAGTATGTAGGGATGCCGGACTGTAGCTTGCTTATTTTGTACAAACCATAATTATGTTTCATCTCAAGCGTCTAATATTCTATGGGTACTGTAATCAATTATTTTTGTATAGGCTGGATTATGCTTTGGAATTTTCCTTCAATCTGTTTTTCCATTCAATCTGGCGAGCTAAAATGTTGCTTAATTGGTGTCTAATTGTTTTAAATCTGGTATGCCGTGTTTGCAAAACTACATATGGCCTATTGAGAACAGAAATGCGAGATTGGGTGGTCTATTATCACCTACTAGTTTCTTTTAGCATAATTACATACTTCTGTGCAAGAAAGGGTACAAATATTGCCATTCTATTTCTTTATATTCATACAAATTATCATTTCAAATAATAATGTGTTTCTTTTTTCTTTACTGCATCATCTATTGGGCGACCTTGGTATTCATTGTTAAAGTGATCTCAGTGCTTTTTAAATATCTAATGTTGATTCTACTTATCTTAATTAAAGTCACTGACAATCCTGCTAATTACCAATCATCAAAACTACAGTTAAAGAATATTAAGTAGACTTTAACTTTGTTTTCGCCTTTGCATTAAAAAGTTGAAGTCGTCATGGATCAGAATTTACCTATTCATTTATCTTGCTCATTCTTATTTACCCCACATGCCCAAATCCAACCTTTTCCTTTGTTTTCCTGTTTATGAATTTCACTTTGTATATGTTTGTGTTGCTTTCTTTGACTTTTATTTGTTTGATGCATGCACACCTTGGATAAGCCAAGTACTTTACATTCTGGATACCTCAAAAGATTGAAACGAGAATGCTGCAAATCTTGTAGTGGACTTATTTTCATTACATATTTTTTACGCTATAGTTAACTTGAATTCAATCAGAGATTTATCCATAGCTTTTTGTCAGGTTTCTGTGTATTTCTTTTCTGGGTTTGGCTAATGTCAAGCCTCTTTTTTTTTTTTTTTTTTTTTTTTTTTTTTTTTTTTTTTTTTTTTTTTTTTTTTTTTTTTTTTTTTTTTTTTTTTTTTTTTTTTTTTTTTTTTTTTTTTTTTTTTTTTTTTTTTTTTTTTCAGATTTTGACATGTCTGATGCCCAACAAGAACATGCTTTGACTGTTGAACGCCTTGCCCCAAGATTAGCTGCTCTCCGGATTGAACTTTGCCCAGGCTATATGAGTGAGGGCTGCTTTTGGAAGATCTACTTTGTACTTTTGCACCCTAGGCTGAGTAAACATGACGCCGAACTGCTTTCAACTCCCCAAGTATGTTGCTTTTCTTTACTACAGTCAGTCATTTCACATTTGTTGATTATACATGTTCTATGGATGCCTTGTTGCATGCCAGTACCATCCTGGTTTGACATTGGTGTATGAAATGCACACACACACAAACACACATACACACACATATCTGTTGTTGTTAACTGATTGAATCAATAGACAGTAAATCAGTAATTATATCCTAATAATATTTCTTGGTGAAGATGGAAATTAGAAGAAGGTTGGTTAGTCAACAGAGGTAGATTAGATAGTTAATCAAGTCTTTCTGCTAAATCCATTCACTTTTCCCCCTGTCATCATTGATAAATCTTTCGTCCTCTTCACTACTTGAAGTTGGATATGCTCAATCTTCCATTCCAGTGCATCTACTAGTCCTCTCTATGTATCAAAACAAGCTAGTATTTTTTGTGAAAGAACATATGATGGAATGACAGTATCCTTGTTTTTTGGTCAGCATTGTTGGTGTGTTTTATGGAGTATACCCCTCAAACTTTACGATGATGGAGGGATGAGAGAGGGCATCGACAGTTTTAAATGTAGAAGACAGTTCATGATTTTCAAGTGTCCAAATTTGGCAGTTGTCTTTCAGTTGATCAAACTAATATCTATTTTTAAGATATTGTCTGTCCTGAACAATGAATTTGCTAGGGCTGCATCACTAACTTCATTGTGTGCCTGCAGATACTGGAAGCAAGAACCATTTTATCACACCAATTGCAGAAACACTCTAAGCCAAGCAAACCAGGTTGGTCAGAAATAGGTACTTCTAGATCAAATGAAATTGCTGACTTACCTCACGAAGAGTCTCTCTCTGTGCCATCTCCTGTCCCAGTATCAGAATCAGTGCCTCCAAAGACATCTAGCATTGAAGTTGTTTCTCCCACTGTTGCAGCCAAGACATCTATCAAAGAAACAGTCTCCTCTAGCATTGTGGATGAACTAGAAACTGAGAAGCACCCAGTTCAGAGCACTGAGATGCAAATTATAGATAAAGCTGTGGTTGAGGAAGAACCTTTTTACCATGCCAAAGCTCAACATTTATCTAGCTCCATCCCGATAGTTGTGGATGAGAAATTTGAGGATGATACTGATGATTGGTTGAGAGAAGACAGTTCAGAAATGGTAGGCACCAGTGCAACTTCAGTGCCTATTGAAAATGATGAGGATGTGTCATTCAGTGATTTAGAAGAGGATGATGAAGATGTGCCTATAAGTTATAAGAAAGTAACATCAAGTGCAGATGCATCAACAAAAGACTCACGAGATTGGGTTCAGTTAAGCAAAAGCTCTGCTGACTCAGTCAAGGATATTAACCCTGTCAGTGTCAAACATGCTGTGCCTGAGCAGGTAAGTGCTCGTAATTCGGAACCCAAGGAGTCTAATGATTGGCTTGATGTTGATGACATTGATGTTATGTGATAATAACATAAAAGCCTCTAGGGGAAATGTGTTTTCCATCTTTCAGTTACGTTCTTGTGAATAGTTTGTATATGGTTTCTGCAGTCTAAGTCAGGCTTTCAAAACTATATGTACATAAATCCAAACCTATATTGGATGATCCTGCAAGCACACAGTATGTAACTTTTTACCATTTAATAATTCTCTGTTTCCTATGAAATATATCAATTTTATTTGATATGAGATTAACATCATGTGTCATTGTCGAGCATGTGAAGGCAGGCAGAAGCAAGAATGTTTCAACTCTTTAGACAAAGTATGTGATTGGAAGTTGTCATCTTGTGTCTCTTAGTAGCACTGATTGTTGATTTTCCGTAAGTCTGTGTTATTGTGTTTGGAAAAGAAAACCGATGAAGGTTAGTTATTGAAGGTTGTTGATGCTTAGATACCTGCACTTGATGAATGCAGTTCATTTTTTGTCTTCTCATGTAATGCGTGAGAGAAATGGTCGGTGTAAACTACCCAATCTTTTTAGACAAGGGGCAGATTCCTTTCTCTTTTTCAGCCTTAATTAATTGCCTTTAGGCATTCAATGGACTTTTGTGTCCATTAGTGATTCCCATTCTCATTCAGTCATCCCCCATCTGCAAAAAATGAGTTAATAGAACCCACTTCATTCATCATCACAACCGAATTAAAATCCTTCCCAAATAATAGGTTAAGGGTATCACCCTCTCTCTCTCTCTCTCGATCTTACTTAGCTTAACCCCAATCTAAACATAATGGGATTTCAAGTTCAACCAAGAAATTTCCAAGTTTCAACTGTCGTATGATTTTTTGATATTATTGTTTGAGCTGATGTTATGAAAAACGATATGTGCAGGACATATATTATACATTATGAAAGTTTATTTTTCAAGGTGAATTTTACTTTGTTCTAACTTCTAATTTCTAAAATTTCAAAAAAAATATAACAAAACATCCGAACTACCTTTTCTAATATCTTTTTTTTCCCCCCAAAAAGAAAATCTTTAACTGCTACATGAAGACCTGACCTCATTGTAGATACGTTTGAAATTATTCATCCATTTGCAAAGAAATAAATAAACTATCTTATCGTTGATTTCTTATACATCACTGTCGTTTTCTTTTTGGATAAAATTGATTTCTCATACGTCATTACCCTTTTCTTTTCTGGGAAAAGAAATGTTTTACTTGATCTTTATGCGTATCCTCTATATTACAAAAATGGGAAATGCATAACATATAGATTTGCTAAAAATCTTCGCATTGGCTGTAAATTCTATTCAATGTGAGGATTGAAGAATATATTGACAACATACGACACTGATTAGACACATTATTACAACGACACTACAGAGAACTAGCTTAGGAAGAGAAACTACTGATATGCTGATATACAACCTTATTTACAAAATGCCTCGACTACAGATTGAGACCTCCTTATGATCTTATGGAGCCGAAATTTCCAGACAGTCGCTCAAGCTGAGACCATAATAGGCTTCCTAATGAGAATCTTGGCTTATCGTCACCTATACTGCCACTGCTGGTTCTGCTCATACTAGCTGTCGACGGCGATCTAGGAGTCCAGTCTGGTGATTTATTAACTACCAAGACAGATCCCCCTATTTCTTTCCTCACTACTTCTATTGTCAGCGGATTAATTTCATCTCCTGAAGCATCAGTTACATAGAATGATCCTACTGCTGTCTCACCTTGTGTTCCCATCTCAGCCCTTGATATCGATAAACCATTTTCGCGAAATGCCCGTGTCATGTCTGAAAGTAATCCGATTCTGTTGTGTGTGCAGAGGTCTAGTCTCAATCCCTGCATACAGAATAGTATTTCAATTTATCAAATTGAAAAATTCATAACTTAGTTGAGTGGATTCAAATGCCCAGACATTTTACTCACATGGGATACTCTTCTTTCAATCGCAGCAATCAAACATTGAGTCAGTTTATGCCTTTCACCTTCTGTATCCAAAGTAAAGCCATCTTTATGTCGTATAAAGTACTCCTGCAATTTCAAAATTTCATTTTTCTGTCGTTTGAAGAGCAACTCTAATAGTACTCACTTATAAAAAAGGCATCTAAATATTCACCTGATCAGCCATAGTGCCCATGGAGCTAACTGCAGCGTGGAATACTACATATTGCATATCAGTTAATACGCATAACGTATCAAATAAAAGCTTAGGCCGGTCTCTGCTCCTCATATTCACTACTGAATACCCTTTCTCTTTGCAGGACTCTATCGAAACATGAATTTTAGTACAATTCCTCCGGTGCCCAACACCGGTATCCGTGCAGCTGCAACACGGCGCATAATCTATATTTGAATACATCAACTGATGGAGCCGCCGCTCGGTGTGGGTTTGTCCGGCCACCGGTGTTATTAACCTTAAGCTTCTTCTTTCCCCTACCCCATGATGTGCATCAACTACGTTTTCCAATTGCTCTTCTATATGACCTAGCCTATTTGGATCGGTAATGGGCCCACCTCTCAACCTGTCTTCCAAGTAGATTATACATGCTGCTCGGGCGTTGTGGGTCCACACCACTGCAGCAGTGACTTGGCATTCCAGCTCAGCAAGTACGGCTGAAATTTCAGATAACAGACCTGGTCTGTCGGTCCCCGTCATCTCTATCGCTGTGTGTTCTGTTGACACGTGTCGTGGCCTGACTTCTCTTTTTAGACAATTTTGGAGCTCCTGTGATATCCCTCCTTTCCTATTTGCACATAGTTCCTGAAATTCACCATTTGGTATAAGACACAAAGTATATACTCCTATTATTATTTTATACGTATTTATTGTGTATTTCCAAGTGTATAATATACGTAGAGTAGAGTGACACCTGTTGAATATAAAGTATGAGGCTTTCGTCCGTAATTTTGTTCCCAAGCTGGTCAGTCACGTGGAACACTGCAAACCATTGCAATAAAAACAAACCCACACCACATGAGGTATACAAGTGGGATGACTCATATTTATTTCATAAATAAAATTAATTACGTCTCCTTAATTGATAAATTTAAAGACAAACATATTCACTAAACTAATTATATTATGATTAGCACAAATATCGAATCAATTTTTTATATGGATGAGCAATATATCAATAATTAGTAATTTTTTCTTCATATATGAAGACGTGATCTGATTTAATTGTTACATCGTTCTACTTGTAAATTTTAAGTTATGAATTCAATTTTGAAAATTTATTTCTTAAAAAAAAACAAGAAAAAATTGGTTATAAATTTAATTAGCATCAAATTGTGGTTATTAAGTTAAATTAAAAATAGTAATTTAAGTGTAAGGTGATGCAAGCATGAGGAATAGATCACTGACCGTCCATGAACCATCCCCCATCAGAGGAAATGTATGATTTGGAAATAACAAGATCAAGATCTGTCAATACTTGGACCATTTCTAATAGAATCCCGTGCTTGTTTGCACTATCAACCTGCATATGAAAATAAATAAATAAATAAATTTCCGCTTAATAAGTTATGTCATTTTCTGACATTTATTGAAACCAAACTAGTTAATTTCATTCAGACTAGGTTACGGGACCAACACTATTTTCACTCGTTCTTTTTCTTATTTACTTAATAAATTGAAATTTCCTAGTAAGTTTCGTTTCTAGTAATAGGGTTTTGAGTCTTTCTACAACTAGATTACGTCATCTCGTTTGGTTGCTAGGAAAAAAGTAATTTCCTGCAATAAGAGAGGAACTAACTAAGTAAACCGATTCTCAATCTTCTGCTATTAAAAGTAACAGGAAAAGGCTATTTCTTTTGAAATTTTCAATAATTTCTAGTGGTCCTCCACTTGGTGGGTTCAGAAACATCATCTCTGTGTCAAGAACAGGTGGGATTGATGCGTTTCTGTTAAATATATCTATAATGGAACCTATAATACATGTTAATATTGGTATTTTATATCTAATTATGAGCATAAACAATCCATCATCCTTCATTAATGGAATCTCCAACACCAACTTTATGCACAAGCGACAATATTAAACTTAAACAAAAGACTAAACAAGTCTATGGATCATGTTTCTCATCTGCTAAACAAAGATTAGTTTAAAACTATATATGTTCTAATACCATTTTATTATTTTATAATTTTTGTCACTATCAGATGCAAAATAAAAAATTAAACTAACCTTAACAAGCGTGCAGTCTTGGCAAGAGTCATTATCAATACAAACCCTGCAAAATCAAAACCATGAGCAAACTGATTAAACCATTAATGCAAAACTACCAGTAAATTTTAATTAAGAAACATGAGAGTTACTTTCTAATTAATTATGAAATATAGCATTAGATTACAACTATACGTCTATACCTAGGAGGGTAAATTCTTTCGATTAGAGATTCGAACTCGGGATCGATATAAGGCTGGTAAGCAATCTCCATTCTTGTTCTTAGCAGTAGTTTTTCAAGATTTGTCTCTCAATTGCCAGAGATTAGAGACTCCTTTGATATTCTTGCTGTAAACCTGTATTTATATACACATTCTTCAAAAAAAAAATACTAAAAGAATAATTGTTGACAACAAATTAGCAGCGGACGGTAACGTAGGAAGGACATAACACTGCGCGCAGCGTAGATTTCTTAGTTTTGTATTATAAACTAGCTATGTTTCTTGAATAAAAAGAAAAATAATTTCAAACGAAATTAAAGAAGAATTCTGTATACGGAAGAGATTGGTTTCATCCAGGTAACTAAGTGCGAGAATGATTGAAAAGAAAGAAAAAAAAAATTGGTTGGACATAAAACTAAACAGTTGTCAAATTAAAGAACTCCCAGTCCTAATCTAAGTAATAATATATATCAAATGTAAAGAACTTCCCAGTCCTAATCTAATAATAAATATATAATATAATATAATATATATATTAAATCTATATATATTAATCTATGAAACTTAAAGGAGAAGCAAAACCCATTACTCTCTTGATGTTCATAAAGCAAGAACAAGAAACAAGAAACAAGAAGCAAGAAGCAAGAAGAAGAAGAAGAGAGAATACCTTTCGATACGGCGAAGTATTAAGTCCAGCAAATTGCAGACAATTATATGGATAGAGATACTTAGAATTAGACGAAAGAAATTTGTTTTAAATATGCGAGAAAAGAAGCAGCAAGCGAATAGGACCTTACAAGGTTCAAGTGTTTTAGCCAATTTTAGATCGTTTTCTTGGCAGCAGAGTTTGTAGAGCCGAAAGAGATGGAAGAATCAATGTAACTGAAATAAATAAATAAAAGAAAAAACCACTTCTTTTTTGGCTATTTCTTTTTTACTCTCACTTTCAATCTGAAATATAATAAACCAATTCTCAAAAAAAAAAAATAATAATAAACCTAAAAAAGGAAAACACATATAAATGGAGGTCTTTATTTTATGTTATGTTATTCTTTAGTTTTTAATTTTGAGTCTATCCCATTTTTTCAAAGAAAAAAAAATCTTTATCATTTTTGTCTTTTGGTGTGTATGTGTGTGGAACGTGCTAGCACAGGGTTAAAGGCACAAGAGATTACCTAGCCAGTAGGAGTCATAATTTCACTGTGCCTTTGCCACGTGTGATATGTATGACACGTGGCAATGGGTTGCGGCGGCTCGGTTCCGCTAATTTAGACACGTGTGTTTTGTGGAAAATATAAAATTGTGGGTGAGAATTGATTTGGGGATTTGCTTGCTTTAAGGGGTTGAATTAGGAGTGATTAGTTGTCAATTTGGATTGTCTTTACCCAGTCAAGGAATGAGGAAGAGGAAACAAGAACCCAAGATATGGCTAATTAGCTGGCTTGGCTTCAATTTTTAATTTTGATTCTCAAAACTTCTTCCATCAAAATCTTTGTTTCACTGTATTTCCAAGTTTACAAGTGCCAGCTAAATACAGGGAACCCTCGAGTCCATTAGTATTTTCATGGAAATTTTCATGTCCTATTTTATATATGGCCAAAAAGGAAAGGGCTTTTGAAAGATAAGGGAAGGGATGAAATAAAAGGATAAAATTTTGATTGGATTTTTAGGATTTGATTTTTAAAAAAGATGGCAATTTTATTTGTCTGATCAAATAAATATTTAAATTCAATTCTTATACATAGGTATGATGTGGTAAAATTAATTGTTTTAGTAAATATTAATTATTTTAATAATAGTTATTTTATGTGCGTTTCATCAAACTCTAACTCCTGTAAACACTACGCCGGTGAACATTATAAATAATACTTAATTAGGTTACATTTATAATTTAGTTTTAAATTGGGATCAAGTGTTAGGTTTTTAATACTCAGCTAGGTTAGTCTTAAATTTCAAAATAACGGACTGGGCTTGGACCATTTAAAATATGCCACCCTCGACCCAGGCAACGGTTATTTGCTCTGGAAATTTAGTGGAATATTATATAAATTAATTATAACTTAAATACAACGATCAGATATTGATTTCGAAAAGAATACAATGATCAAATATGAATATAGGGTATAAAATATCCAAATTTTGTCAAACATTTTTTTATTCTATTTAGTATAGACGATTTTGAAAATTATACTTTAAGATAGGAAATGCATCATTTCAAAGTTTAAAACTTGAGATATATTTATTGAAAAATAATAATATTATAGTAATTTGTTATACTATTCATTTGGTATATTGGTGAGTCATAGAATATAAATCACTTCCTAATAGAATCATATAATATAAATTAAATTGGAAATATCTTAATTGAAATATTAACATCATTTGTTAAAATATATAGATCGTAATTTAATAATAAGCGCATATATCACTTGTATTTTATGTTTTTGAAATTGAACGTTGATCTCTTTATTCAGTTGAATGAATGCCATCCTCCAATTCTTGGAAAAAGAAAACTCTACAACTTAACTTGTATTTTGTTTTTAAGTTTAAATATGGTATTTTCATGTGGCCATTGAATTTTGAAGTTGATTGTTAGTCTCCTCCCATCCAGAAGGGCTACAGGCCCATACACTTCCATTCTTGCACGATATGCCACTTCCCTCTGCAACCGCCTCATGTAATTTCCTCTTCTCCTTCTCTCTGGTTCCTCTTATCTTTCTTAATTTTCCTCGATGTTTTTGCTCTTGGATAGGTATGCACATTCTCAGTCCATGCTTTTGACGAGTTTGAATTCAATTTCTGTTTACCTTTTTAGGATAAGAAGAAAAGAAAAGAAAATTATAAATTCTTGACTTTAACGGTTGTCTTGCTTGTACAGCTATAACACTTCTATTTGACTTCAAAATTATGAACACCAAGAAAATAGCAAACTTTTGGTCACAACTGCCATCGGGTTCTTTTGATTTTGAATTGTTTCCAATGGACATGCAATCGGTGAAAAAGGGTGTTCTTGATTATACAAAGAAAAAGAAAAGATTGATTTCTATATTAGCAGCTCTTGGTTTCTCTAGTTATGCTGCCTACAGAGTTTATCACTTACCCTCAATTACTCGGAAAAGAAAAAGAATTTCAAATCTTTTAGGGGCTTTAATTTCTATAGCTGAGGCTGTCTCTGATTCTGCCGAAACAATTGGAGTCATCTCCAAAGATTTGAAAGATTTTCTTCAATCAGAATCTGACCAAATCCCTAATAGTTTGAAGCAAATTTCTAAAGTTGCCAAGTCATCTGAGTTCTCAGATTCTGTAATTTGCCTCACACAAGCTTTAACTTTGGGGATCTTGCGTGGTTATCAATCTAGTTCAAGAATTGATTATGGTTCCACTGCAGCTAACAACTCAAGTTTCTTGGATAAGGTTTTTGATAAGCTTTCTACGCCGGCCGGGTCTGGTTTTGTTTCTGTAATTGTTGGAAGCTTTGCTAGGAATCTGGTCATGGCCTTATATCAAGATGGGAATTCTAGTACTAGAGAATTGAATTCCAATTCAGATTTGAACTCTGTTGGTCTGGAAATAAATTCTGTTACAAAATATGTGGATGTGGTTTGTGGTCATAAGGGTAAAGAGCTTATTGGTGATTGCATTCAGTTATTTGTGAGTACTGCAGTTGCTGTTTATCTTGACAAGACTATGCACATCAACACCTATGATGAAATTTTCGCTGGATTAACCAATCCAAAACACGAAAAGAAAGTAAGAGAAGTATTAGTTTCAGTATGCAATGGCGCAGTTGAAACTCTTGTTAAAACATCTCATCAAGTCTTGACAAGTACTGAAGCAAAATCAAGAATGGCCATTGATCAACGAGAAGTTGAATCAGAGAATATGTTCTTGGAAAATGAAGCTTCTAAGGATGAACCGGAAGCAAGAAATTCATTTGATGAAGTAGAGGATGGTGGGTGGATTGATAAAGTATCATCTACTTTGGCAGTGCCAAGTAATAGGAGGCTTGTCCTTGATTTGACTGGTAGAGTTACATTTGAGACAGTTAGATCTTTCTTGGAATTTTTGGTGGAGAAAATTTATGAAGGAATAAAGAAGTGTGCTGATGTTGTTTATGAAGCTGTTGTTGGCAGTAGTCTTGGAGTTGTCAGATATGTTACTGCAAAATCTTCTGTTATTGCAACTATTTGTCTTTCTTTGTGTTTGCACATAATGGATAGCTCTTGGATTTTGATGCCAGCTTAAGTCATTGGATGTTTCTCTTTAATAATCATTTTTAATTGTTCTTTGACATAAAATTCTTCAAGAACTGTCAGTTGAACGATGATCCCATTTATGTATCAGATTTCTTTGTACATCTATTCTTCCTTTCTTATACCAACTTTTGTACAGTTACTTTAGCGGAATGATACTTCTGCCTACAATAATTCTGTTCTGTTTTCATTCTTTAGAACAAGAATAACTAATAAATGGATTTGCAGAATATTGGAAGCAACCTTTTCATTCCTAAGTTTTCTATAATTATTTCTGTATTCTGAATAATTGTATTGAAATATTGAGAACTATGTTAGAAGCAGCAGTACTACTTGAGGCTTGTGGTTTGATAATCTTCAATGATTTATAGTTTATTATTCTCAAGAATACGTTACTAATTGTGCAAATATAGTATAATATAGTGTAATTTTCAATAATTTATAAAATTATGAAGAACATAAGGGTTATGTGCCTTCCCTCCCTTCCTTCGCCATTTGTTGTTATTCAAATGCTGTCCCAGCCCCGTCCTGATTTTTCTAACTGCAAGGCAATAGAAACGACAAAAAGTGCCTGCCCCATTGCAGGATCTTTGCATCTTCTGTTAAGATTTCTTGACGAATTTTAAGTTACGACAGTTATGCCGTTGGCTAAATGATCATTGCAGCTGCGAAACAATTTTCTGACTTGCTGTTAACAGTACATCACCTGTTTTGGCTACTTTCTTGGATGTCTATCAATGTGGAATTAGTCGGTGATTGTAACTTGAAGCCACAATGTAGAGGGAGCAAGAATTGGAAAATAACAATATGCATACACTTTTATCAAAAGAATTTTATTATCAAAAGATGTAAATTCACTTTAAACATAAGCTTCAATAATCTCTAATCAATACTCTTTTTCAACTTGGCGTATTTCTCCGTTGAAAGTCAAACAACAATACCAAAAAGAACGAAAGTTCAAACAACACCGGTGGAGTTTTGACAGCAACCCCAGCAACGTTCAATAACATTATCCATTGGGAATGTGAAGCTCCAATGTCTAGCAGATGAGGTCGATTATGCTTTTTTGCTTTGACTAGAAAACAACCAAATAATGCAATCGACTTAGTTCATCCTATCTTCATGGATACACATGCAGCTAGAATCCCATCCCACCCAGATGTATAAGCTTGTGCATTGTCCAAATCCAAAGTCTATATTGTATCAGTGTGCAATGAAAATATGAATGTATATTAGGCTTCTTCAGTCAGCAACTGGAAAAGACAACCTCCCTCCTCCCAGTTCCCACTATCATGATAATTCAGTACAGTATCTATTGATTAGAGCTTGAGTCGGTCTCCTTGGTAGCTGCCTCTTCCTGGAGCTTCTTTTTCCAGTACTCATCAAGAGGGGGCCCAAATAATGCTTTTCCTGAAACAACCCCGATCCTGCAAAAATTCATTTATAATCATTTCCAAAGACAACAGAACACTTTGATATCTCACCAACTGGAGCACTTAAATGAAGAATTATGATTTATTTCAGATCCAATAAAACAAAATGTATTGCTATATTAATGTTTTCTTAACATGCCTTGAGTTGAACTTCCAACAAAACCAGTCAGGCTATAGAAAACTAGTATACTTCATGGTGAAATTTACATACTATTTTTACCTAGAACTTCTTTAGCAAGAATAATAATGCATTACTGTTCCTGTTTTCCTACAAAGGATTAATTAGAGAGAAAATGAAGAAGACGAAGGTACAGTCCATAGTTTGGAAATACCTAATTATAGTCTATACTCTACTTATTCCAAGTGGCATGTCCGTGGCTACTGGCTTGGCTATCTAAATTCATTTAGGCAAATGTAAAACCAGTTTCCAACATGGCTATATGTCAACATAAATATAAATGTATAAGTACTACGTTAAAGTTTATCAAAAGTATTTTTGCCCCAAATGTTTCTTGGAAATCAATGTGAAATTAAACATAAGGAAAAATAAATTTCAAAGAAAGCGGCAAGATTGTTTAACTCTCTGAAATTCAAGATATTTTAGATTAAGAAGTCCTATTGACTGCAATCATTAATGTTAAAGAAACTAAATTTATCATCATTTACATATCTAATGAGGTAATGCGTCCTAAAAAAATTGAACAACTACTCTAACTAATTACTACTTCATCCGATCGAAGTGATAATATCAGCTCATAGAAAGTAAAAGAACGATAAAAGAGAGTACAAAGAAAGGAAACTCACACTACGGCTCCAATTACCATGGGGAAGGACAGAAATCTTCTTCCAAAAAACATATCCAATAGCTTTCTCTTCTTCTTCTTCTTCAATTTTTGATGGTTGCGAGGTTTGTACAATCCTCTCCGATTTCAGGGTTTTGCCAGCTGCTTCTGCCTCTTGTTCTTCTTCGTCTTCCTTCCAATTAAACGTACAATTCCGGATCTAAACAGAAATGGGCTTTGGAAACTTAAAAAAGAGTAAGGCTTCATCCTTACCGTACCTAGAACATTGGGCCTAATTGGACCAAGTCTAACCTAGTGATATAAAAAAAAACAAAAATATATGTTATCATTGATTTGGGCCTCAAATACTAATGAGAAAGCACACTGGCAACTTGCAAGTTGATGTTATCTTAATGGTATATAATAAACACAATGTTTAAAAAAAACACTATGACCAAAAGAAGGTTGTAGTTAGATTGCATTTGAATATACATCCTCTTCACATTGATTTTGTATTAATTAATCTATAAATAATTAATATGAACATTAACAAGTAATGATATCTTATGTTCCTTAACCATCAACAACATTTTTTAATAACAATTCCACTCTATTATGTATATTTTAAGAAAATTAAAAAATTATGTAAGAATGATGTAATCTTGGTATTGTTAAACACATAAATCATTCTGATAATGCTGACTAGTGACTACCAACAGCCAATCAGGCATTTGCTCTTACTATTGGTTACATGGGTAGGGACCCATGTAAGGAGGAAGAACCATAACCATAATGTTCCTTTTATGTATTTGTCAAAAGTAAAGGGGTTTCTTATGGTCCATAGAGTTTGGGTGATCAGGCCCACCACATGGTGTTCAATGGAAAATTGACCTTGAAAATCTACCTCCTAATTGCTTTCTAGAAAGGAATTCATTTGTAACCCTCTGTTGTTCCTACACGTGGTAAGAATTCATGGTCAGAGTACTTAAATTTAAGACCTTTCATTCCTCGTATAAATGAGAAGACTAACTAAATCATATATGATTGATAATCAAAATTATTACATCAACCATATCTTCAAATGAAGACCAATTGAAGGAGCTAATTTGAATTATTATTATTATCTTTATCATAAGTTGATAATCTAATAATTAAAAACAATTCTAAACAAGAAATTAGAGCAAAACAATCTTATTTTATACATAAAAAGATAAATAAAATTGTAATATTTGTTTAATGCACAATCTTTAACGCACTGCAATCAAATTTATTCCACTCAACCGCCAGCTATATATTTCGGCCAAGAACTGGTGCTGCTTGTGTTATTTCTCAACTAAAACTCACAAGAGTAGTTGTTTGCATTCAATTCTAATTAAATAGATCGAAAACAAGCAGCTTTATAACTAATTAAACAAGCAGAAAGTGTTGGCTTAAACTTTATGATCATTTACTAACAATCTTACCAATACTTAAGCAAACAAGTGATTAGAGAATGCATTATCACATGCGAAAATGTGCTTTCTCCAATAAATGTTCTAAGCTGAAAGCCTGAAACTGGTACGTGTATTCTTCCACTTCACAATATGTTATAGAACTGACTGTGTTTTTTTTTTTTTTTTTTTTTTTTGCAGCTTTATAACTAATTAACAAGCAGGAAAGTGTTTGGCTTAAACTTTATTGATTCATTTACTTAACAATCTTACCAATTACTTAAGCAAAACAAGTGATTAGAGAATGCATTTATCACATGGCGAAAATGTGCTTTTCTCCAATATAATGTTCTAAGCTGAAAGCCTGAAACTGGTACGTTTATTCTTCCACTTCAACAATATGTAGTGAGAAACTGACTGTTATGTTTTTTTTTTTTTTTTTTTTTTTTTTGTTAATAATCAAGAAACTCATTTTTTCAACTTTTTTTTTTTTTTTTTTTTTTTTGTTAATAATCAAGAAACTCATTTTTGTCAACCAAAAATCCTTTCATTTTCAATTAGGGACCACAGTTCACTGAATTGATCAATTGGGAAATCAAAAGTGAAATTAAGACTTCAACAAGTTTTTAAGGGTGTTGATTTAAGTGTTGATTCCGTCAATTTCATGTCGATTCTAATTTTGTAAAAGCCTCGTCGCCTTTGACTTTAATTTTGGTTCATAATCGACTGTTAAAGCAATAATTGTGTATGTCATTCTTTTCTTTAATCGTGTACTGTAATCTAAATCATTTATTATGATGGATGAAAAGACAGTAGATGATAATAAAAAAGGGAGTGGTGTCTGAACGGGCGAACGGAATAGATGAATTTTGAAAAAATAAAATCACTTTCACAAAAAATGGTTGATGTATTTTTTTTATTGGATTGGATACGTCGGGATTGACGGGGCTCGAACTTACAGCTTCCACCTCAACTCTTATTTTTTGCCTCATGCCAATTTGAAATTGGATGGGACTGAAATTCTCAATTAGTTCAAATTTGAACCAATCACTCCCAATCTCATTTTAATTTGCGACCGGTATTTCCAAGTCAATTTTTGTCCAATTATGTTTTAAATTCAATTTCAATACCAAACAAACTGTGAACACCCTGCTTTCAATTTATTAATAATGTTCAACAATCATAAATTGAACTAACATTCTTGAGCCTGAGATTCATTATGCTAAAGAGTCAAGAAATGAGCAATAACAAGGAAATTGCAGTCATTCGATTCAATATGAAAGAATGTTAGTCAAATCCGCGTTGTTAAAGGAACATACGTATATCGCACAGCTACTTATTGCTATGCATAAGCTTGCATGATAATGACCACCATTTTCTTTTTATCAATAAAATTTTTCTTTTCTTCTTACATAACATAATTAAGTATTTAAGTCTGGGCCATCAGGTCTCCCAATACATTCAACCTTTTTCTTTTCCAAGTTTAGTCTTACAGTTAGCTTTAAATTAGCAACTTTGATCCCAGAGTTAGAAACTTCATTATTTAATTAGGGAATTCAATTATGCATGAATACAGTAATTGAAAAAGAAAAAAGAAAATGGGGAAGAGAAATAATTAAAGAGCTGCCTAGCCTACGTATATATAGCTAGGATGAGCTACATGATAATTGTTGTTGAAAACTTAATTAAGAAGATTAAACCATTAAATTCTTTATATATATTCTGAAATGGCAGAAGAATACAGAAATAGAAACTGATTATGCAATTTTAATTATACCAAGGATACGAAAACTCCTTGTTAATTATCACAAACAAGTAATTATACAATCCATATGTAGCGAGTATAAATAGGTAAATAATAATTAGTTAATAAAAGAATACTTGACATCAATTCATGGTTTGTGATTCTGGGTATAGATGTAGTCTATATGAGCAGCAAGAGTCCTTCTCATCAAACACTCTTCTTCTCCAACTCCTTCACAGCTCTCTGTATTTTGCTCTGTTTCAAAACCCTAGAGACAAACAAGCAAAAAGACAAAAACCCATATGTCAATATTTTATGTTTCTGATAAATTATGTTTAATTTAAAAAGAATTTAAAATTTTAAAACCTGTTGTGTGTCCTGAGCTGAGGAGCCATTAGAAAAGGCTGGTTCACGGCGACCGGCGGAGGTTAGGATGGAGCATAGGAGAAGGGCTGCCAGAAATAAAAGGGTGGCGACCTTAACTTTAATCATCTTTTCTTTTTTGGGATATAAGAGAGAAGGCAGAAAGAGATCAGATAATTGAGTTTTCGAGATATGCATAAAGGAAAGAATATGTGTGTAGTATTTATAGAGGTAGACTGAAGAAATTGTGCATGTCATGTCAGCATGTGAACTCAAGCAGGGGGTGAGAATTCAACTATAGCAGCTTCTTCAATAATTAGGATAAGAAATTTGATAATATATATTTAAATAAACATCTATATTTTTTTTTCAGCCTGATAATCGCTGTCTTCGATTTGTAGAAAACACACACAGTGAGAGAGGTAAGTATGAACCCCGAACAATATTAATTTTATATTCCAAAAATATTTGAAAATATTTATAGGGAAAAAAATTAAAGTCAATTAAGTGTGGTCTGATTGATCTTCTTTCTTCATTTATATGGAGAGCGAGAGATTTTCATCAATTTAATGGGTAAATAAGAAAGTATTGGCTATTACATAATCCATAATATTTTTTATATCTGTTATTTCTTGCAATGAATAATAAAAATAGAAAAATCAAAAAGCTTTTAAATATCACATGTTTTTATTTGAAAAATGACCTAATCTTAAGGTTATTCTAGAAAAGAACTCGGATAAGAGAAGGTGGAATTAAAGATGCACCATGGGAATTAATACCCAAAAAGGATGTTTGAAATTCTTAGGTGATACTACCGAAATTTACTTTTTATATATTTTTTTATTTTATTATTATCGATAATTGATTCTTTATATTTAAAAATAGTAATGTCACTTATTTCTGTTTTGTACACAAACCTATGTCATAAAAAATTTATTTTATGAATCTGAAAATGTGAGAAGAGTTCTTGAATTTGATTCCTATTAAATATACCTGTAGAAAGAGGTGAAAAGTTTTAATTGTGATTAGACTCGAGCTGAATTGGACTGTTCTTAATAATAGGGTCTAGATACCGGTGATTTACATCAAAAATTAAAATAATAATAAATAAAAATTTTTCAATTGTGATTTATGTGTGAGAATTAAATCTTAAATAACTTGAGCCAATTAGAGTCAAATTATTCCACACTTAAATTAAAAAATTGAGCCATCGCCACTTAAGTGATGTTTTTCACGTGTGGCTCTTGGATTAAAATAAAAATAAGCGGTAGGTATGGGTTTAGACCATGTAATAAATATAAATTGAATGGACCGCTACTGAGGATTTTGCTTATGCTCATTACATAATGATTGAAGCTAACTATGGTTAGTTAATCTGATCAGTTCATCAATTGTCCGCAAGTGAGATGTTTTAATGATGATCTTGCATGTATATCATGTGTATCTCACTGGTGGCTTTATCATGTTTTCATTTATTCAAGAGAAGGAAAAAAAAAAAAAATTGTAAACCCTTGTGACATTTTCATAGACAAAATCAAATATGAGTAGGGAAAGCCAAATTTGGGACAGCTTGGAAAGATACACATACCATCTCTCATTGACAATGGAACTCAACAGAAGTACATATATTGCATCGAAGTGGAATGGTCAACAGGCAACAAAAAAAATTAAAATTGTACTTGCTTATTTAATTAATGCTGAAATTGACTTGTATAAGACTTGCTAATTTTATCTAAATTTTTTGTCTAAAGTGATACGTATATTATTCATTTTTCGTTAGATTAAAACTAAATCTTATTCGTATCGAGTTGATCCATTAAAAGGTAAAGTCCTCTCAGCGAGTATTTATTCCATTAATAAAAATTGAAGTCTCGATCTCACTTAAGGAAGAATACAGAAACACGCTTATTAATAGTAAATGATAATTCATATATATGAGGACATCTACATCTAGAATGCCCTAGAAGGACATGGACATCCACATATGGCCTCAATTTATCTCTAATGCTGAAGCATATGATTAGGTCATAATGACATATTATTTTCTATCTATGTACCACAAGAAATAATGAAAATAACATTTATTGAAAGGGGAAAAAGAAAAAAAAGTTACTTAATGGTCTGAAATGTGAGGCATTTTTGTATGAGAATAGTTGAAATATGAATGTATATGATCAATAAGTGGCAAAATAAGTGTTGGGTTAGTGGACTTCAAACCGAACGACGGGCTAGCTCTAGCTGCTTCATGATGGATAGCATTAGCATACCGTGTATTGACTTCATCATTTTCCACCATTTACAACCTTAATTATTGCCACTAATTAGACTTGATCTTCTTAATTAATTACTCCACTAATCTATATTTAACATTATAGACTAAGTTCGAGCTGCATATTCCTGCACTGTTTCCTAAAGTTTTTTAGTTGGTTTGGTGGCTATCCAAAATCAAGAAATTCCTCAAAGAGAGAGACAAAGACGGTGGGAATTTTTTTTTTCTCAAATAAAAAAATAAACTATTTGAAAACTAAACGAAAAATAATCTTAATGGTAGATATTATGTTTTTAAGTAGTGTATTTTGTGGGATCGTAGAGGTAGATATACCATTTTTCTTTTGTACTTTAGATTATTAAAAAAATATATTTCATTTTTTACTCTTTTTTTTTTCAATCGTCGATAGAGAAAATTTGTTGCGACTCATCTATGAGTCCACCAATGTACCAAACTAATCACAATATAAATTTTCTAAAATTATTCCCACTTTATCGAGCAATTGAGGACGGAATAATTTTTATTTCTTGTGACAGTCCTATCCTTTTTATTCTATTTTGTCTTTTCTTTTGTTTTTATATTTTTTCAAATATACCTATTTGACGTCTAATTCATCATTTTATTTATTTTTCTATTGATTCTTTTCTTTTATTCTTAGATTAGGTCTTATTCCTTCAAACTAAATCTAGATTCAATTTATTCCCATTTTGTGTAGAGTTATGATTATCTCCGGTTATTTGGAGTGTTTTTTTTTTTCCTTTTATGAAAATGGATGTAATTTATGAACCATTTATTTTATGGATAATGATCTTCAAAATTTAAATTTTTTTTAAATGAAAATCAAACTAGAAATTTCATTAAGATTTGGAGTGTTTTTTTTTTTCCTTTTTATGGAAAATGGATGAATTTATTGAACCATTTTATTTTACTGGATAATGATCTTCAAAAATATTTAAATTTTTTTTAAATGAAAATCAAACTAGAAATTGATCATTAAGAAGAAACTTGTATAAGAAGAGATAGGCATACATTCAATATATTTTTACTTATTTTTTTTTCCTTTTATGAAAATGGATGTAATTTATGAACCATTTATTTTATGGATAATGATCTTCAAAATTTAAATTTTTTTTAAATGAAAATCAAACTAGAAATTTCATTAAGAAGAAACTGTATATAGAGATAGGATACATATCAATATATTTTTATATTTTTGTATAGGAAGTCTAATAATAAACCTCTTATATAAAAATAAAAAAAAATACAATCTTGATTTAAAGTATCTAATCGAGCTGACAGAGCATAATATTTGTGACATCAGTGATGCTTGCTCCATTTAGTGGCTGTTCATAGCCATTGTTCGACTCCATGATCTTTCTACAAGTTCGATCTAATTACTTTCAAATTTCTTCTGAAGATCTGCACTTATTTCTATATAACTATCCAAATAACAAAAGATGCTAAACAAAATCACCATACTGGTGACAAAAATAACTCAAAATTAGATATGAGAATCAAATCCCAATATGCAGCAATAACAAATCCTAATAATTGGGCGATAATAACTCAGATTTGTATATTTGAGGATTATTTATTAAAAAAACAAAAAAAAAGAACAAAAAAATGGGTGATTATTAGTGAGTTCATCGGTAGCCGCCCGTGGAAAAAGAAAAAAAAGCTTTTAGATTATAGGTTTGAGAGAGAAAGAGGGAGTTACTAGGTTTTTTGATTTGAAGAACAAATAAATTTTTCAACTTTTGAAATTTGGTAGTGCCAATTGTTGCTTTATTAATTTAATGGTTCAAATTATTTTGCAAAAAATTTTATAAGTGTGTTTAACTAGTCACTGCCTAATATATTTATATTGATTTGAATTCAGTTATTAAAATATTAATACATCTCTTTATGGAAAAAAAAAAACAAATATTAAAATATTATATATGAATATATATTGTCATTTTCACTAGGTAGGTAGAGGAATTATACATTTCCCTTAATTATAATTCTAATGTATGTTAGGCTATTTTAGGAAACTGAAAAGAAGATGAGAACTCAATCACGTAAAATCGACTACATAATTGATAATTCAACCATCATCACAGCAACCGTACTGTTTTACCTTGCGAGGACTAGCTTTTCATGTATTCTTCCAAGTACAAGTTGGTTGATGACTTTGGTCATACACAAATATTTTATTTAACTACCATAATTAATAATTTTTCATTAATTAAAATATATTTGAAAGATTTAATTTAAAATATTAAAGAAACTTGATTCATAATATTAACATGTGCCACTAATTAATTAATTAATTTCTTATATTATATTATAATACTCTTCTAGATGTCGTTCATGCACATTTGAAAATTTGAATAAAGCAAAGAGAACAAACAAACGAGTGAATATATGTAGGAGATAAAATAAAATCTTGTGTGGATAAATGCAAATATTAATAATTAATAACATGTGATTAGCTGTGTGTGTGTGTGTGTGTAAAGAAAGCATCGATTGTTCCCTCTTCTTTTGCAATTTTTCTTTATATATGCAGTGTAATTACTCTATTCAACCCCCTTTAATTTTTATTATTGACCCCTTACACATAAAAATGTTTCAATATTTTAATATTGATCCCCGAAAGAAAATTTTCTAAATCTGCTATTTTTGTGTAAGTTGTTGTTAGTAAAAGATCTTGGTTTACACTAAGGCTGAACAAAGTAAACGAAAATTTTTTGAAAAAAAGAGAAAAATGGTATATATATATATAAAAAGTTGAACGTTAAGAAAAGCAAGGAATAATCAGGTGGATTAGCATAACAAAATTCTAATAACCGAAAGCCAATTCTCCTGTCAAAAAAGAAAAAAAGCTAATTCTTGAACCAGTCAAAAGCAGTTGTATACATGTATAATCCTTTGGGTAGTAGGTAAAGCATATTTCATTCCATCCATCACTGTCAA